GTCAGGAGGTGGGGAGGCATCGTGGGGGATGGGAAAGAGGGGTCGCATGGCGAGGCAGCGGACCTCGAGACGCATGTTGAAGCCGGTACCTCCGAAGTCGCGGAGGGTGTTGAAGCGCTGCGCCCAGACCATTTCCTTATGGGCGGCGAGGTCATGCCAGGCCTTTTCCACGGCAGCGCGGGCAGCGGCAGGATTGAGGGGTGCCGGGGTGGTGGCGGCTGGAGGGGGAGGAGGGGCTGGAGCGGGGGCGTGGGGTGAAGGAGGCGGTGGCGGGAGGATGTCGGCGGGTGGGGGAGGGGGAGGAGGGACGGGGGCGTGGGGTGGAGGGGCTGGTGCGGGGTTGGTGGCTGCTGGAGGGGGAGGAGGGGCGGGAGCGGGGGCGTGGGGTGAAGGAGGCGGTGGCGGGAAGATGTCGGCGGGTGGGGGAGGGGGAGGAGGGACGGGGGCGTGGGGTGGAGGGGCTGGTGCAGGATTGGTGGCGGCTGGAGGGGGAGGAGGGGCTGGAGCGGTGGCGTGGGGTGAAGGAGGCGGTGGCGGGAGGATGTCGGCGGGTGGGGGAGGGGGAGGAGGGGCGGGGGCGTAGGGTGGATGGGCTGGTGCGGGGTTGGTGGCTGCTGGAGGGGGAGGAGGGGCGGGAGCGGGGGCGTGGGGTGAAGGAGGCGGTGGCGGGAAGATGTCGGCGGGTGGGGGAGGGGGAGGAGGGACGGGGGCGTGGGGTGGAGGGGCTGGTGCAGGATTGGTGGCGGCTGGAGGGGGAGGAGGGGCGGGAGCGGGGGCGTGGGGGGAAGGAGGCGGTGGCGAGAGGATGTCGGCGGGTGGGGGAGGGGGAGGAGGGGCGGGGGCGTGGGGTGGATGGGCTGGTGCGGGGTTGGTGGCTGCTGGAGGGGGAGGAGGGGCTGGGGCGGGGTGAGCGGCGGGGGAGGTGTCGGTAGCGGGCATGGCAGGAGGGAGTGGTAGGCCTGCCGGGGAGAGGGATGGAGGAGGCGGCGGGTAGGCGGCTGCGAAGGCGGCGAGTGGCGCTGGGAGCCCTTGGACGATGACCTTTTCCAGCGGGACGATGACCAAGCGGTCTGTGGTGGTATAGCGGAGAACCTCGTGGAAGAGGGGCTGTGAGCGATCTCCATGACGGAAGTCATTCCCGGCGCGGCTGAGGTGTTTCTCGAGGCGCTCGAAGATAGTACCGGTGGTATGGCCGACATAGAGTGGGACGAGAGTAGGGTCACGGGAGCGCTTGCGTGAAGCTTCTGGGAGGTGGAAGGCCGCATAGATGACGCCATATTGTTCCGGGTGGGAGGTAAGATCGGCGTCATGCTGGGCGGAGAGGAATTGGCGACGACGTCGGAGGATTTCTTGAAGGGCCAGCGGCTGACGACGAGGTGTTTGAAGAAGGAGACTGGTGATGCGATGACGATGGACGCGAAATGCTGCAACATGGGACGCCTCAGCAGTAGTCCGAGCTGCCTTATGGGCTGCAGCGAGGTCAGCAGGGTGGCCATCAGTAAGGCGACGAGGGAGCTCGCCACGAATGCGGGGCATAAAGGTGTTAGAAGGAGAATTTAAGGGACGAAGTAATGATAATAGGAAAGTAAGAAAACAGGGGAGGCCTATATACGCCAAACGCCAACAGAAGTGGCGGCGATTGCCGGTAGTACGGCAACCCGCTGGCTGACAGCTGGCTGCGCTCCGTTGACCTGCACCCCCCTCCCCCCGTCACTGCACACTTGTTCCACTTGCCCGCATTCATGCCCTTAACATTTACCCCTCGGTAACTATACCAACTATACCGCATTCACCAAGCCACCTGCTCTTCCTCCGCCCATATATCGATCCCTCCCACCGACTTCGCAATTCCTGTCCCGCCTTGTCGTACACGTCTGCCACTCTTCATATTGCATGCTCACCCCCGCCCCCACATTCCGCGCCGTTCGGTCCGTAGTTTCCCACTTTAGGTTTAGGTCACAGGGAGTGTGGCATTGTATTCTGCACTCCGCTACCATGAACACGATAAATGCCTGGACTGCTCCTCACCCTTCCTTTCAATATGCTCGCATGTACTATCCTCCCATTCTTCGTCGCTGGTCTTCATCCAACGCGCCGGCCTTGACCTACGTATTTCGGTCGGCGGTTACTCATCTGCTTACAGGTAAGTCAGCCGGTTCTTCGTAAATCGTTGTTCTTTGTTCTTGTATGGGTTTGCATCAGTCATTGGGTTGTCGCTGTGTGAGTTGCGGGACCTACGGACCGTCGGCGCGGCGGACTCCCCTCGATGCACTATCTCCGCTACTCGGCGTCTTCCTATCGCGAATGGCCATGGCTGCAGTAAGTCTCATCGTTACGGTAAGACCATTTGTTGTTTTGGCTTGACTAATACGGGTGGGCTGGGATGGGCCAATTAGCAACCCATGGTGGAGCCTCGTCATTCAGTTTGTCAGTGTTTCTTTATTTTTACCCCCCCTATCAAACCATCGGGAGTTGATCCCATCAGGGGTGAAAACTGGCACCCCGCCGGCCCGAGCCTGATGGCTCGCGGTTGGTTGGCTGCGAGCCCGACCTCTGACCAGCAGAGGAACGACAACGACAATATGGCTGTAAAAAGGCCTGACTGGAGCCACCGCAGCCACGGAGCATACAGCGGGACCGGGTCAGCGGGATCGGGGTCGCGGGCACTGGTCAGCGGAGCTCTGTCAGCGGACTTCAGCCAGCGGGCTGCCGTCCTACGGCAAACGCCGCCACACCTGTTGGCGTTTGGCGTATTTAGGCCTCCCCTGTTTAATACATCTTAAACCTTTTTGCCATTCCGTTCGTCCATACTTCTAGGTTCACTTAACCCCCCGGTTACATAACTTGTATGCCCCATGTTCGTGGGGACTCCCTCGTTCGCATACCCACCTATCAATATAGGACCGGCCAGTTCACACTGCAGTGAACTACCCGGAAGGCACTTAGTGTTGTGGGGATCTGTTCACACAGACCGCACCCTGCCTATCCACTGCACACTTGTTCCACTTGCCCGCATTCATGCCCTTAACATTTACCCCTCGGTAACTATACCAACTATACCGCATTCACCAAGCCACCTGCTCTTCCTCCGCCCATATATCGATCCCTCCCACCGACTTCGCAATTCCTGTCCCGCCTTGTCGTACACGTCTGCCACTCTTCATATTGCATGCTCACCCCCGCCCCCACATTCCGCGCCGTTCGGTCCGTAGTTTCCCACTTTAGGTTTAGGTCACAGGGAGTGTGGCATTGTATTCTGCACTCCGCTACCATGAACACGATAAATGCCTGGACTGCTCCTCACCCTTCCTTTCAATATGCTCGCATGTACTATCCTCCCATTCTTCGTCGCTGGTCTTCATCCAACGCGCCGGCCTTGACCTACGTATTTCGGTCGGCGGTTACTCATCTGCTTACAGGTAAGTCAGCCGGTTCTTCGTAAATCGTTGTTCTTTGTTCTTGTATGGGTTTGCATCAGTCATTGGGTTGTCGCTGTGTGAGTTGCGGGACCTACGGACCGTCGGCGCGGCGGACTCCCCTCGATGCACTATCTCCGCTACTCGGCGTCTTCCTATCGCGAATGGCCATGGCTGCAGTAAGTCTCATCGTTACGGTAAGACCATTTGTTGTTTTGGCTTGACTAATACGGGTGGGCTGGGATGGGCCAATTAGCAACCCATGGTGGAGCCTCGTCATTCAGTTTGTCAGTGTTTCTTTATTTTTTCCCCCCGTCCCTGCCCCGCTGACCCGGTCCCGCTGACTGATATCCGTGAAGTAGTCCAGTTGCTGGGGAGGCTCCAGTCAGGCCTTTTTACAGCCATATTGAAGGAGGCGTTCCTCTGCTGATCAGAGGTCGGGCTCGCAGCCAACCTACCGCGAGCCATCAGGCTCGGGCAGACGGGGTGCCAGTTTTCGCCCCTGGTGGGCTCAACTCCCGATGGTTTGATAGGGGGGGTAAAAAATATATATATGATGATGAGACACTGACGAAGCAACTGACGAGCTGTATGACAAGGCCTCACCATGGGGTGCAAACATGGTAGCCGGTCCATCCCACCTTACCCGATATAATTTAACCGAAAGAACAGAATGCACTTACCAAAAAGTGGTACTTACCAGGAGTCGGTGGAACATGGAAGGAGGCTGGGAAGGTGTGGACGAAGAATCGAGGGTCGGCGGCCGCGCCGACGGTCCATAATAATCCCAGAACCCGCACCCGACGAACAAACAAAAAGACGAAACCGAAACGACAGCACGGGCTAAAACGAAGAACCAGCGGACTTACCTGGAAATGGATGAATAACCGCCGACCGAAGGACGTAGAACGAGGCCGGCGCGAGAAGTGAAGACCAGCAGCGTAGTAGTACATGCGAACATATGGAAAGGGAGGGTAAGGGGCAGCCCAGGCGGTTATCATGTCCATGGAAATGCGAGTGCAGAAGAACAGCGACACACTCCCTGTGACCTAAACCTAAGCCTAGATGGGAAAGATGGACCGAACGGCGCGGCGTATGGGAAGGGGAGTATGCAGGTTGGAAATAGTATATAAGGCAATGCTGTACGGCAGGTTGGGAGGGGCGAATGATGAAATAAGGTAAAAAGATAATGGGAGGGCAGGTTGGTGAGAGAGTAATGGGAAGTAAGAAGGAGGGGTCGGGAGGGCAGCAAACTAATGGTGCATAAGACACAGGGGGGTGGGGGGGCGTGCAGGGAGCTGCAGGTGGGGGCATGCAGGGGGGTGGGGGGGCGTGCAGGGAGCTGCAGGTGGGGGCATGCAGGGGGGTGGGGGGGCGTGCAGACCCCGCTTGATGGATGGGTCGGGAAGCTGCAGGGTGGCCATTGCGTCGCCTCTTCCATTTGACCCGCGGCGCGCCTCCTCATACCCTGCGTACGGCACTCCTAGCTGGGTTCCGGACTGACTCCGGAAGCTCTTCACCACCTTCCTGCCCCCCCACCTTCTCCCCTCCTCTCCCCCCCCCTCTCCCCCCCCCCCCCCCCAGGACGCGGCCCGAGTGATGGGCAACACGGCGCTGTTCCAGCTGATGCAGGCGGCCTCGGCGGCAATCAAGAGGGACGTCATCTTCGCGGCATCGCTGTACGTGGCGTGAGAGGGTGGTGGTGGTGGTGAGGGGCGGTTGATACATGCATGCATGGGGGTGAGGGGGTTGAGACTTGGTGGGCACTGAGTGGGGCTGCGGGGGGAGGTAAGAGGAGGGGGAGAGGGAGGGGGAGAGGGAGGGAGGGGGGAGGAAAGAAGGCGCCGTGTGGGTTAGCTGGTCGCCGGCAGGTGGGGCGGCAGGGTGCAGGGTGCATGTGGCCACGAGGTGTGTTGACGACTGGACTGCAGATCTAGGGGGGGGATACCGTAGGTGGCGAGGAGGAGCTGTTTGCTGCTTTGGTGTCCGAGATCACAAGGTGTTGAAGCACGGTCGCAGGAGGTGAAATTGAGGAAGCTGACGAGCTTACCATGGGGGGCAGGGGACGCAGCAGCAGCGGCAGGGCGCCTCATGGCTGTCTGCCTCCCTTGCTGCCCACGTCGACTTGTAAGCACATGTAAACACGCGCGAGCACATGTAAGATGTAACACACGCGCGAGCAAGGGTGAGGCCCCGTCGTGGTGAGAGGCCCCTGAGTGAGGCACCAGCAACCTAGCATGCACGGGCCTCCTTGCATTGCATGTTGGCCAAGGAGGTAGAGACGGGGTAGGCATCCGGGGGGGGGGTAAGGTGCGGCAGCTGGGCAACAGGCGCAGACGGTGCATGATGGCCTGGGGTGAGGCCCATTGGGCATGATCCCGGCCTGCCACAGATCCCGGGCTCTCGTGCAATGGCGGCGTCCTAGCGCGTGGTAGCGTGCAGGAAACAGGGAGTCGCATGGATTCGTGCATTCCCCTTTTCGACACCCCTGCCCAGGCTGCCTGCCGTCATGGCAATACCCCGAGCCTAGATGAGGCCCACGGCTGACTGACATGTCTTGGCGTCTTAGCGGAGGTTATGGGGTGGGTGGACCTGGGGGCAGCGTTGTGGAGCAAGGGGATGAGCCAGGGCAAGTGGGCAAATGTGGGAAGGGTGTACGGCAGCTGGGAGGTGGCCGCTTAACAAGAGGCCTATGTATGCATGCTTGAGGATGGGAATACCAGTTTAAAATTTCAGTAATTGGTTCCGCAGGCAGCTGCAGGACTCTAATCGTAATTTCGGTCAAAGGTACGGAGCTAGTCAACGGCAACATGTATGATCCCTGAAGGACTTGGTAAAACGGGATACAATAAGCACAAGAATTATATATAAGAAAGTATGACATGTTATCTGTTGACATGTCGCGCTTGCAATTTGTGATTGTAGCTCGGCTACTGCCATATTGCAGCGACCAGCGAGTGACGTATGAGTAGCTTCAGCACCTCGTTTCGGACTGAATCATGATTAGAAAACGTCGGCCAACAGAGGCCCAAGTGGCTGAGTCTGATACAGGAAACGTTCAATTGTCATGGAACGATTTCCAGTCTCTCCACAAGCAGCTCCGCCTAAAACAAAAGGAGATGTCGGATTTGTGGAAGTCATACAAAGCTGGAGCATACACAGTACCTGCCGAGCTAGTCAGCGCTGCTACTACCCAGGATGAACGTCGCGACGATATCCTTGCAAGCGACAACGAGGTAAGAATTGTAGCCGGAATGTGTAGCTCAGTACCTTACTACAAAAACAAAAGTGTATCCCTACCCATGGACGCATTCACTGAACTTGTCAGGTGACGCTTGGCGACCAATCTGATCATCAATCTCAAAAGACAACCGCTACGCCGCCTACGTTAACCCGCGGGGGACGCCCTGATACTTCCGGACGCTTTCCAAGCGCTGCTGCAACAGCTAAACGCAATACCGGTGCTGACATCCAGCAGTCCCACGACCGCCATCCTCAACGCCAGCACGACATCCCAGCAGCAGCCATCACCACCTCTGATCGCGTCCACCTTCCGCCTAAACCCCCGGCGACAGCAGCAGCCCACACCACAATGGAGGCCCCAGCATCCCCCGGATCACCCGAGGTGGTGGAGGTGCTAGAGGTGGTGCAGCAGGGGCGGCGGAACAAGGGTTTAGGCCGCTTGCGGAGCAGGGAAGGGCAGCGGCAACGACAGCAACAGCAGCAGCAAGGTCCCAGCGGTTCTGCCGGCGGTGGCAGAGATGCCGCCAGCAAGTCCTCTCCCGTCGTGTTGGACCTCACCCTTGAAGATGAGGAGGAGGAGGAGGGGGAGAGGGCGGCAGCAGGCTCATTGGAGGTGGCGGTGGCGGCGCAGGTGGCGGCCCCCGAGCAAGTGGCCCTCGGGACGGCGAACTGCACTCCGCATAGCGACATGTGCCCCCCGGCCCCACTGCTGCAGCAGCAGCAGCCGTCGCCACAGCAGCAGCCTTCCACAGGGGCACAGCCGCCTCCGCAGGCTCAGCAGCAGCAGGAGGAGGAAGAGGTGAAGGAGGCTGTTTGCAGGCAGGCGGAGCAGGCGGTGATGCAGCCAGTGCAGGTGGGCGGGGCAGACGGCAGGGCGGCAGAGGTGGCTGCTGCGGAGGCGGAGGCAGAGGTGGGTGCCGCCGAGGGACCGCCAGCAGTGACCTCCGTAGCAGCATCTGGGCGGGGATCCTCATCGCCTGCAGCGGCAGCGGTGACTGCAGCAGCGGCGAATGCTGCTCCTCCTCCTCCAGCTGCTGCTGCTGCTGCTGCTGAGGCTACGGACGGCTCCGCGGTTCCCTGTCCGCGAGGCGCCCCCAGCAACGCTGACAGCGGTGGTGGCCCCATGGGGACTGCTGCTGGTGGGGGTGGGGGCGGTGGCATCCGGGCGGCGGCTCGGCGGCTGTTCGCTGCGGCTGCCGGCGTGCTGAGGCGGCCGCAGCAGGGGAAGCAGCAGCGGGCGGGCACCGCCACCTGCTCCCCCGCTGCTGCCGCACCTGGAGCTGCCGTGTGCAGCAGCAGCACAGCGGCTGCTGGGGGTGCTGCGGGGGTTACGGCGGCTTGTGATGGCGACTCACGGGGTGCTGCAGGAGCCGCGGCAGTAGCAGCTGAGGCTGGGGTAGCAGCATTTGGAGGAGGAGACGCAGGAGGAGAAGGAGCAGCGGCAGTGCGGTTGGAGACGGAAGCAGAGGACACCTTGGCCCCGGCAGCAGTAATCCTCCCAATTCCACCTCCTAAAGCCGCCGGTCCCTGCTGCCCCGGTCCCTGTCCTCCGGCTCCCCCCCAACAGCAGCAGCAGCCACCACCGGGCGCATGTGGGGGCGCAGCAGCAGCCTACAAGCGCCTCCAGGGGGTCGGCACTGCTGCCGGCGCACCCTGGCAGGACATGAACGCCCCGCCTGCGAGCAGCCCGCATGCAGAGAGCCCGATTGAGGAGCTGGAGGAGGAGGAGGAAGGGGCTTCGGTTGCTGGGACAGCTGCGGCGGCGGCAGAGGAGGCATCTGTACTGCCCTCAGCTGCTGCTGCGGGGGCTGCCGCTGTCAGTTCGGGCGGTGCTGTCGCTGCTGCCCTACCGGCTTCACCCGCTGGGAGGGGTGGTGAGAGGTGGGAGGGGCTGCGGGGCGGTGACACCGATGAGGAGGAGGAGGAGGAGGCGGAGTGTTGGGCATCTCCCGCCCCGTCATGTGGCCTCAGCCCCATGACCAGCGCCGACGGGGAGGACTCCTCCGGGGCCCCGACACCGGGGGCTCACACAGCAGGGGCAGCTGAGGCAGCAACAGGGCAGCTGCTGCTAGCGGTAACAGCTGCAGGGGTGGCGGAGGCGGTCGTAACGCTTGATGATGATGAGCGGGGGCGCTATGACAAGGGCGATGACGAGGAGGAGGTGCAGTTGGTGCGCGGGGTGGAGGTGGGAGTGGAGGTGATGGGGGGGGCAGGGGGAGCAGCAGCACCTGCAGCAGCACCTGCAGCAGCAGCAGGAGGCTCGGGGGAGGGCCTCCGAGGGAGCGACGGTGGGGGTGGTGCGGGTGGGGGCCTACCGGTTGGCAGTGACGGCGAGGTTGGTGGCGTAGCGGGTGGGGACTGTGGCGGCCGCAGCTCCTCCTCCTCCTCCTGCGGCCGGCTCTCAGCTCCGCCGCTGCTGTTAGCGCCGGAGGTGCCCGGGCACATGACTCCGGACGCCGGAGGTCGGCATGAGGAGGCGGCTGCCGCTGTGGTAACGGAGGAGGCGGCGGAGGCGGCTGCTGGTTTCACCGTTGTGGATGTGGTTGCTAGCGGGGAGGGCTGTAGCCCCCCGGAGGAGCAGCAGCAGCGGCTAGATGCTAGCACCAGCAGCAGTGTCGGCAAGAAGCAGCAGCGGAGGCGGCGGAGACGGAGGCAGAGCGGCCGGAGGGCGGCGGCAGCAGAGGTGAGGGCGGTAGAGACCGCCGCCACAGCAGCAGAAAATGAAGAAGTGGCGACAACGCTGATTGTTGCAGAGGGGGAACGGAATGAGGCGCTGGCGGTTGTGGCTACTGCACCGGAGGAGGAGGAGAGGGCGGTGGGCTGTCCGGCGAGTGGCGAGGCCTGTCATGCAGCGGAGGCCGTCGGTGATAGCGTCCGCGGCGACACGGGAGGAGGCGCTGGTGGCGGCCAGAACGCTGCAGTGCCTGAGATGCTGCTGCAGCAGCGGCGGCCTCATGCAGGCAACGACACCCCGCGGCCCTCACCGCAGCCGAATCACCGACACCATCAGCAGCAAGAGGAGCAGCAACAGCCAGCTGCGTCACCGGCGCTGCCCCCACCTCCACCCCAGCAGCAGTCTCCCCCCTCCTCACCCAGGAGTGCCCCAGTCCAAAGCGACTTCTTGGCGCCGCCACCGCAATCGCAACGGCTGGAGCCCCAGCAGCAGCCTCAGCAACAGCTGGAGCCTCAGCAGCAGCAGCAGGAGGCCGACCAGCCAACACCGCCGCCGCAGTTGCCACAGCAGCAGCAGCGCCTGTGGTCACCCCTGCCAACGGCGCCAAAGCAGCAGCACCACCCCCAGCACCACCCTCAGCCCCAGCCCTCCCTCCACCAAAGCCCCCACCCCCAGCCCTGCCCCAGGTGGCTCCGGGGGCTGCGCACACCTCGGGCGACAGCAGGTCAGCAGGGGCAGCTGCAGCAGTCACAGTCGCAGGGGCAGGGGCGGCAACCCCAGCCGCCATCGCTCGCTCCAACACTCCGGGGCTCCGCACCTGCACCCAGCCTGGAGCGTCCCTCGTCCCCCTCCTCACCCTCGCTTCCCGTCGCCCGGCCTGTGGCATCCCCCTCCTCCCTCGCTGCTGCGATCCCTCCCCCCACCGCCCCCCACCACTCCTCCACTGCTACCACCATCCCGCACCCACACGCCTCCTCAACAGCAACCCCCGCGCCCCTTCACCTCCACCTCCGCCCTGCCTCCACTGCCCACGGCGACACCACAGCCCTACACTGCAGCAACAGCAGCAGCCCCCCACCCAGCAGCCCCCGTAGCCGCATCCTGACAAGCGACACCGCCGCTACCAGCACCGCACCCCGTCCCTCCTCCTCCCTGCACTCCTCCACCTTCCCCCCTTCCGCCCCCTCCACCTCCTCCTGCCCGCTGCCACCCCCTCCGCCCGCCTCTTCCCTCACCAGCTGGAACGCCTACCAGCGGCTCATGGCGGGCAGGGGCCTCAGCATGGCGCAACTGAAGGAGGGGTACCGGCGGGGCAAGGCGGCAGTAAAGGAGGGGGGTAGTAGGGGGATGCAGGAGGCGGAGCACTGGGCGGCTGGGGATGTGGCAGAGGAGGGCGGTCAGGCGGTGGGTGACCTGGGATCTGGAAGGGTGGTGCTGCCGGCGGGCGTGGAGGCAGAGCGGCAGCAGCGGCAGCCGGACCCTAGTCAGCAAAGGGAGGCGGGTTCCCAACAGCAGCAGCGGCGGTGGCGGGGTGAGGAGGCGGCTGGCGGCAGGGGGCCAGCTCCCAACCTGCCCACCAGGCCACCCCACGCGCTCACACCACAGCAGCCTAGCTTGGGAGCAGCGAGAGGAGGAGGAGGAGGGGTTAGCGGTGGTGGTGGAGGTGGTGGTCAGCGCCAGACCACATTGGACGGCTTCCTGCAGCGCCCCGCCACCCCCGGTACCGGTCACCAGCAGCAGCAGCAGCGGCAGCACCATCACGATGCTGGGGATCTGCGGGCTTGCAAGGGGAAGGAGCAGCAGCGGCAGCACCAACAGCAGCAGGTGGAGGGTGAGGGGGGCGGTGGGCGGTGTGTGGCATCACCGTCGCAGTCCGGGATGTCTGCGGTGCGGCTGCGGCGGCTGGGGAGGTCAACGAAGGAGGAGGAGGAGGAGGAGGTACCCGCCCCGCCGGCCGGTAGGTATGGAGGAGGACTGGGGGGCGGGTCGGAGGTTGAAGGACCGGCAGCAGCAACAGCCGGTGCGGACTTGCAGCAGCAGCAACAGCAGTCGTGGAAGCGGCGGCAGCAGCAGCGGCGGTGTGATTCGATCTGCACTGCGGGGACGGAGGCGGTCACAATGATACATGGCAGCTCCTCCGTCCCTTCCCCTGCCTCCCAGCCCTCACCCTCCGCGTTGCCCGCCTCCGCACCCGCAACCACCACCCCAGCCACCACCGTTACCACGACCACCTCCCAGCAGCAGCAGCAGTGTCAGCAGCACCGGCCGCCGCCTCCCTCCCACCCAGCTGCCGGCACCCCCATGCAGCTGCGCCCGCTGCCAGGCAGGCGGAGGTTCCGAGAGCGGGATGTGGCGCATGACGACCCGTGAGCATCCCCGGGTTACTTGGGGAGGGGAGGAATGAGGAAACTGACTTGTTTGGGGGGGCGGCAGCAGGAGGGCGGGAATGTGCGAACGTGTGAATGACGATGGTGACGGATTGCAGTGGTGCAATGTGGGCACGACAAGACGCGTACCAGGGGAAAGGCGCACAACACACGTTAAATTTCGCGGGTAGCAGGGGGGTTCAGGCTTGCAACCAATGGCAGGGACACAGCCCTGCTGACCTGGCGGCAGCGCGCATCCCTCCTTAGCAAGCTCATGGACCCTTCCTTACCTTCGCACCCTCCTCCCTTCCCCATTCCGCCCCATCCCCCCGCCCCTCTCCCCGCCCCTGCCTGCCCCGCCCGCTGCAGTCTGTTCGCGGGCTTCAGCGAGTGGGTGCAGGTGGTGCCCACCGCTACCGGGGTGGCGGCGGCTCGACCGCCCGCCCGCCCCGGCATCTACGAGTGGGGCGCGGTGCCGCCCGGAGGGGCGCAGCAGGGCGTGCTGGCTTTCTACCTGGGGAAAGCGGGTGTGTGCAGGGGGGCGAGGAGGGGGTGCGGGCGGGGGGCTCGGGCGAAAAGGGAGAATGCGTAGGGGCTACCATGGTAGGAGATGGGAGCGAAAGGGTGATGACCCCGACCTTCTCAGCGCACCCTCCGTCCTCCTGCTCCTCCTTCTGCGCAACTCCTTCACCGCTATACCCCCCTCTCTCCCTCCCTCTCCCTCCCCCTGCCTCCCCCAGGTGGCGGCGGCAGTCGTGAGACCCTGCGCTCGCGCTTCAGCAAGTACGCGGCCGCCAGCCGGCCGCTGCTGGGACCCAAGGAGGCCATGCAGGCTGCGGCCCGGGCAGCGAGGGAGGCGCGGGAGAGGCAGCAGCAGCAGCTGTTGGAGCAGGCGGCGGGCGGGGGGCAGGCGTGCGAGCAGTCCCAGCAGCAGCAGAGGGGGTGCAAGGCGGGAGGCGGCAGGGGCGGTGGTGGCGGCAAGCGGGGGGAGCGGGTGCAGGTGTATGAGGGGAGGAAGGCGGAGCTGTGGAGGCAGCTGCAGTCGCGCGGATTTGCGCTGTACTACAGGTGTGGGGTGGTGGTGCCGTACATCGACTTTTGCGCTTCACACAGGATTCAGTGTAGAGACTATGGGAGGTAGCGGTACCTGCTTGACTACTGCTCAGCTGCTTTTCTCTCCCCTCCGCTCCGTTACGGCGCATGTCTGGCATAATGTACATGTACGGCACCTTGTCGCCTGCCAGCTTCTTGCTGACCCCCTCACCAAGCTGTCTTGCTGCCGACCGCTCCCCTGACACGCCTCCCACCACCCCCCAGGTACCGGGTGTGTGAGGGCGATGATGACGCGGTGGCGGCTGAGAGGGCCATCCATGACCGGGTCAACTACGCGGGGTGCCTGGTGAGGAGGGTGACAAAGTGGAGGGCTGTGACCCATGGGTCGGAAAGAGGCTGGGCATGCCACTATCCTTGCTTCCTCTCCTCTTCTCACTTCTCTGGCTCCACCCCGTTGCATCAACCCATAGTCTTGCCCTCACTTTGGTTCTTCTCTAACCCCCATACCGGTATGCCTGCTGCCCCTCCTCTCCACACGCACCCAGGTCCACAACGGCAGCTACCGGCCGCTGCTGCTGGGGGCGGGGCGGCGACTGCAGGACTTCCCCGTGCTGCGACCCGAGCTGGAGGACCCGGAGGGCCCCGCGCCCAGCGGACCCGCGGGAGCCACTCGCAGCCGCACGCGGCACCTGCAGCTGCGGCAGCAGCGGGGCTAGTAGCAGGGGGGGGGGTTACCGGGGACAGGAGCAGCAGCGGTGGTTTTCATGGATTACCGGTATCAATTGTTGGGGTTGCGGGCAAGCACGGCAGGGGTGATAGGAGGGGAGGCGGCTGCCGGGTGGGGGTTGGGTTACGGGCGGCAATGCCGTTTATTAGGTGCGAGGCGAGCATCGTGAACCATGGTATATAGGAAAGGAGTGCTGCCACGTTCTCAAGCCGTTCCTTGGCGTTCGTAAGTGATTACCGGTATGGGTGCAATTGCCACATCGCGAGCTGATATTGCCACATGGGCGTATGTCCTATGTTGGATGCTGGACAGTGCCGGCTGTACGACACGTGATCAAGTCAAGCACACGTGAGCAGCTCTCACGAAATCCGAACATGAGCGGCTACGTCCTCGTGATACGGGTTCCTCTTCCTTGCGCTTTCAATGAGCCATGCATGTGGTGTGCGTGTGTTGCAACGTGGCATGCAAACGAACGAGAGCTCGAGACGCATGGACCTGTTGCTGGCAAAGCATTTACAGCTGCCTGTGGCAGCAGCAGTAGCCGAGGATTATGCCTGCACGTACGGCAGCAGTCTGTACCGTGTGTCATGTGCATGTAAGCCACGCTTTGCAAGGAATGCATCTTTGCGAATGTCAAACAGTTCTACGCATATTTAGCCTCTGTGCACGACCAGAGGCCCAGAGCACGCAGCAAGTCTAGGAGCCAAGTACGGTCGTCACCCTGCAACCCATCCTACCCTCCTGCAGCGGCAAACACGGCGCCACACATCAATGCACCTAGTATCCTAAACTACACGGCAGCACCGCACACACCCGCAGCATGCCAGAAACGACTCTCTGCATCAGTTGCCGCGGCGTGGCCGGCCCTTCACGGGGGCCTCTGCGGCCTCCTGCGGCTTTGCGTCCACGCCCTCGGCCTTCTGCTTCTTGCCGGCCCCCCGGCCTGCCTTCTTCTCCGGCTGCTGCTGCGGCTCCTCCTGCTCAGCCTCCTCCTTGGCGTCAGCAGCAGGGGCGGCGGCGGTGGCGGCACGCTTTGCGCCCTTGCCGCGGCTACCAGCCTTCGCAGCGGGTTGCGCGGCATCCGTCGCCTCCTCCTCCGCGCCCTTGTCGTTGCCAGCAGGGGCGGCGTCCTTCGCACCCTTGCCACGCTTGGCTGCCTTGGGCTCAGGCTGCTGCTGCTCCTCCTGCTCAGGCGCCGCCACCGGTTCGGAGTCCTTGTCCTCAGCAGCGGGGGCTGCAGCAGCGCCCTTGCCGCGCTTCCCACCCTTGGCGGCGGCCTTCTTCGGCTGGGGCTGCTTCTCCTCCTCAACCGCCGCCTCCTCGTCTTCCTCCGCATCCGCTTCGGCAGGGGCGGCCTTGGCGGGCCGGCCCTTGCGCTTCAGGTTGGCGGACTTGCCGCCACGGGCGGCAGCGGCCTCAGGCTCGGGCTCAGCCGCGGTCTCGGGCTCAGAGGGAGCTGCAGCGGCGGCAGCCTTGCGGCCACGCTTAGGCGCCTGCATGGGGAAGAAGATCGGAGGGGCATTTTTACGTCAGTGGGAAGGAGCAAGACGCAAATGACCGGAATCCGTAAAGCCCATCCAAAGGTGCCATGGGAAGGGAAACCCAGGCATGTTGGTAGCACAGCGCTTGTGGTAGCACAGCGTAACCAGGACTACAGCGTGAAACCCGGAAACAGCATACAAGCCTCACCTCGGGCTTGGGCTGCTCCTTGGGCTGTTCGGGCTCCACAGCTTGTTGCTCCTCCTGCTCCTCCTCGGCCTGCTCTACCGCAGCGGAAGAACGCCGCTTCCGGGGCTGCTGCTTGGGCGGCTCGGCAGCGGCAGGCTGCTTGACATCTGCGTGCAACAGGGAGAGGAGCGTTGGACTAGGACGACGGCATGACAGGATGCGAACAGCCACGCTGAGGAATGCACGAGGCATGCGGAGCCTGCATGGCAGGAACTCAATCCGCAACCGACCCACATCGTAGGGCACCAGATGCAAATTAAAGCGTGCGCGCGTGCTGCAACCTGACGAACCCATGTCACCCCAACGCACCCGCGGGAGCCGCCTCCGCCTTCTGTCGCTTCTTGCTGCCCTCGGCCGCAGCGGCAGCAGCCTGCTGCGGCTCCTCCTCGGCTGGCGGCTGCTCCTCCTCTTGCGCCTGCTTGCCACGCTGGCGCTTCGTGCCGGCCTGCTCCTTCTTGCCGGCCGCTGCCTTGGGGGCAGCGGCCTTCTTGGGGGCCTTCGCCGCAGCGCCGCGCTTTGCCGGCTTCTGCTGCGGCTCCTCCTCCTCGGCGTCATCGTCACCATCGTCGTCGTTGCCCTCCTCACTGTCATCGTTGACGCCATACTCGTTCTCACTGCCCGACTCAATATCCTCCATCGCCTCCTCGTCGTCGTCGTCACCCTCCTCGTCATCCTCCGCCTCCTCCTCAACAGCCTTCCGCCGCTGCTTCTTCGGCTGCGCCTGCTGCTTGGAAATGCCCTTCTTGGCAGCTGTAGGCTTCTTCGCCGCCTTCTTCGTAGCAGCGTCGGCAGCCGGCTTGCGACCCTTGCGACGTGCGGCCGGCGCGGCCTCACCATCAGCCTCCCCGTCATCCGCTGCTGCAACTACCGCTGTGTCCTCCCCTAGTAGCTCCTTGCGCTGCTGCTCAGCCCACTTAAGCGCCGCACCACTCGCCTTCTCGGACTTCTTGGCGGCAGCAGCAGCAGGCGCAGCCGCCTTCTTGCCCTTGCCGGCCTCCTTCTTGGTCTTCTTCTCGGCAGGCTCCGCAGCCGCCTTCTTGCCCTTGGCTGTCTTCTTGCCCTTGGTAGCTGCCGCATCCTCCTTCTTGTTGCCGTTGTCGGGCGCGTCGTCACAAGTCTCATCTTGGTCGCCGGCCTTGTCAGACGCCTTGGCCCCCTTGCCGTTGGCCTCCTTCCGGGCGCGTGTCTCCTCGCGGTGGCGCTCCTTGTCGGCTGCGGCAGCGTGGGCGCACATCGTGTGGGAGGGGCGCGAGGTGAGGAACGGAACCTTTGATAGCGGCAGTTGGGCTTGAATGGGAGATAGGGAAGGGATTCTACCACGACAGGCGAGGAAACAGGACACACGTAAGGACTGAGGCTGGAGGAACAATTCCATGTGGGTCGTGTGAACCAGGGACGACCCCGACGCGAAATATAGCCAACCCAGATGGTCGTACTTGTTGCCACGTATTAATCCTGCGCAAACACTGCAGCCCATCCATCACCCCTTATCCTGTGACAGCCCCTGTTCACCACTTACCGTCAGCCTTCTCCTGGTAGGCCTTGCGCTCGTCGCCCTCAAGTTGCGCCCAGCGGTTGGTACATTCCTTCTTGAGCGCCGTGCGCAGCTTCTTCAGCTCTACCGTGTTGGAGGCGAGGTCAGGCTCGGCACTCAGGGCTCGCTCCACACCCTCGGCAACCATGACGTCGATGGGGCCGCGGCAAGGCTGGGGGCCTTTAGAAGCATCGTTCCCAGTCGCTCCGCTGCGTGGAGCCTTAGTGCCGGCGGCTGCGCCTCCTCGCTTCCAGTTGGTGGCTGCTGCCCAGCCTGGGGATTAACGTGGAAAAAGGGCAGTGCATGACTTTATGTTTGCCATAATTCGGCGGTGCTTGTGATCAGTCCAAGCCCGCTCTCGTTAAGGAAAACAGCTGGGCTGTTGCGGGACGCAGTTTAAACTCATAGGTTCACAACTTCATATACAGCAAGAAAGCAATACAAAGTCAGCAATTGGACAAAGCCTTTTCTGCACGAAGAGCAAGAGCAAGAGAACTTACTACCAGAGCGGTGCGCTCCAACATGCACGTAAGACGAAATGGCGCCTAAAAGCTTCGCAGCCTTACAAGCTAACGGTGCCAGGTCTCCATCCCTTACGCATAGCACATGTACCCACCTAGCGGAAGCAAAGCCTTCTTAGGCTGTGGTTGGGGGACCGTCCCAAAGAAGGCTTTAGCTGTAAGCTTAGCCGGCTGCTTTGAGACAGCTTGCTCGTCCCGTTCCTTCTGGGTGGTGAAAGGTGTCTCTTGCACCGACACGATCTCCTTCTTGTTGGTGGACTTGGCCCTGGTCCTCGCTGCCATGGTCGAGATTGAAGTGGAGTAGCCTTAAATAGTAAGAAAGGGTTCACGGGTGTCAAAGGTATCACAAGTCCATTAATTTAAGTCAGGCTTTGGCTAGATACCTTTGCTCAGTAGGGAGTATGGGCATTTCCCTCCATCGGAAATGTACGGCGCAGCATAGCATAGCACTTCATAGCAAGGCCCCCAAGGCACCCGTTGTCACGCTTTGCTTCTGGATACTGGCACTTGTGAAGATATTTATTCAAGCATGAAGAGTTGGTAACTGTTCAGTCTTTTACGTCTGCATCCTACCTCTGAGATACCAGGATAGTCTTATCGGGCACAGACACGTACTTCGCAGACATCGTGTATTAACATTGACCCTTTTAACTCATAGCTGTGGAGCATTTGCCATGGATCAGCAGTTCCGTGCTGCGCTAGCGGCTCTTAACGGTACCGAACCCACGCGGCAGAGTGCCGCAAACCTCTGGCTCAACGATTTCCAACACACACCTGAAGCTTGGGGCGCTGCCCTTGCGCTCTTGGATCCAGCCAGCGGCGCGTCAGCTGATGAGGCATTCTTCGCGGCGAACCTGCTGACATCCAAGACGCGCAGGGAGTGGGGCCGTCTCAACGCACAGCAGCGCTCGGAGCTGGCCGAAGCTTTCTCGTGAGTCCATGTGACGCCTAGCGTTGCTAGTCCACAGCCTTTTTCACGCAATGCTCTGTTGCCTGTTGCTCTCCACGCCCCGCCTGCTTCCCTCCGAGTCCCTCCCTCCCATCAGCTCTCCCGCTTACCCCACCGCTTCCTGCCCCCCGCCTTCCCCTCTGCCCCCCCGCTCTAACCCCGCCGCCCCCAGCTCCAAGCTTCACTCCCTGCTGCTGTCCGGACCGCCCTCCGCGGCAGCTGCGGTGCCGCCCCACCTCTCGGACCGCTTGGTGCTGCTGGCGGCGACGGCGGCGGTGCTGGGCGGTACGGCAGCGGCGGGGCGGCATCTGGGTCGGGCGCAGGAGGTGGCGGCGGCGGGCCGGGCGGCGCTGACGGCACCGGGAGCCTCACCGGGGGACATGGTGGGGCCGGGGGGGCCGGGGGGAGGGGGAGGTTACGTTTACGGTAGTTGCAACGCGCTGCAATCCATGACCCAGATGCCCGTCGTCCTCCCTGCTCCCATGTGCCCCGGCCCTGTGTCCCAATCCAGAACGGGTACCGTACGTTGCTGCCGCGTCGCCGCTGCCTACATGATAGCCGTATTGCACCTGCTACTGCCGACTTGGCACCCAGGGCTCCGACCCAGATCAAATCACACCTCCCTCCTCCCCACCTCCTCCAACCCCCACCTCCCCCATTCTCCCCCCAGGCGGGCGGTGCGGTGCTGCTGCGGTGTTCGCTGCTGATGCTGCAGCACCTGGCGGAGGAGGCGGACGAGCTAGACAGGTTGGGGGGCGGGGCGCCTGGGATTGGGAGGGGACGGCTGGGGGGGAGGAACGGGGCGCTGGGAGGGGAAAACGGGGCGGCAGGGAAGCGTGTGCTCACATATAACGGCAGCCTGGGAACCGGCGCATGAGGCGAGTAACCCCTGCCAATGCTGCCATCGCCTTTGCTCCTGCTTGCATACACCGCCTGGCGACCGGAACCCACGCGTCAACGTGCATCACATACCGGTGCACCCCCCTCCCTTCCCCAGCCTAAATCCAGCCTAATACATCCCTGTTTACCCCCCTTTCCCCCTCCGGGTGACCGCCCAGGGTACGGCGCCAGCTGCTGGTGGCGGGCGGTGAGGGGGGAGCCGGCGGTCTGGCGGCCCAACGGGGCGGGGTGGTGGCGGCGGTGCGGGACATCATTGCGCTCGCGTCGTCGCCAGCCTCGACACCGGGCAGTGGCGACGGTAGCGGCAACCCGCTGTTTCCGCTGCTGAAGGCTGCCGTACGCTGCCTGAACGCCTGGGTGCGGTTAGACGACAGCGGCGCATCCGGCTGCGGGGTGTCCCCAGCGGAGTTGGAGGCCCTCTCGCCAGGCATCCTGTCCTGCCTGCTGCACCTGCTCGCGCCGCCGCCGGCTGCTGCCGTTGTACGACAGAGCGACGCCGAGGCGGTTGCTGCCGTACGCACGGCGGTAGCGGATCTCCTGACGGATCTGATTGGATCCAGCGGTAAGACCTGTACGGCAGCCGCCGGAGGGGAAGCCGCCGACGCTGCTGCCGTGACGGTTGTCGTACAGCAACTCGTACCGGTGGGCCGTCAGGCTGCTGAGTCGCTCGGGGCTGCGACCTCCGCCGGGAGCAGTGAGGCTACTGCTGCGGGTGCTGCTGCTGTTACGGTTGCGTTGAGTGGGGTGGTAGCGGCTGTGCGGGTGGCGGTGGCGGTGGCTGAGCGCAACCCGGGGGGGGTGGCCACGGGTCCGGGGGAGGCGGCGGTGGAGCTGGCGAGCATGGTGGTGGCGGCGGTGGCGGCCAGGTAGGGAGGGGGGCAGGGAGGGAGGGGGGCACTCCTCTTTAGTAGTCTCGCCCTCCTTACCCCGCCTTATCCCTTCCCCTTCCTAATCCTGCCCGCGGCTGCACCCCTCGCTCAAACCCGCTCTCCTCTCTCCTCCTTCCCCCCCGCACCCGCACCCGCAGCCCCTCCCGTCGCGAGGTGACGGGCGAGGCGTGCGACTTCTTCCTTGCGATCAACTCCGTGCCCAGCGCGGAGCGGCACCCCGCGCTGTGCGCCCCGCTGTTCGGCGCGCTGCTGCCGCTGCTGGCGGGCGGGGTGGCGTACCCGGCGGGGTTCCGCGGCTGGGAGGAGGAGGTGGAGGAGGACGAGGAGGCGTGGGCCATGTGGGTTGGTGATGGGTGCCGATTGGGTTGGGTGCGGGTGCAGGTGTCCCCGGGTGGTCGAGTCAGCCGGGGCCCGCACCCCGCCTCGCCGCCCCCCCACCGCGCCTGCCGTCTGCGTCCTCCACGGCTCTTTCGTTCGCCCACGTCCTTCATGCGCGCCCACCACCCCTTCCTGCACATGCCCGCCACAACCTGCACCTGCCCCCTCCCGCACCCCCTCCCGCCCCCCTCCCGCAGGTTCCGGGAGCAGCAGGCGGCCGAGCTGTTGGAAAACATGTACGGGCAGTGCCGTACGGCCCTGGTGGCGCAGCTGGTTGGGGAGGCGACTGCGGGGGCAGCAGGGGGTGATGCGGTGGCGGGGGCGGGGGCGGCTGGAGGAGGAGGAGGCGAGTGGCGGCGAGCGGAGGCGGCGTTGTTCTGTCTGCGGGCCATCCACAAGCCCGTCAGGGTGAGGCGGTGGAGGGGTGGGAGCGGCATAATGGGTACGACGTGTGTGGTATGTGGACAGGTGTTTGAGGGACAGCAAGCGTATACGGATGGCCGTACAGGAGTATGTCGATCCCGTCCATGCTGCTTATCTTGACGTCCTGGATGGGTGGGTGGGGAAGGGAAGGGAAACATCGCGCCCCGTCATTGGCGTATGCTGCTCAGTCCTGCTACCGCCCACTGTCCCGTGCCGCCCCTCCCTTTCCTCGGCTTCCCCGCTCCTTCCCTGACCTCTTGTAACACCCCTCGTTCTCCCTGCCCACCCCCCCGCTCCTCGCTCCTCGCTCCCCGCTCCCCCAGGATGCGGCCCAGGGCGGGCGGGCGGGGCCGCAGCAGGCGACGGAGCTGCAGGTGTGTGTTAAGGAAACCGGCCGCGTGCGTGTGCGTGAGAGGGAGGGACATGGGTGCGGGCCGGGGGGCGGCGAAAGCCAGCGCCGCGTGCTCTTCCCGGCATTGCGCTGCCGTGCACAGCCGCTATCATTCCCGCCGTTCCTTCCCTCCGTTCTTCCTGCACAACCCTCCATGTCTCCTCCGCCCTTTGCCCCCCGCCACGCCTGCCCCCCGCTACTGCAGGAGCTCCTTGGACGGCTGTTCGGCGACATCTGCTCGCCTGGGGGGCGAGTGAGGGGGTGGGTTGGGGTTTGGGTTACGGGGGGCGAGCAAGAAGGTGGATGGGGGTCGGAGCCTGCAGTCTGCAGCATGGCAGAGGGTCGGAGAGTGATCTCCCGTGGTGATGTTAATGCTCCACGTAACACGCTGCTGCCGGCTGTCGTTAACTCGTTACCGTATCGTCCCCTAGGGCTGCGGTGCTGTGTCCACTGGAGTTCGGAAGAGGTCAAGGCCCAACCCGGTCCTACCGATACCCTCTACCTTACCACATCACTGCCCTCTCGCGGCCCCTCTCATGCGCCCCCCTTCCCTCCCCCCCCCCACCAGGCTGCTCAACGTCCCATGGGTCGTTCTAGGGGTGTCCCGCCTCGCGGCCGAGTACGCCTGGTGGCTGGGCAAGGGGCCGGATGCGCCGCTGCAGGTGGGGGGGAAGCGGGGCATGAGTTGATGCGGGGAGGGGAGGCGCTGCGAGGGGGCTGAGCACCTGGGAGGAGATGTGAAGCACAGTGCCACGGCGGCACAGGGGCACGGGGGCATGCAACCCGGCCCCACCTCTCCCACCGCTCGCACTTCATGCTGCTGTCTCGCTCGCCTGTCGACACCAATACACATGCACAACCCGCCGCCCCCCACCCTGCGCTGACCCCCCTACCGCTGCCCCACCCCCCTCAGGCCATGTTGGCGCTGCTGCTGCAGGCGCTGTCGGTACCGCCCGCTGCAGCTGCGGCAGCCCAGGTGACTTGGGGGATGTGAACGGGGGTGGCGGCGTGGGGAGGGGGGGCTCTACAGCCATCTCTGGCACCACCCAGCTTCACCGCTCTCCACTCCTCCAACTCCCCGCCCCAACAGGCCTTCCGCAACTGCTGTGTACACGGCGCCGCCCGCCTCACCGCCCACCCGCCCACCCTCGCCGCACTCGCTGAGGCCGCCATGACCGCAGTGGCACCCCCGCCTCCCGCCCCCGCTGCTGCCCCCGCCGCTGCCGTACTTCCGCCGCTGTCACTCCCCCTGGAGCAGCGGTGTGCGGTGGTGGAGGGGCTGGCCCGGCTGGCCGCTAGCTTGCCGGCGGCGGAGGGGGCGGCGGAGGCGGGGTGCGCGCTCATGGCGCCGTGTGTGGCGCGGGCGCAGGCGGTGGTGGCGGCGGCGGCAGCTGCGGGTACGGCAGGACAGTGCTGGGGGCCCCCTTGCTGTTGGTGCGTGTGTGGTACTTGTGTGTGTGTGTTTTACACTTGTATTGCGCATGGCCGCACCGGCTCCCCTTCCGTTCTTTTCCCTTTCTCAACACGCACGCCCGCTCCCTCCCTGTGCCCCAGGCGGCCCGCTCTCCCCCGCCACGCTCGCCTCGCTGTCCGCCGAGCTCTCGCTCATGACGGCCGTGGTGCGGTTCATGGAGCCGGCGGCAGCAGCAGCGCCCGCACACCCCCACCCGCTGCTGGGCAGGATGGGGGGAGCGGCAGGAAGTCCAGGAGGGGGAGCTGCGGGGGGGCAGCAGCAGCAGCAGCAGCAGGAGCACCCAGCCATCCGGGTGTTGCAGGTGAGGAACGGGGAAGGGAGGGAGAGGGGCGTGGGGAGAGAAGAACATGAGGTGCAGGGAGAGGTGCGGTTGGCATGGCGGCATATAACGGGGTGTTGTCTCGGAAAGGTAAGCGGGCGGGTACCGGTAGGGTTGGGTGAAGCAGTGAGGGAGCCTTGACCTTTCCACACCACCACTCGCAACCACCTCTCACCACCCTCCACTCCCCTCACCTTCCCCCACTCCCCCCCAGGTTGCCTGGCCGGTGCTTGCGGCGGTGGCGGGGGAGGGGCAGTGTCGGGCGGACCCGGGGGTGGCGGCGGCGCTAGCGGAGCTGTACAAGGTGGGGGGAGGGGGGGGGGAGGGGGGGGGGAGGGGGGGAGGCAGAGGGGGACATCGTTGTGAACACCGGAGCTGGGATGGAGCATCCGCCTGACCTGTGATGGGCCGGCACCCCCCGAAGCAGTATGCCCTTATGAGTCCTTGTTGGTCCGAGTGCTTTCATGCCGGCATGCTGGAATGCTTGCCGTACTTCCCAGCCTCTCACGCTCCCCTCCTGCCCGGCCCCCCAGCGCTCCCTGCTGTGCGCCAAGCAGGCGGGTCGGCCGCTGCTGCCGCCCCTGCTGTCCTCCCTCACGTCCCTGCTGCGCGCCTGCCCGCACGCAGCGGTGCTGGAGGCGCTGTCCACCTGCGTGGAGCTGTTCGGCGAGCTGGCGGGGGAGGGCGGGCGGGAGGCGCGGGGGCTGCAGGTGGGGGCGCTGCAGGCGGCGTGCGAGATGATGGCGGCGCTCGTGACGCGAGTGCAGCAACAGCAGGTGAGGTGGAGGTGGAGGGGAGGGGCAGGGCACGGGAGGGCCTCGCCAACCTCACCAGTCTCCACCTCCAACATCCGGGACCCGCCTACCCCCCCCCTCGCAGGCCGCTGGTGCCGCGCCTCCCCCTTCCGCAACCTCCTCCTCCGCCTCCTCGCCCTCCGAGCTTGCCGCCGCCTTCTTCCAGCTGGCGGACCGGCTGCTGCTGTTCGCGCGGGAGCTGCTGCTGGCGGGGGCGGGCGCGGGGGCGCTGCCGGGGATGCTGGAGTGGGCGGGAAGGTGGGGGCGGGGTTGGGGAGGGACAGATGGGAGTGCTTCGCTTGTGTGTTTGCTTTTCAGGTGGTGTTCCTGTTCATCACAGCTTTCACCACCTTCCCTTCCATGCACGCTCCATGACCTCGTCTGCCACACCCGCACCTCCTCATGTCGCCCCCCTGCGTCTCCTCTCCCACGCCCACACCCACATCCCCTCTTCACCCTGCACCTGTTGGACTCGTGTCATGCGCGCCTCACCCTTGCACCCCTGCCCCCTGCCCCCTGCCCCTCTCACAAACCCCCCTGCAGTGTGCTGCGCCTGATGCGCGAACGCGACCCGGCCGCCGCGGCGCTCTCCTTCCTGAACCACCTGCTGCAAACCGCAACACGACTCACAACCGCAGCTGCCGCCTCCGCCGAGTCTGGCGGCAGCAGCAACCACCACAGCAGCACCCTCAGCAACGGAACAGCAGCAGCAGCAGCAGCAGCTGACGTCAGCAGCAGCAGCGGCAGTGATGTGGCGGTGGATCAGGCGGGGCGGCTGGACTGCCTGCTCGTCTCCTCCGGGCCCCATCTGGTGGCGAGTCTGCTGGTGGCGGGGTGCGACACCCTGCCTCCCGGCCTCATGCGGCCGCTGGCAGGGGTGCTGCAGGGGCTGCTGGCACTCGCGGATGCGGGGGCGGCAGGGGTAGGGGGTGCAGGGCAGTCACGGGGCGAGAGCGGGGTGCGGGCGGGGCTGCCGGGGTGGCTGCGGGGCGCCTGGGGGCAGCCGGCGCTGAGTGAGCTGGTGCGGGGCGGGCGGCTGGGGGAGGGGGGCGGCCTGGCGGTGCGGTTCACGGAGCTGCTGCTGAGGGGGCACTACAGCCCGGGGGTGGCAGGGTGGGCGGGGGCGGGGGGAGCGGCGCTGCCGAGGGGGCGGGTGGACTCGCTGGTAGCGGATTTCTTCGCTGTGGCGCGGGGGGAGGCGGCGGAGGATGTACTGCTAGCGTACGAGTTGTGATGCGGGAGGGGGAGGGGGATAGAGCGGTGCGGAGGGTGGGGGGGGTGGGGTTAGAAGGGGTGTATAGGGGACACAGGAGGAGGTGGGGTGGAAGGATAGCAGCAACAATTGTTGGGGTTGTGAGGCCAATGCATTGGGCATGACCTGAGCGAAGCATGTGAGGTGTGATGTGTGGGCCGTGAGTAACCGCGCTGGGTGCGAGGGCCAGCTTGCTATGTATAGCGGGGGGTATGGTATCGTGGGCGCGAGGGCGAGGGCGAGAGGGCGCGAGAGAGGAGGGAACGGCTTGCGTGTCGTTGTGTGCGTGTCGTGGTAAAGCGAGCATGGTAAAGAGAACGGACTGCAAGAGCTTCTCTCGTGGGGTCGCAACAGCATACGTACTACAGGGTGCAAACGACATGCATGGCACTTCTCCTTACACGTACATGCAACAGACATTGCACGGCCTTCTTTGTCAACAAGCTTACCCCACTCCATGCACGTCCGTGTGTTTCCTTCCTCACAATCTGAGCCTGTTATCACAGAAGCGGCTGCCATTCCGATCGGCCGGGCCCTTTCATCTTGCATCGTTTGTACGAGCCCCCATGCAGGCGATACAGCCTCCCCTCCTCCACAGCTTCAGCTCCCCATCCTAGCAAAGACTAATCCCGCCAACCACATCAGCATACCACACGGCAACAATAACAAGGCACACGTCATCATACCTTGTTGTCTCACATTCGTTCGTCCAAGTTCGGAGAGTCTCATCACAGTAAGATGTCAACAACAACTCCTCAGCTACGGCTCTTTACTCGCAGCGAGAGCATCGTCCGTGAGTCTTCACCTCTGCACCACACGTTCCAAGCAGTCCCTCTCATCACACTTGCATTGCTAAACCCACCACCCACTCATAGCGTTGCAACGTCCGGCCCTCACGACTCAGAAGCTGCGCTGCATACCCGTCTACCTGTACCGGCGGTATTCTCCAGTCGGCACCGGCGAAACCAGACGCCGGGCCGCCAGGGAAGTCGGCCATCAACACCGCCCTCCTCCCCCACTCCATAACTTGATTGCTAGATACACACCAACCGCCACCTGCCGACCTACACCACCATACTCCCCGCTGCTGCTGCGAGTCACGGCCGGACACCCAGCGCCCCCAGCCCACGGCCCCTCCGCATGCAGCACTGCTGCAGTTGCTGCTGCGAGGGTGTGTGGGGGGCGGGTGCAGCTGCTGCTGCGGGCGGAGGGGTCCACAGCAGGAGACCTCGAGGGGGCTCCCAACTAGCGGCTGCTCTGCACCTTAGTCGGACTTCAGGATCGGCTATAATGGGGGGCCCAGACTGGTGGGGGGGGGGCCCAGACTGGGTGCGGCGTTGGAAGCGAGTGTGCAGCACTGCTGCTTCGAGGAGGCGGGTGGTAGCTGTGTGTAGGAGGGAGGTGGAGGTGGGGTGCCCTGGGGAGGCGCTAGCAGTGCGGGGAGTCGCAGGAGCAGTGGCTGCGTCCTCAGGAGGGCTGCTGCTGCTGCTGCTGGCGTAGTGTGGTGGCGGTCCTGGTGGATTGGTAACAGTGCTGGAATGTCCTGGTAAGCTGTGGTGGTGCGGTGGGGTGGTGGGCAGGAGTGGTGGGTGGAGCTGTGTGCTGCGGGGCGAAGGGAGCGGAGGAGGGACTGCAAACCTAGGCCTGTTGGGTGGGGGCCTAGGCTGGCATGGCTCTCTGGTTCCCTTCCACTCCGTGACCCCTCCGCTGCACACTGCCTCCTGCCGTACAGGCTCCAGCCGTACAAGGCCCTCCCCCCGTGGGTCGCCGCCTAGTCCCAGTCGTCCTCCTCCTCCCACATCTCCACCAAGCACTCGACCACCGCCTGGTAGACAGAAGGGAGGAGGGACAGGAGGGGACGAGGGAGGGCAGGAAGGGAAAGCAAGCGGGTTAAGATTTAAGCGGGTGGGGGAGACATGGATGGGAAGGCAGTGGGAGCACCCTCAGCGCAACAAAAGCACAGAGGGAAAATGAGTGGCAAGGGGACGTGACATGAGCCTACGGAACATTGTAGCGGTAGTAAAGGGCATTGTGGGACCGTGGAACAAACATGGGCATCCATTGCTGAAGTGAACTGATGACAAGCCAGCTTAGGAAAGATGTCGGCATCTCACCTCCAACGGTACCGCTCGGGGGAAGGGTTTTTCGCCTAATACCATAGTGTGGAGGTACGTAGGCCTGCATGGGAGCACAGTCACGGATTTCAGGTAGGGCTTACAACATCGCAATTTTCGACACTGCGAGGAACCGGAAGACTTACACGTTACGCTGCCGCGCTTGGGCTGGACGCGTCCCCGACGTCCACTTTTCGCGTTGAGCCAGCCATTTTACGTACCCTGTCGCACGCGAGACGGGGCGATGCCTTAATTGGTGTCGGCCTCAGGGCGTTGCCAAAACACAAGACCACAAGCTCACCTTCGTTTACCCATTCGACTTCCATCTCTTCACCGTTTGGTTTTGGGGGTCCTGGATCTTGTTCTCCTTCTTGCCCTCTTCGCTCATGCTGTTTATGGTGCCCATTAGACAGACTTGAAGCCATTCTCGTCTGCGTAATCCCCGTTTCTCTTGCCGTTGAAAGCAACGATAACGGAGGATGGCTCTTGCGGCTCGGCGCCCTTACGCAGAGTGGGCTTAAACGCGATGTGTAAGTTGCAGCTCGGAGTTAAGCAAAAAACGAGTGAGGGGCCAGCGCAATAAATTTAGAGCACCTGCCAATGTGTTTTACCACAAGACTCTTCTCTGGGGCATCTAAAGGCCGTAGTCGGTGGCCGGAATGCGGAATCCGAAGTTGTCGTACGTGGCGCCATGCTTAGCAGGGGCCCAGCCCCTGGTAACGGAGGTTCCAGTGCTGCCAAGTCAAATGCACTTTGGAAGGAAGCTATGCTGAACGCAAGGTATTCGGGGTTGATACCGGTTATGGTCCTCTCTCTTGCACTGAGCATCGACCATCCGCTTTTACCATCCAGCGTGACGGGCCCACTCCTTCTACTTGGAGCATTCCCTGTCCCAATAATCACGAAACCTTACCAATATAAAAACTTAGCAATCTTATACGTCCTTATTAACCGCTCCTAACCCTACAAGCTGGATGTTGCACTTGGGATGCTAACGCCCGGCGGCTGGAATATACGGAGTCCAAATTGTCTTCAACCTTCAAGCTGAAATCTATAGGCGAAGGCCTATCATGATCCACGTCCTAGCGCTGACCTTTGAAGCCGAACGCATTTTCCGCACATCTGCTCGGGTTGGAGGATCACTGCCTACATGTCTCAGCCGAGGCCACAACGCCCTTCACGCACCGCACCCCCCCACCTGTCACTCCTGGACTGCACGCACTGCTCGCGTCCCGACACCACCAGAGCGCCAGCCAAGCTCTCCAGGCGCCGATCCCGCCCGCCATGCTCGCCTCCGCTCTCATGCACTCTCACCGCTCCCCTCACAGGCACACGCACACACGGCCTCCCTTCACCCCTTGCCCCTCACACACGCCCCAGGCCAGCCCGGGTAGCACTCATTCCCACTCCTTCCTCAAACTGGGTTTGCTGCCAGGGATGTCGCTGCGGGGGTACTGCCGCCGCCGCTGGGGAAGTGCATGTCGACAAGCCGCACGAGCCCCTTCGTTGCAGCTGCTCCCCCGCCTGCTGTCCTGCTGTCCTGCACCTCAGCCGCGGACCGGGGCCGCGTGCTGCGCCTCCGCCTCCACCTCGCGCACCGCCCGCTTCAGGTGCAGCACCTGCGGGTAGGGGAAGGGGCAGGGGGAGGGAGGGAGGAGGGGCGCGTTAGGTAACAGGGGGGAAAGAGGAAGAGGCGGAGGCTGTAGTGTGTAAACTCAGGAGCTGGCCCCTCCTCTACCTGCCTCCCGCCACCCGCACCAGGCCATCCCTGCATGGCGACGTGTCTGAAACCCGGATTACGGCGCCCCGGGTTACGCCTTCCCTGTCCCCCACCTGGTAGCGCAGCTTAGCCACCTCCTCCTCCAGGGCCTTGCGCTCGGACACAGCCTTGGGGATAGTTGCAGGAGGGGCGGGGAGGAGGGCAGAAGGGAAAGGGTGGAGCAGAGCGTGGGTGCCAGGGGGACCTAGGTAGGTGCAGTCTCTTGACAAGAGGCCAGCGGAAGTGCCGTCCAACCTAGATCTAGGAGCTACCGGTATGGCACGAATGCAGTCAAGGGCAGCCGCACCTTGTCTCGTTCCTCCTGCGTCTTCTGGGCCTCCTCTTTCGCCTTAACAAGCACTGCCTTCAGCTCTTGCAGCGCCGACGAGTCCGTAAGACCTGTTTTGCGGGACAACCCTCAGATAACATTAGCGGCGTACTCTCGGTGAGTGATCCATGCTCAAACACGTTTACCTCCTGAGGAAACAAGCGACTCAAGGGCCGCAAGTCGCCTCTCTGCACTCGCAGCACGCTCCTCAAATGCGGCCATGTTCAGCGCGTCCATGGCGGACGGCGGAGGATCTTCCCGGTTAAGGCTAAATATAAATGTTGGAATCAAACAATGCAGGAATATGACTGCAACTACTTGTACGCAGAAAGCTCGAGAAGCACGCCTTTAGGTTAGGGCTACCTAGGTAAACTGAGATTGCTTTTCGGCGACATATATGTTTTCGTACTTTGACGCATCACTGACGACGCAGATTGCACCAGGCCGTGCATGACACGAGCCATGTTCAGTACAGTTCGGTGCACCCCGACGTACAACACGGTACGGTACTGCCCGAGATCAGACGCCGCATGCCACAGGTATGCAGACATGAGATCTTGCGGCGCCTGCCCGAGCGCACAAACCCAGCGTGGATCATGCCTTCGTGCGAACTGCAAAGAACACGTCTGCGAGTGCTTGCCAGGAGCCGCAAGCTCTCATGGGCAAGGCGTGTAACCGCGTGTATACACGCTTGCCTGCTGGGCACAACTGAACTGAAATGCCACGCGTCGACACTTGTGGCATAGACAACAATATACGTGGGACACATACCGGTACTAACATGCATAATTTTATGACGAGTCAACGCCATCACTGGCCCAGCCGGGGACGTGAAAGTACCACACACAACTACAAACGCCCATGCAAAGGTTCCGCGTCCGTATGTCATACTATGGGCAACGATTGGAATGCATGCGCCCTCATTCGCCTGCTCACGAGACAAAGCTCTAGGGCATTCAACTACCCCACACCTTCACCAGTCTGCTCTCACTGCGTGCAGCCCGGCTCACCAACACGTACCGTATGCTGGAAGCGAAACATCACCGACTTCGTCCAATGGTAGCTGCTTCGCATCGAGGGCGCCCTGCTGACGCATGACCCGCTGAGGCACCTGTGTGATGTCTACAAACGCCAATCGTGAGAGGCCCCTTCACTTGACCGGCCTGCATGTGCCTGAACACGGGAGCTTGGCTACGGCAGCAAATGGCACCGACCGATGAGGCCAACAGCTGCCCACCCCCTTCATTGATAGTTCGGTAAGTTTCTGGGTTCAGGAGGTGAGACACGGGCGACACGGCGGTGCTGCCGTACCTGCATGCTGTACTGCCGTACCTGCATGCTGTACTGCCGTACCTGCATGCTGTACTGCTATTACAGTGTCAGTGCAACACCCGCCCTTACTTGGCATGCCCACCCTGTGGATGCTCACGGACGAGTCATGCGGCGGTACAACTGTACGACAGCTATTGGATCTCCCCTTGCAGGCAGCAACAGCAACAACACCAACAGACCGTCAACGGCCAGCAGGGCCAGCAGCAACCCTGCCCTTCCCACCGGGACGGGGCAGTCAACGAGTCGCAATCGCGAGCTTCCGAACTTCACAACACCGCATCGCAACTCACAACACCGCATGCAACCTCTGTTGACCCCGGCGCCAGCAACGGAGGAACCCCAGCGGCTCCCGCACGCTTGCACACAGAGGAAGAGGACATGTCGAACGCACGCGGTCACCCGCACCGGGCTGCACCTTCGTCTCCCCAACTGCGAGAGAAAACACCAACGGTTTCAGCACGCGCGCTTCGAGAGCACACAAATCGATAGACTGAACCGCATGCTCGCACATCACCTTGTACCAAAGCAACACGAGATCAAGATGGCACACGCCCTGGATGCACCTGGGTGCACCATGCACACACCTGACTAGCTTATTCAACTAACTACCAACGTACTACAAACATCATTAACCGGCTAAGCGGGTCTCTAAATACGAATATTTTGAGGTTTTGGCTTCCAAACGGACAAGTAATGGTAAAAAAGAATAGCACGCCAAGCTAAGGCTCACAACGGCGCACGGAGGCTTTTTGCAGGGACGCAGCCTATCCTAGAAGCTGTCAATAATAACCTGAGCGCTCATTTCGAACAAGTAACAAACATATCACCTTAACGAGCTAGAGCAACGCGTCTGACAGTGCCTCCGCTCCTCCCCTTCCCTGCCCCTTCTCCACCTCTTGTCCCCCCTCACGCCGCAAGCAGCGCCTCCTCCTCCTTCTTCTGCCTCTTCTCCGCCTGCTGCTCCTCCACCTCACGCCTCACCTCCTCCGCCTCCCTCTTCCGGCAACCCTCCAGCTGGAACAACCGAAGCGCCGCCCCCAACGTGGTCTGGTAGGTCGTTCCCATGTGCTGGCTCACGCTGAACGCCACGCCGCGCTTCAGCTTGTCAACCAGCTTCAGCTGCAGCGCGGGCGGGACCAGCTGCAGGTCGCCGTGCGGCTCGGAGGGCTGTACGGCACGACCCACGTGTGTGTATTTGAACGTGCGGGGCACGCTGGTGTGGAAACGGGGAGGGGAGGGGGAGTGAAGGGGAGGGAGGGATGGGTAGAGAAGAGGTTGGTGGAGGGGAGGCTTTTGCAGCGACGTAACGGGCACGATAGGGGACATCGCGTACCAGCGTGTGCGGTATGTGTAGGCAGACATGACAGCAGCAGACGTGACCCATGGGTCGGCCTCTCAGCCAGCAAGGCTTTCCAAGAGTCCCTCGCCTCATTTCCGGCCTCACCTGACCACGATGTCGTACTTGTTGGTGACTCGGAAGGTGTTGGGGATCAGCCTGTCGTACTCGGACGCGAAATGGTCGTTACCCACTCGGGGGGCGCCGAAGGTGTAGCAGGTGATGTCACGGGCGGGGTCGCTGGGGTGGGGGGTTAAGGGTGGGAGGTAGGGGGTCACACATTGACCAAACCATAGGAAACCACAGGTTAGGGCAAGTGGCGAGGTGGGGCAAGCATCGTACAAGGGGTGTGGAGGTTAATAACTGAGCCCCGAAGAGACTGGCTGTGCGGAGACGTGTGAGGTGTATAGCAGCATGGGTTGTCGAGGCAAGGCGCGGACGTGCAGAAGGCAAGCTCCTAGCCATCTATATAGAGCAACCCACGGTGAGGCCTCATCATGCAGCTCGTCAGCTTCGTCCTTTTTTCTCCCTCCGACCCACGGGTCGCGCCCACATCAGCTCCCCACTCACCTCTTCTTGAGGTCGTACGACCCCAGTGTGGCAAGTGCACCTCCCAGTGAGTGTCCAGTCACCAGGATGCGCCAGGGACCGGAGGCGGGGGGCTGGGGGCTGCCGGCGGGGGGCGGGGGCGAGGTGGCGGCGGCCACCAGGGCCAGCAGGGTGGGGCGCACACTCTCGTAGGCGGACAGGAAGCCCGCGTGCACACGGACCTGGGAGGGGGCGGGGAGAAGGAGGAGGAGGAGGAGATGGGGTTGTAGGGAGGAAGAGTGTACAGAAGGAGGGTAAGGACGGTATGTCAGAAGTGGCTGGGACGAAGCGCTCTGCAGCGTTCTGTATGCAATGAGGCACTCAAGGGAGCTCAAGGGGGCAGCTAGTTCCCAGTCTGGGGCCCCCCCGCTGTACCCATGTCTCGCCCCAACCCGACGCTCCCCGCCCATCCTCTGTCTCCCCTCCCCTACCTTGGGGTCAGTGGGGTTGAGCTTCTCCGGGTACACGGGCGCCAGCCGCAGGTCGGAGAGCACATCCTTGAACTGGCTCTGCAGGGGGAGAAGGGGGCAGGCGGGGAGGGAGGCAGGGAACCGAGTGAGGGTGTTACTGACGTACGCACACCGCTGGTGGTGTATGCATAAGCAAGAGGTCCCCCGGGGGATGCGATCACGAGGAAGAGGCAGACCCGCAGCGGCACACAGGGCTGGGTGGGATCGGCAGGTAGGTTTGACAGGGGCCAACATGGCTGGTTTGCTGCCCCCACCCCGCACCCTCCCCCCGCTCACCGGCTCGGTGCCTCGGAAAGCCACCACCAGCGTGCGGCTCTTCTTGTTGCGGTGGATCCAGCCCTGCAGCAGTACGGGGCAGCAGCAGCGGCGTGAAACAACTGCTACCGGATACCACATATGAAGTCTCGTGCATGAGGGACATGTATGGGGGGAATGCGTTAGGACACAAGAAGACAGCGACAGAAGCGAACACTGTGGTCGTGCATCAGTATCAGCGCCTCCATGCCGACCGCTGCTACTCGCCTGCTGCCCCTCTTCTCCCCATCACTCCACTGCCTTGTCACACCTGGCTAGTTGTGCCCACATCCCCCTTCCACCCCACCCACATCCCCCTTCCACCCCACCCGCATGCCGCTCCCCCCCTTGCACCCCTTCCACCCCACCTGCGTGCCGGTGCGCGGGTTGTCCAGGTAGCACAGCGGCTTCACGTCCTTCACCGCCGCCTCCTCGCCCATCAGCTCGCTCAGCTCGCGCCACCTGCGCGCCTCCTCCCCCGCGGGGGCGGTCACGGACACGGCAGCAGCAGCGTCGCAGGCATCATCGCCTGGGGAGGAGGTTTTGTTTTGGTTTTGGCAAAACCATAGGAAACCACAAGTTAGGGCAAAGGAGTGGGGTTAGGAGGCGGCACGGAGGGTAAAGAGGAAACAACAAACGAACGGCTGCACGCAGGGGGGAGGGAGGGCGGGAGGGCAAAAGGCAGGGCAGGGAGAAAGAAGGCGGCCGGAGAGGGACCGAGTTCACCAGGGGAGAGTAAGGGGAGCGCAAGGGCACCAGGTGCAGGTGAGCAAAGGATCGTTGTAAATTGTGTAGCATACCGGTTCGGCCGCTCATCCCTCCCTCCCTCCCTCCCTCCCCAGGCAACCCACCCAGCTCCTTTGCAGCAAGGCAAGCAGCGACCTTGGCCACCTGGGGGTTGGTGATGGCGGGGGGGGGGGGGTGGTGGTGGCAGGGGGGGGAGTGGGAGGGGGGAACCGAGCGCGAAGTGAGTGGGGAAGTCCGAGAATCAGCCCGAGTCGTTAACGGTAGGCGTCCGCCCGCCTTGCCCCCACCTCCCTGAACCCCCCCTCGCTTCTGAGCACCCACCCACCTCCAGCCCCGCCGCCGCCTCCGCCTGCACGTCGGTGCTGTTCTGCGCCGTCAGCTGCCCCAGCTGCTCCTTACTCAGCTCCGACCAGTCGCTCAGCCGCACGCGCAACACCACCGAGGAGCCGGACTTGGCGCCGGGACCTGGGGGTTGTGGGGTGGGGTGGGGTGGTGGAGGGGTTCTTCCGCTTAGGGGTAACGTTCCGTACCACTGCTGGTACGACAACATCTGTTCATTCGTTGCCCCTGGCTTTGCTGCCTTGTGGTTCAATACTCTTTTCAGCACTAGTGGCCCATCGCGGTTCCGCCTTCCCCTTCTCAGGCTCCAGTTGCTGCACTTCTCATTTATTCTCCCCCTCACCGCTAAGCTGCAGCTCCATCTGCTGCTCCCTGCCGGCCTTCAGCTCCCGCAGCGGTACGGCAGCCTCCCCGAGCAGGTCGTGGTTGAAGCAGCGGTCCTCGTCCCACAGCTGTACCTTCAACACGTCCTCCTGCAGGCTCCTGAGGAGGGGCGGGGAGATGCAGGAGGCGGGGAGGGAGGATGAGGACCTCAGAATTAACAACAGCAACGCGACCATGACTGCTGGGGCCCGCAACTCACCCCACGGGGATGCTCATGGCCGGCTCCTTGTGCTCGTCCCAGACGGGGTCGAGGCAGTCGTGGACGGTGGTTGTACGGCAGGAGCAGATGCCCACAGACACCACGGCGAAGGGGTCGGAGAGGCTCATGGCGTCGGAGTTGCGCAGTTTGGAAGCGCGCAGCACCTGCACCTCCACCGCACCGCGGAACACTTCCTTGAGGAACTTCCTGTAGGCGGTGGTTGAAAGGTTTGAGGCGTGAGCGATGGCACAAAAAAGTACAAACTGGCTTAATGGGATGCCGGCGTCTAACGCTGGGGTCCTTCGCTGACGCAAAGGCTTTAACTGCAAAAAGGTAAATATATTTACTGAGTACTAATTGAGGCATGTTTACCAGCATGTCGCTTAATTTACAAGCTTATGCAAGCATAAGCTTTACTCACTCATCCAGGCAAGTAACCGCGGTACCCGGTGCGCTATGGGTTACAGGACGACTGCCTTGCGTTGGCGGGCTGTAGGCATCGAATGCAAGCACCGCGAGCGGGACTGCCATCGCCAAATCAAAGCACGGAAGGTCGGCCTTGCAGGCATCGTCTCCCGACGTAAGCAAGTACCGGCGAGAAGGGTTCAGAAAGCTCAATATGCTAGATGTGACCGCATCCAGTGTTCGCCGCAGCCATGACAACATAGTCCTAAGCACCATTTTTGAACAGAGGAGGCCTGCGCACTTGCCACAGAAGCCTTCTACTACCAATGCCCAACCCCGTACTACTGCGTAACAATTGACCAAATTGATGTAGGCTCTGGGCTTTTCGGGGCACACCTGAGGGGCCTTATGGCCGTTAGGCGATTGCCGAGACGCCACCGCTTGGCCGACTTACGAACAACGACACATAAACGCCATTAAGGTGGCAAATTTGGTTGTGCGTGCTTACAAAGGGCGAGTGAAGTCGTAGGCTCGCACGTCAGTCGCGACCACCGCTACGAAAAAAATGGTTAGGGTGAGTTCATCTCGCGATAGATAGCAAACACAGGGTTACTGGGTGTGCTTTGAGACTGCGCTGCAAACTCCCTTTTTGTTCATACGACGCAAGCAAGCGCTTCCGAGCCCGACATGGCGCTTTTTCGCGAATCGGCGAAGCACTTATTATATTTTTTAATTGTCCGTTGAGCTGTCAGTTGTCTGAGATGCATGAAGTATAAGCCTGCATCTGCTGTGCTCAAACCTAGGCAGCGATCACAGCAACTGCAAAATAATGGCCGGCTTCTCGCAAGCAGGATGCGTACGCGGATAAGAGGATAGGCAGCTCAGAAGGGTTACATACTTATATTTAGAGCTTGTCCGTTACTCTCGCAACGGCAGGCCCCGTGAAGACGCCCATCGCTTGCGGCTTCTACCGGCAGCATGGCCAAGGCAAACATCTGCCCTTTGCGGCTCTTGCGTACTCCAAGCATTCCCGATTCTCCAAATAAACACCTTGTAAATAACTGTTTCAAATATTATTGACCGTTTGCGAACGGTATGCTCCCCTCACCTGACGCCTGCAGTGCAACTCACGTACCGTAGTTGCGGCAGCCACTTCAGGGCTCGTCAGACTAGAGCAACTATCCCTCCTCCCATAAAAGCTGTCATAGTCATCCAACCCCCATCCTAAAAGCTCCAACCATACACGCAACACGTGGGATGTGGCTATACCCTCCCATGAGCTCACGCAAGCCGGTAACGCTATGTTTACATGCGGTGTTAGGATGACCGCCTAGCCTAGACGGCCAGGCAGGCTTCCCATAGGGGTTCAGAGACCCCAATGTCCCCCACCGGCCCCTTGCCTCACCAAGAGTCCCAACTGGCCAACCTGCACATTCTTCTTTTGCACATGCAATTCGTCCATGAAGCCTGCATGCACAGAGCAACGTCTTGCTTACACCAAGCAGCATCCAATGACTTCCATGCAGCATGCAGCTCTTAAGGAGGAGCTCCATCCAGCTGCTGTGCCCTGCCATCCTAGTCCTCCTGCACATCTGGCCTTCCTGCCGACACCGCGCCGGCCGACGTACCGCACTCGCCTGCTGCACACTACTACTGCATCAGGCACACACGGCTGCAGGCCGACAGCCACAAGCCCAGGCGCCAACCCGGGGCACCAACCCAGCTGCAGTCCAGCCCCTCCACTGCCGTACACCACCGCCCCCAAACCCGCGTCCTCCTCACCCCGGTGGAACACACTAGCGAGAGGGGTGTGCCACGTCCCCTGAGGCAAACCACTGCTGAGCCTCGCGACACCACCAACCCCCTACCCCCACCACCACCGCTACTGCTACTACCACTGGCTGCTGCTGCTACTGCTGCGGTGCCCCCAAGGGGAAGCCGCAAGCAGGTGACCACCATATTCGCTGTCCCCAGACCCCCGGCATGCCGCCCTTGAAGCCCAGGCTCCTGCCGCCGATCAGCCTCCGCCACGACGTTACCCTCTCCGCCTTCCCCTTCCTCCCGCCGGTCAAACCCCGCCTGCCTCCTCCTTCCCGCATGTGGGCTGTGGACCGCTGCCTGCCAAGTCGCATCAGCAGCAGCGTCATCAGCAGCAGCAGCGTCATCAGCAGGAGCAGCTGGCTGGCTGTGCGGCTGCAGGCGCCCCGCCCAGCTTCACTCCGCCCACCGCGGTGGTCTCCAGCAGCGAGGGGGTGTCCAGGATCTGGAAGCGGGGGGAAGGGAGGTAGGGAGGGAAGGAGGTAGGAAGGGAGGTAGGGAGACAGCGAAGAGCGTGACGACGAGGGGGGAGATAAGGTGCGGGGGACTAGGTAAAAGCGTAAGACTAGATAGGACGGATCGGATAGAGCAGTTGGAGTCAGGTCGACTGGCACAGCCCAGCCCAGTGAAGCCCTCCCTCCCGCCTCCTTCCTTCGCTAATCATGCATTTTCCCTCCCTCGCCTCCCCACTCCCCCCCCTTCCGTCCCACCTTCATCAGCAGCTCCTCGAACGCCTGCCCCACCGCCAGGTTGGCCCGCGCGGAGGTCTCCACGAACAGGCAGCCGTGCCGCCGAGCGAAGTCGTGACCCTCCCCGCTGCTAACCTGCCGCTGGGAGGACTGCGGGAGTGGGGTGGGGGGCAGCGGGGGGGTGCAGCCGGTGGGGGACGGATTAAGGAGAGCAGCCACACAGCCGCACCGTGCAACCTGGCACTCCATGTTCCCTCACCTCCTGTCCCCCCAGCCCGGCCCCGCCTTCCTTCTCCCTAACCCCTTCCCTGCCAGGTATGACTCACGCAATCCTGCATTCCAGCCCAGTGATTCCGGAGACTACCAGGTCCACACCCCATCCCTCCCTCCCCTACCAGGTCGACCTTGTTGGCCACCACCATCTGAATGGCGCCCTCCACGGTGCTGTAGATGTCGAACTCGCGCATCCAGTTGTCCTCAAGCGCGGTGAAGGTGTCCCGGCGGGTCACGTCATACACTGGCGGGTACGGCAGGGGCGGGGAGGGGAGGGGGGAAGAGGGCTGACATGCGGCGTCGAAGGGTTAGAGGCTAACCAAGGACCGCAGGGGGCTTACCAAAGATGATGCCCTGCGCTCCTCGGTAGTAGCTGCTGGTCAGGGTGCGGAACCTGAGGAGTGGAGGGGCATCAGGGACGGGTGAGGTGCAGGGTGCCGGCAGAGTGCGGGCGCCCGAGCGGAGGTGGTGGGGCAGGGGGAGAGACACTGCTGGGATAACCGTGCTGTCGCTTTCGATGCTGTTGACAGTTTCTGCTGGATGGGTACGGCAGATGTGCGTTGAGAGCCCCCGATCGCGAGTTGCAGGGCTGCAGCAAGCGAGGTGCCGCGTGAAGGCAACGCCGTGCGGGACTCGGCAATCCGTACGAAGAAGTGTATATACAGGGCCGCACCTCTTGCCCAGCCCATCGCGGTGTGAACCGTTACAGGATGTTCATGTAGGCCGGTGGCCCTTGGACTCCCCACCCCGCCAAAGTATGTCCTCACCTTTCTTGCCCTGCCGTGTCCCAGATCGTTAGTTTGCACCGCTTGCCAGCTGCTGTTAAATACTTGACTTTAAAGTCCACGCCTGATGATACCGTGACCGGTAACTTATGGAACAGCCAAACACGCTTACATTGGAAGGGGCATGGACAGCTTCCGCACCTATTGTCGAAGTCGTGCTCTCCTCAAACGAGCCTGACGTAAATCTTGTAAGGATACAGCTTTTGCCGACTCCACTATCTCCTACCAATAATACCTGTTAACCGAGTCAAATGCGTCAGCACAAGCTCAGCCTAGGCATTCTACATTGGCAGCCGACCTTAAACGTATAGTCGTGTGAGTCGACTGCCATGTCCTTATGAAAGCGACGAGAGCCTACAAGAGGTCACCGTGTAACAAACACAGAGCTAAGCAAGGCTCAAGCAAAATAACTCGGTCTTGGTCAAGTAGCATGTAAACCGACTGCAATACCAAGTACTGTGCAAGTGTCCACTGTCTAGCCTGCTGAGCACGGTTTGCGACAGCTGCCGTACTTCCATCATCGGCTCCTGTATTCGGTTGCATTGTAATTCATGGTTCGTAACACTAATTCCGTATCACAGTTGCATCATAGAAGCATTTTTGCCCTAACACCCACAGTCACATGTGCCTCGCTCCGTTGTCGCTTAGTCACGACATGCACGTCCGCAGCGGGCACTTCACACTTCGCACGCAAAGGGCAGTCGACAGCCGAGCGTCTATATGCAAAATAATGCAGCAGTTAATGAAAGCCTTAAAACTCACGGAACTTCACAATGCGCCAAACCCACATCCACCCATCGGAGCCACCTGTCACGCCCGTGGCTGTAGCAACTGCTACTCTTGATCATGATGGAGTTGCTCCAACACCGCTACAGCGCAGTGCGGCGCTTCTTGCTCTTGCCAAGAAGCGGCGATACTGCTTTAGTCAGCGGCTTCGCAGGAACCGGCTTTACGGTTTGCGGCACGGAGAGGTCCGGCATCGGCCGCGCGTAGAAGACAGTGGCCTTCCGCAGCCGCTGCCGTTCCTCCTCCTCACGCTGGCGCGCCTCCTCAGCGGCACGCTGGGCAGCCAACTGCGCACGACAGGAGCAGACAGAAGGGAGTCAGTTACCGCCTAGGCATGTTGCGGGGACAGGGCCTTTCCACTCACATACTGTCATGGCAGTCAAGATAACATGCATCCTGCTTTGCAGCAGCTGCCTATACCAGTTCGCCTACCGGTACATCACCAATAACCGGAAGACGAAGACAACTTGCAAAAATGCTTACCTCAGCCTCCTTCATCTTCTCCTCAACGGCCTTATTGAAGGCTTCGCGCTCCGCGGCACGGTGGTTGGTTTGCAGCGGTACGTTCTCGGGCACCGTCAAGGGGAGGTTGGCGTCGTGGACGCGGAAGGGGATTGCACGCCACACGGGCTTGGCCTGAAGGGTTGGACGCAGTATAAGGGCGTGAAGGGCTACAACTTGGGGGAGCTCTTAAAGCATGCCTGCACAATTGTGACCTCAGCCGGCAGGAATCTAAACACATCTAGGTACAGCCTGGACTTGCGCAATGCCTACCCCACACACCTTGAACTCCGCTTCCGCGCGCTTCGCCGCCTCCTCCTCCTCAAGCGCCTTGCGGCGCCTCTCCTCGTACCCCTCATGCCGGACCTGTAAGCAAACGATCGGAAGATGTTGCAACGGTCACGTAACCACCGCGTCCCAAACGCCACACAACGGATTAAGCATGCCTTAAGCAAGCTATACTCCAGGCTTCACGGCGCCGCTCATGCTACTCCCACAGGCCAAGCCCCTCACCTCGCTTGCCAGGCGGAAGGGCTCAGGGATGGTCGACTTGCGTGGCGCGGGCTTGGGTGGAATCAAAGGCACGTCTGTCGAGAGCGGCAAGCCGTGCGCGCGCGGCACACGGGCACGCCGCGCCGCCGCCTCCTCGGCCTCCAGCTTAGCCGACATGGCGGCGCGGTGCTGCTCGCCGCGCTGCTCGGTGGTTAACCGGAAGGGCTGCGGCTGCGTTGGCTTGGGCGCGAGATCCATGTGCACGCCCAAGGACTTGAGCTCCATGCTGCGAATGGGAGGGTTTGCTACGTAAGAAAGCATAAGGGACTCACCAATAGGATGCATGTCTGCCGCGCTGTTTAAAGAGTTGAAAGGTGACCTCTGCAACCTGAATTGCTGGGTGGACTAGCATGCTGCCTTACCTCGGCATGCTGATGAATTTGGGCAGAGGCCGGGCGTGGAACTCGTGCTTCGGCTCCTCCACCTTGCTCTGAGGGTCGCAAGGAACACAGGGCAATGCGATTGCGGCAGTTTGCAGGCTAGTAAAGCAAACTTCAGCATACCGTAATGCATGGGACACCCGGGAGTAGCTGCAAGGTAGCGCCTGCATGCTAATGGGGGCATGGCGTCATGCTGCACCACGTTACCTGGCGAGCGCGAGCCTTGGTGTGCAGAAGCGGCGAGCGTGGAATAACGGGCTCTCCCTGCGACAAGGCACATGGGGGAGGTATTCATCACTGCAAGTGACAAGAGATCGCGGACAGCACTGAAAGGGAGTCCGGCCACAGCAGGGCTGTAGCCTACATCTCCAACAATCTATACTCCACTGTTCGTCTGGGGCTGAATCCTACACATTCCAGCTGCCTAGTGCCCGCAAGCACCAGGAATCTTACCGGCACGAACGCAACGCTCTTGCGAGCCTTCTTGGGCAGCTCCTTCTCAGCCTCCTCGCCCTCCACCTGCTGCTGTAGAGCCGCACGGCGCTCCGCCCGGTCGTCCGTGACGAAGTGGAAGGGCGCCGGCTGCGTCTTCTCGCGCTTCTCCACCTTGGGCAAGCGCAGCACTCCGGAGCCGCTCAGGATAAGCGGGCTGAGGAGGAGCGGCAAGGGCAAGGGCGGGGTAAAAGCATGCTGAAGCACCGAAAAGAGCCGAATCACGAATAGAAACCATAGCACGGCAAACTACCCCTTGTGTCTACATTAGCCGTCGCCTACATACTTTAGGGTGCTGGCCTTGAAGACCGGCATCTGTGCCATCATCTCCTCCTCCTCCACTTCCCGTGGCTTGAAGGTGCTGGCCCGGGTCCGACGCAACACCCGAAGCTTCGGCTCCTACGGAAAAGCCAACGACCAGGGTGGTTAGGGCGGCACCGCTGAAGCAGGAAGGGGCCATGTCTTGCGCCCTACAAAGGAGGGATCGCACCTTGGGCATGGTTGGCTTCTCGGGCACCTTCGACGGTGGCGGCTCGTCCGGGACGCGCTTAAAGCGGCTAGGCGTCTTGTCGAACTCCTTGACTCGGAGCACCAGGGGCTTGTACGGGCTGGAGTCCTGCGTGCATGGAATAACCCAAAGCGCCGCGACAAAAAGGGTCAGATGGGGCATGTGCTTCTACAGCAAGCCGCGTAGCAGTCATTGTGGCAGTTAATGATTGCGTCTCTCTACGGACGTGGGGAAGGCGCGGGCGCGTTGGGAAAGGCTGGAAGGGAAACAACTCAACGGATTGGTCTTCTTCGTGCAGCTGCTCGACCTGCTCTCCGGATCCATGCTTGCTGCTGTGCGCCTGTGCCCGCTTGGACGTGTGCAGCTCCAGCTCCTCCGGGATGGTGAGCTTCTTGGTGGACAGCGCGACCTTGGCGCTCCTCTTCTCCAGGATCCTCTTTAGCTTGGTCTCCAAGTTCCTGGACACCTTGGTCTTTATGTTCTTGACCACCTTCAGCTGGTTCTGTTAAGATGAGGGCAACGGCAATGAGGCTTGCTAACTGCAGTACCACTGCCAGGCATGCGGGGGCATGGTGGGCATGATGCGTGCGTGTGCATAGAGTGAACAGAAGACGCCACGCGTCTGTGCAGATGCAAACATGGGCTGCCGCCGATGGCCTAGAGGGTGTTCAGCTAGGCGTACTACAGCGAAAGTGTCTATATGAATCGCTAACCGCCGCATGCCTCTGGCCCATGAATGTCAGGGAAGCGTGTGCAATTCCGTGACGTCGCGTCGTGCAGAGTTACGCCCTCATCAGCCTAAGGAGGGAGCAGACGCACGCACCTCCTTAGCTGCTTTAATGGGCCGTGTCTCGGCCGCCTTCTTGTGCTTGGGCCGGGTCACCGGCGGGCGTTGAGCGGCACCCTCGCTAGAAGGCTTAGCAGCCTTGGCGATGGGTTGCTCGGAGGCACCTGCTGAAGGTACCTCAGGTTAGTAGGCTCCTGCCACGTGCCTTACACTTAACCGTACAGTCGCTTACCTTCCTCTGCTCTGCGCTTCTTCTGCACCTCGCTTGTGCCCCACGACGTAACAATGTTTTTCTTCCGAGCCGGCTGCACAGGCAAATTCAAGCGGCCTCAGCCCAGCGAAAGTAACTGCGCACAGTAACGTACGCGTACCTTTGCTTCGGCAGCATCCGCAGCTACGTTTGCGTCGTTCCTTACGTCACGAAGAGGTTCCCTGCTGCTGCTTGGTCCCTTGGCTGGACAGGGAGTAGCTGTCGCGACCTCCGCGTACACATCTGAAGGGGGCGGCCTTTCCATGAGCGCTCTACCGTATTTGTAATAATAAAGCAACGAACGTACCTTCCTCATGTTCTCCAAACCAGGAGCTGTGCCGGGAGCCTGTGCTTATAGCATCGAAGTCCCTGTAATGTGGGGCGCAGAACTCGTAACGTGCTTCCATCTCGGGCTGCTCCTCAGCCATTTTGACTAGAAGAGATCAGGTGCGGAAATACTGTGACACAGGTCAGCTAGGCGATTCTAGTAGGAAATCATAGTTAGAACTTGTGCAGCGCTGGATTTTATGAGTTACTGATCAAATAGTCTACAGAAGAGTTATAAGTATAAGAACAACTATCGCTGTTGCCTCTGTTTGCGTGTCATGCAGCGCATACTTCATTGAATGGATCCAGCCTGGATTCCAGTAGGCCTTCTCGGAACGCTAACCCAAGACGGAAATGACACAAGGAGTCTTTCGGACTAGTCATATTATACAGCTGACAGCTGTTAAGCCTGCTTATCACCCCCGAACTTGCAACCATTTCTGTACCTCAGTTGCACCTCAGGGCATGACGCGATGCCTAATTCATAGTTAGGATGCACCTTCTTACACATAATGCTGTTAAATAACCCGCTTGCGATATGGCGACTCGTCGGCACACGGCATGGGCAACGCCAGGTCACGGGAGTCAGCACCAAGTCTCTACCGCCGCCATCCCTCAGTGGTGGTGCTGTCACGAATCCTCGCAGCGCCTATAATCCTCTGGTCTTGGCGTATCTAGGGGACGCCGTTTGGGAGGTGGGCTGGGTGGGAAAGGCCCAACCCGTCTTTAACCCCTTGCAGCAACGCGCATCCAAGTACAGGCATGTCGCCCGCCCGGCCACATAGCAGGCACGTGGACGTCATTAAGTACATAGACAATCACGCATGGCCGCGCCCAGCGCAGGCACACACTCGCCGCTTGGAAGTCGAGATTGAAACCATCGTCAGCCAACTTCAGCAACAGACATGGTCAACTGCCAGGAGCGACGAGTCACGCAGCCAGCCCCGACCTGCACGAGGGCGCGGTAGCGGGCGGGGAGCGCGAGGACGCGGTGATGACAGGGCTCGTTCCAGGGCCAGCGAAGGAGCAGCCGCCGCCAGCAGCCACGGTGTTTGCGACGGTGGTGAATTCGGCTTCCCCAGCCGCCAGCAACGCAAGCAGTGGTCCACAGCCAACTTCCAGGTAAGCGCGAGCTGGAGGGCTGAGAGGAACTCCGCATGTGACGCTGTGAGATCCTGGCTGTGGGGAGCCGGAGCAGCACCCCGGGAGTAGTAGCGAACCCTCCGCCTCTGCTGCAAACATACCGACAAGCAACCCATCGGTAGCCCACGCATGGTACTCAACCCTCTTCCCAATGCGCGGTATCCGGAGATCCACTGCTACCCTCCTAACCAAAGCCACTCCCCACTCCCCACCCGTTCCTGCCCTGCCCCGCCCCCAGGCGCTAGTCTTCGATGCGCTCATGGCGGAGGGCCTCCCACCGCCGCCCCACTACCTGGCCGCCGCAGTCTCCTCCCACATTGGCCCTACCTCCCCAGCACCCCAACTCCAACCACCTCCCGCCTCACCGCTGCCGCCGCCGCCACAGCCCTCCCTCACCCAGTCACGACCCACCACACCCGTCCCGTCTAAGGAGGAGGAGCTGCCGGGATCACCCCCGCAAGCTGCAGCCCCCGGCGGCGGCCCGGCAGAAGCGGTTGACTCCGGAGCGGCTGCTGCCACCGCCCCTGCCGCTGCCGCCGCCTGCCCGCTGGTCCTGACGGCTGAGGAGATGGAGGTGCTGCGGTGGGGCCGCAACGCGGGTGTCAGCAGCGTGCCGCGCAACGTGTCGGTGGGACTGTACAAGAAGGCGACCGCGGTGGAGGTGCTGGTGGGTGGGGGGGCGCAGGGGCGGCGGGGCCAGGGCGGTTGGAAGATGCCGCTGAGCTGCGTGCGTGCTGTTCGTTGCGTTCCGTACTCTTGACCAGTCTTCTCACTGCGCGTCAGGTGTTGCTTCACCTCTTCCTCGGATGTCCCATGCTTCCCGCTTCCTCCCACCACCCCAGGTGGCGCACATGTACCTGACGGCGCCGCAGCGGTGCGCGCAGCTCATCGCAGCGGCGGTGGCGGCGCCGCTGCTGGCAAGGCAGCTGCAGGACCAGCAGCAGGACCAGCAGGAGGAGGGCCCATCTGGGTCGGAAGCTTAACGATAGGGTTCCATGTAGGGGCCACAGCAGTGGGAAGCGCGTCGCCCTTGGGTTGGATTGCACTGGGGAAAGAAGGAGAAGAAACCATGCTGGGGAGAAGAGACGCAGGATGATGGGAGCGTGAAGAGCTCTAATGGGACCCGGGGCCCGCTGCGTTGAGTGGTGCACGCAAAGGGAGTGGGAAGTTGGAAAGCTGTGTGCAGGAGGGCTGGCAGGTGGGTGATGGGTGCCCAGGAGTGCTGGGTGCGGCGGCCGGAACTCCTTGGAAGGTAGCTGCTTAAGAAAGGCTTGCTCGGTTACAAGGGCAGCTGCTGATCACCGCTGATGCATTAATCCTTGTGCCATTCTTTTCTTGCTGCCGACATTTGGTGTTGTAATCAACACAAGCATGCAGGGTGCTGCGACGAGGGTGTTTGAAGGACGTAGATACTGGGGGGCATGAATCATGAAAACGTCACCAGCGATTGTTGGAGGGAATCCTGCTGCAATGCTGGGTACTCCGTGTCTGTTCCAGGGCACCGCAGCATGCCGCTATCATTCTTGCAGTCGGAGGGATAGGCGACTTCCCTTCTAATTGTGACGGTGCCTGTGACTCCTCCTCAGTACAAACAGTCATTCGACAACCCAGTTGCTCAGCTGCTTAATCCGCAAACATCTTGCATAATCCACAAACACGTGCGGCGTTTCCGTAGGGACTTCATTTACGGCATTCACAGTACATTCCGCCTCGCGGCCAGTTTCTTAACACATTCGCGGCCAGTTTCTTTTCACCCGCCTCACAGCTTTAGCGCCGTCATAAACACGTGCTGCAGCCCCGCCTCCCGACACATCACCCCCAGCTGCGACATCCCACCCTCCTCATCCACCTCCGCAAACGGCATTGCGCACCCCAACCGCCGCAGCGACTGCACCGCTGCTCTCCTCGCAACATCCCCCGCCCCGCACCCCACTCCCCCTACTGCAACGCCACTCCCCTGCAGCTTGAGCCCTTGCAACCGCTGCTGCATGCACCCCAGGGCCGCATCCCCGCGGTCCGGGGCCCCTGCCGCTGCTGCTGACCCTCCTGCAGAGAGGGTGTCCGTGCTGCTGCAGCTGCTGCGTGACCCATGGGTCGTCGTCGTTGTCGGCAGCGGCGGCGGTCGCAGCAGGTCCTGCCCCCGCACCTGCATGGCTTGCCAGCTGAGCTGCCGCATGCGAGCCAGGAACTCCCGTACGTCCACCGAGTGGCCCTCCACCACCACCACACCTGCAGGCAGGCATGATAGCACGGAGCAGGCAGGTAGGCACGCAGCAGGCCGCCGCAACCCCCGCCAGGGTCACGAATGACCATGGCCAGGCAGACAATGGAGGTTAAGGAATCCCATAGAGCGTACGGGAATTTCTACGCAGTCAAGAAGCACTCGCGTTGTTCTCTGTATCATTAGGAGGCTCAGAGCCCAGGATTATAGTCCGCATGGAAGAAGGACTCCCGTCCTCACCAGGAAACCCCGGCTTGCATGCCCCCGCCAGCTCCAGCTCCCTCGCCCACTGTACGATGAGTTTGCGCTTGCCGAGCGACTTGAGGTGGTGCAACCACACCAGCACGCACAGCAGACCCTCCTCCTCGCTTGTGCTGCCGCTTCCGGTGCTGCATGTCCCGCTGACGCCGCTGCTGTCGGCGGCGGCGGCGACGGCCTCCTCTTCCGCCGCTGCTTGTTGTTGCTGCTGTTGTTGTTCGGCTGCGAGCGCCTCTAGGGCATCCTGGCGGGCCGGAAGAGGAGAAGGGGAGGGTTGGGGCAAGAGGGCGTGAAGGGGTTTCGGAGGGGCGAATGTGCTACAGAAGGCCACACAGACTCGGGGTCAGCCATCCGGGGTTACAAGTGTGTGCACATAACGCAAACGAGAGAGGAGCCGCATGTGTTGTGGCGGGTAGCGCGCTACCGGTAACGCCACGTTTCCTCCTCCTCCTCCTCCTGCTCCGCCCACCTTGAGTGCATCCAGGGCGAGCAGCAGGCACTCGCAGCCCGCCTCCGCCGCCTCCGCAGCCGCCGCCCCTACCGCCGCACCCAGGCGCTCGTGCACGTGCCTGTCGCAGTGGGCCGCGTGTGCATGTAGGCGTCAGGGATGTGTCCAGGGCCGCCCAGCCCCGAGGCTGCATACCGGTCTCTCCCCACCAGAATCAACAGCAATGTGTTTGACCAGTTCCGTCCTCTTCACTACAGCACGGTACCCTGCGCTGCCCCACCCACCTCCCACCTGGGTCCCGAGCACTCCACCGCCAGCAGCGCCTGCCGCCGTTGCCACCGTGGCCCAGCCCCGCAGCAGCCCCCCGCCTCCCCACCGCCAGCCGCTCCCTCCGCCTCCTCCTCCGCCACCTCCCCTGCCGGGTAGTCCCGGGGCAGAGTGAAGCGCAGGCCCACCGGCTGCCCCCCGCAGTGCAGTCCTGGGGGCCTGGGGGGTGGGCGGGGGGGGGGCGGGGAGGTGGGGGAGAACGTGGAGGTCATGTGTATGGGGCGGTGGGGAACAGGGGGCGGGCGGAGCAGGCATCAAGGGTGCGGGTCTCGCTACACGGGGCATGCCGAGATGGCCCAGCAAACCCGGCAGAAAGGAGCCCTGGGCTGCCGTGCCGGCATGGGACAATACCGGTGGGCACACACCGCACGCACCCACCGAATGGTTCCAGACAACAGCGGCAGGCCCTCCAAGCTGCCCAGGCCTTGGCTGCTTCCGCTACCGCCACCACCACCGCTGCAACCGCTGTCTCCTTCAAGCCCCCTCCTCGCATCTGCTGATGCTGTTCCCGCTGCTCCCACTGCCGCTGCCGCTGCTGCCGCGTCACACATCTGCTGCGCCAGGCTGAGTGCCCCGCGCTCCACAGCCTCCAGCTGCAGAGCTGCACTGCTGCCGCTGCTGCTGCTGCTGCCGGGGGGACAGCTGCCGTCTTCAAAGCCGTTGTCGTACATGGCTCGTAGGGCCTGGGAGGCAACGATAAGGCAGGGTCGGGGGTTCGGGGGTTGGGGGAACAGAGTGGTAAGGCCTGGGTGAGGCGTAACGGGATGGGAGGGACGCGATGCAACCTGGCCTGCTCGGTCTGCAAGGGAGTGCTGAAGTGAAGCTTAAAGCGGTGCATTCGCCTACCTCGATTTCGTCGATTTGCCGCTGCAGCTGTTCTAAATGCCTGGACTCATCGCACGCCATGGCTGTTAAGTGCGTAGCCCTAGGTAAGCTCTTATACGTGTTGTTTAATAACAGTATCAGCAAAGTTAAATTATTACAAGATAAATGTGCTGTCAATGGGTTCGCTTTGGATGCAACGGTTGATTCGTTGTCTGTAAATCAACGTCCCGCTAACGATGCATTGCTTTCGATGGTTTTGTGTATTCTCCCAAAAGCGTATAAGTTACTAAGCTGTGAAGTCGCTATTAATTTTGAAGGATAACGGCGGTTCCGAACCGACAGTAGCTGGCATTCTTGCGTTAACCCTAGACCTTACTTTTGCGTTATGGCTCTTACAACGCCAGTCATGGCTACCACTGTCACCGGTAGATCCAGTACGTTTACCGGGGTCCGAGTCGGGACGTCTGCAACGACCCGCAAAGCGCAGTTGAATTCGCATCTCCGTTTACTTCCGTTTATACCCGCGCCTTTCCGACTAAGTCAAACGCGTCATACAACTCTTCAAATATATGCCTTCTCGCGTCCGGGCAGCGGACCAGCGGACCAGCCTGAAGATAAGGACCTCCGGAGCAGCGATGCCGCGGATGGCAGCAGCGGGACGAGCAATCTCCCCGGCCTGCCCGACTCAGTTTACCCCCCGTCCACATCCTCCCCGATCTGGGTCACCGGTAACCCTCTTGGTGCTGCTGACAGGGCGGCTGACGCCTCGCCATCAGTCATCGGCGGCGGCGACGGTCCCAATGAGGACACTGGCCATTCACCACTGACCCTTGGGTCAGACGTTCTAGAGCGAATGGCCAAGCTCCGCGCGCTCGACCAGTATCGGAACCTGCTCACTGAGCTAGCGGAAGCCGAGGCAGCCGCGGCCGCGGCTGTACGACAGTCCCAGCGACGACCCGGCTCCTCATCTTCCTCCTCCGCCGCCGCCGCCGCTGCGGCCGCGTCGTCCGCTGGTGACGACAGCGCCGCCATGCTGCGCGGCGCGCTGCTGATCGCTCGCCATCGCTATCCCTCGCTCGACGAGCAGCGAGTGTACGACACACTGGACGAGCTGTCCCGGCGAGTGTCGGCGCTGCTGCCGCGGGAACCGGGGGAGCGCTACCCGCTGCGGGTGGTGGCGGCGATCAACCGGGTGGGTGGGGGGGCGGGTGGGGGGGTGGGAGCAACAGGGAATTCCGGTACCGCATTTGGCTGGATTATAGCTTTATAGGATTGCGTGCGTAACATCGTACGAGGACTGGGGAAAGGAAGGAATCCCTATGTGTTGAATGATAATGGCAACACATGGGGGCTGAAGGATGAGGGCGTGGCATGGCGCATATGCGCATCCAGCATGAGTGCTGAGGGGCTGGTGGGGGCTCTGGAAGGACGCGCCCCGCACCCACACAGTCGGGGGAGAGCCGCCTCACCCCCTCTCCCTCTCCCTCTCTACCACGCACTGCCGGCTCCCTCAGCACCGCACGACCCATCCGCACGGCCGCCCCCAACCAACCCCACCCCTCCACACGCCCCCTCCTCCCATTCTTCTTTTTCCCCCGCACGCCCCCTCCTCCCACCCCCTCCCCCCGCAGGTTCTGTACCACGACTACGGCTTCCGGGGTAACGAGGAGGTGGGCGGGGGCGTGTGGGGCGGGTAGGGGCCCTATGGAGCTTGTGTGCGGAAGGCCGGGGTGGGGTAGGTGCTGGGCGGGCAGCGGACTGGCCGGCTGGGCTTACCAGGTCTGGTACGTACGAGGCGGGGCCGGGTGCTGCTCCGTTGCGGCTGCCCCTCTCCGGCCCCTGCTGAGCTCCTCCCGCCGTCTGCACTGCTCTCTTGCCGCTGAGCGTCATGCCCCCTAAAGCCCTCCCATGTCCCGTCCTTCCCGCCTCTTTACCTCCGCCCTCCCATTCCTCCCGCACCCCTCCTGCCCTCGCCTCCCTCTTCCCCCCTCCCACACACAGGACTACTACGACGCCTCCAACAGCTGCATCAACCTGGTGCTGGAGCGCCGCAAGGGTGAGCAGGGGGGGCAGGGGGGAAGGCCACAGAGCGCCGCAAGGGGCAGCAGCAGCAGCAGCAGCAGCAGGAGGGAAAGGGGGTCCTACAGGGAGCTGCTGCCGCCGTCACGTTGTAGACAACACTACGGTATCCTGCCTTCCCCTGATCCTCGCCCGCTCCGCCTCCTCCTCCCCCCCCCCAGGCATCCCCATCACCCTCGCCCTGGTGTACAGCGAGGTGGCTCGCCGCGTGGGGCTGCCCATGCGCGGCGTCAACCTGCCGGGGCACTTCATGCTGCAGCCCGTGAGGACGGCGCTGCGGGGGCAGGGGGGAGGGCAGGGAGGGGGAGGGGGAGGAGGGCAGCAGCAGCAGCAGCGGGGGGAGGCGGGGATGGGGGCGGGGAAGGAGCAGCCGGGGCAGGAAGGGCAAGCGCAGCAGGGGTGGAAGGGAGGGGAAACCGCCGCCGCCGGTGCTGTTGTGGCTGGGGAGGGGAGGGCGGGCGGCGGCGGCGAAGAGGACAAGGCGGCAGGGCGGGTGTCTGCGACGGGTGGGCAGCGAGGGGGCGGCGAGGGGGAGGAGGAGGAGGAGGAGGAGGCGGGGCCGATGGAGATCCTGGTAGACGCGTTCAGGTGGGGGTGTGGGGGCAGCAGCAGGAGGGGGGGGGCCCACAGGTGAGAAGGTGCAGGGAGGGGGTGGTGATTACCCCCCGTGCAGCGCCACGTGAACACGTGTCACAGAGTGTGCATTCACACCCCAGGCCCAGGCACTGTTACCCCTCCCCACACCCCTCCCCCCCCGCAGGTCCGGTGAGGTGTGCTACCTGTCGGAGGCGGCGGACCGCATCTCCGAGCTGGTGGGCTCGGCCGTCAGGATCGACCCACGGGTCCTCCAGGTCAGCACGCGCCGTGTGGGTGCATGCGGTGGGTGCATGCGGTGGGTGCATGCATGCATGGACACTCCCAGCCGTAGAGAGGAGAGGCGGGGCTGCACGCAAATAAGGGTGCGCAAGAGGATAGGCGCGACCTAATGAGGCAGCTGCAGGCGCGAGCTTGCGAAGCCTATTGGGGCTGCTGCAGCATGTGAAAGGACTGCGCTCGAGCCCCCTAGCCCCTCCCTTCCCTGCTCACCGCTGGTCGCCCGCTGCCCCCCTCCCACGTCCACCCCCCAGGAGTCCCGGCCGCTGCCCCCCCGCACCTTCCTGCTGCGCCTACTGAGCAACCTGCGGAACATCTACCTCACCACGCAGCAGGTGAGGGGGCGGGAGGGCGGGAGAGCGAGAGCGTGCACGCGGGGGCACTGGCTATCCTTATCGGCTGGGCGCCTAGCCGGGTGGAGAGGTTGTGGAGGAGCCGGCGTTCGCATCCTATCTTATGGCCGCACAGGCCGCCCACAGCCACCCACGGTCAGTTGTTTCCTCTTTTTCCCTCTCCATCCCTCCTTCCTCCCCCTCCCCCTCCCTCCTCTTCCCTGCCCGCAGGTTGACCCGCTGCTCGACGTCATCAAGTTCATGCGTGCTACACTGGAGGAACCCGGTGCAGGGGACCCGCACCAGCAGCCCGCCTCCTCCAAATCCTCCAAGACCACCCCCAAGACCCCCTCCTCCTCCCCCTCCGCTGGGCTGTTCTTCCCCGCCGGCTCCTTCTTCTCCTCCCCGGCCGCCTCCGCCGCCCTGGCGCGCGACGAGGGGCTCTGCTACTTCGCTCTGCGCCGCTACCCCGAGGCCGCGGAGGCGCTGCGGGAGTACCTGCGCCTGGCGGAGGAGGCGGCGCGGGCAGCGGCAGCGGAGGTGGGGGGGGGAGCAGGGGACAGGGCGGGGCGGGGCGGGGGCGGGGTGGGGGAGAGAGTGACCCATGGGGGGGCATGGCCGGGGCGGGAAGCTGGGGGGGGGGAAGGACCCGGGCGGGGCGTTTGAATAGCTAGTCCAGGGCAATTAGGAACGACGTGTCTAGGGGCAATGTTTGGCATGCCTTGTAGCTCCACTACGTGCTGCCTCCCTGCCCGCCTCCCCGCAGTCGGAGCCTCCCCCGCTGCCCGCCGAGGAGGTGCATACGGTGGCGGCGGTGCTGCGGGAGGCGGCCCGGCGCATGCGGCAGCAGGGGGGGCAGGGAGGGGAGCAGCAGGGGGGGCAGGGAGGGGGGCCGCAGCCGCCGGAGGAGCCGGGAGAGGCGGGAGCCGGGCTGTAGGTCTCTAGGTTGGGTGGCGATGTAGGGCCGTAGTTCCCAGCGGGGGCTGTGTTGGGATCGAGCTTTATGGGGGCTGGAGCGCTGGCTAGAGGTTGCTTGGCGCCGTTTGGGAACCGCCAGTGGGGGCGGGTTAGTGCCGCGGGTAGGAGACCGCATTACAGCGGCTGGCAACCGCGGACGTAGCGTAGGAGACAAGAGGTAGGCAAACGGATTGGGTAGATACTGGATTGGGAGACGTGTGACAGTGCATTTCGTGTTTGCGCATTTTGTACGTATCTGTTTCCTGCGCGGCCCGGGCAGCGCAACAGCGAAGGATTGGGAGGATTTGAGGATTGGAAGGTACCGGCGCGCAGTAATGGGGTGTGGGGATGCCGGGGGTACAGTTGGGGCGTACAGTTGCACTCGACTAAACTAAGCATAGGCACAAACGTCCGTCGAACAACAAGCAGCGTTTTATTAAAGCATCAGGTATGCTGCTTGGCTGTGCTTGGAGCCTGGCCATGGAAGTGAAGCGCTTGGGGTAGCGTCATGCAGGGTCGTTGGGAGAGACTTTGTAACAATACTATTCGACGCCTAACGGCGATGCCGTCTTCACCATCATTCTTATTTTACTTCGTTAAACGGCAGGAGTCAAGGGGCACGCCTTCTGCACATCACACAAGTCGGTTGGCATGTCACTAAAGAGTGACAATTTCGTGTTTGGGCAAGTCGCCAAGCGCGAAATATAACTAAATATATAAATATTTTTAGCTAGTTGTCGCCGTGTGTTATGTACCTTTTGTCCCAAGCTGGCACCCGTACGTCGCTGCATCAAAGACTCAGGCTTCCGTGCGGGGACAGTCGCAAAAGTAGCTTAGTATATGTCTTAGAACACTTTACACTTAACCGTGACCCCTGCAGTCGTAACGTTCGAACTGTAGGTAAGGGGAAGCTCACGTCCATTGAAACTTAATTTGGACTTCTGTAACCTTCAGGGCCGCTTAGGACGTGTGTAATAAAAAGCTCTACATTCATAGCTCTTGATGCTTTTAGGAGTTGCGTGAGTTGTCTTGGCCAGCCTTCTGTAGAGCCTGCGCACCTGCTGGACCTTTCAAATGAATGCGTGTAAATTCAGACAGCCGTATCAATTTGCAAGAAGGCATTCGTTGGTTTCGTGACCGAGGACCACCGTGGGAAATGCCCTGGAAGCCTGGAAGCCTTTCCTGTCGCCTTCATAGGCCCCGGCTTTCAGCGTTTGCTGCGTGCCTCCTTCTGCTAGTATGCTGCCTAGCGGAGTTGGAGTTGTGCAGCGCCGGTAAAGCGAATAGCGGGGCCCAGTCGGAGGCGCAGCTGCATTCTAGAGCGTCAAGAGAGCTTTCCTGGACATCGGAGTACAAAGGCGCCAGCGCAACCTTCAGCAATGAAGGCGTTGCTCATGACAGTCGTGCATTTCAAAAATTTCCTCAACCTCAGCATGATGTGTTCAGCAGCGGATTAGGGTCCCAGCTCCAGTCCAAAGCCAGTGACCAGCATGACGCTGGTCATAGCTACTCCCCATCGGCAGAGCCGTCCGAATCTGGCTGGCTTAGCTGGCCTTTCTCCTGGTTCTGGCAATCGTACGGCACCCGCAGTAGCCCAAGGACAGGCCAGAAGTCTCAAGGTGGCTCCCCAGGACCTGTCGTAGCGTCGTCAGGACAGCGACCTGGACGGCAAGCTGCTGGCATAAGCAGCGCTGTTACCGCCCTTACTGTTGGCAACAACAGTGACGTGGACCGTCGCCAACTCGTTTTCACGGGCTACAGTTATTGCGTCACAAATGCGTATGGCACTTGTGAACCGTGTAACCCCTTGATGAAATTCATGGACCCATGCGAGGTGAGCACTGCTGTGCCCGGGCACTGGGCACTGTGTTGCCGGTGCAGCGTGGGCAGCATACAGGGTTGCGGGTTTGGCGTTGAGTCCAAAGGAGCCCCGGTCGCGGTCCGGGAGGCATGCAATAAGTAGGACTGCCTCATGTACGATAAAGCATTCTTGCTGAGGGACCAGGGAGGGAGACTCACTGGCCAACCGGCCGAACATGCCTCATGCGCCCTGCCCTGCCTATGCCCCGCAGACCGACGACGAGTACTATGGGAACTCGAACATTTGTATGATGTACGGCACCTGGTATAACTCTGTGTACGGCACTGACCAGTGCGCCGGCCTCCCCGTGTGGATTCTGGAGCTCAACGCAACCATGCCGAACGGAACAGCGGTGGGTACGGGTACTGGGCCCCAAGCCACTGGCTTCCTATGCCCCATCAACCTGGCGTTATCCGAGAGCAGAGCCTTGCCCTTCCTCTGACCGCATCTCAAGCGCTCTTTCCTCCTTCCTTCCCTTGTACGGTTGCCGACGCGCAGGTCAAGGTGGGCACTGTGGAGGCGTGGGAGGACACCGGCGGCTACATGGTGGTCAGCCTGGTGCTGATGTGCCCCTGGATGATGCACCTGGACCCCAGCACCGTGGGCGCGGCGCTCAAGGTGTCAGTGACCCAGATCGCGGTGGACGGCTCCACGGTGGCCACCTGGAGCATGGCGACCAGCAGCACCAGCGCAGTCCCCGGCTCGCCCTACCGAACCTGCTCGTCCTTCCGCTTCCCAGTGCGCACGTCTGCGGGAGCCACCAGCGGGGCGTCAGGGGCGGCGTGTACGACGTATAATCGAATCGTACGGATACAGGTGGGGCTGTTCGATACGGACACTTGTGTGTAGGAGGGGGAGGGGGGGTTGGTTAGGCGGGCTGCCGGTGTGCGATGCGGTTTTGGGTTATCCTTCATGTCGCGGGTTGGTAGGGTGCTCGGAGTGAAGTCCCGTCCTGCTCTCCTCCCCATCCCGTTTCCTCGAGCACAGGCGAACATAAAGGAGCTGATGGGCAAGGAGTACAATGCGTGTATCGTGGTGCAGGATGGATCTCCCGCAGTTGACGTTACCGCTGTGATAGACACGACGGTTGTAGTCGGCACCATGTATGCGCCGCCGCCTCCCTCGCCATCGCCACCTACTCCTCCCCCTCAGCCGCGCCCACCGCCGGCCCCTCCAAGCCCTCCCAGTCCGCCAATCCCTTCCCCTCCCAAGCCCCCAACACCGCCCTCCCCCCCGCCGGCCCCGCCGCCGCCGTCGCCGCCGCCATCACCTGGGCCGCCACCTGACATGCCGCTCCCACCAGAGCGCCCGCCGCCTCCCTCGCCACCAAGCCCATCCCCTCCGCCCCCGACTCCACCCAGTCCGCCGCCGACCCCTCCCTCTCCCTCTCCTCCGCCCCCCAGTCCGCCGCAGCCTCCGTCTCCCCCACCGCCGCCTCCGTCCCCTCCCTCGCCGCCTCCTTCCCCTCCATCACCCTCCCCGCCGCCATCGCCACCCCCGTCTCCGCCTTCCCCGCCGCCGCCTCCACCACCCCCCAAGCCCCCCTCGCCGCCTCCACCCTCCCCTCCGTCACCAGGCCCGCCTCCCAGCCCTCCCCGGCCGCCAAGCCCCTCCCCACCGCCACCTAGTCCCCCACAGCCTCCGTCGCCATTCCCCCCACCGGTTCCCTTCCCAAGTCCGCCATTGTAAGAACGGGGCGGGTTGGGTAGGCGTATCCTTTACTTGCTAGCACAACTGTGTCTCCGACCTGTCAACCGCATTCCTTCTATCCACACTCACCCGACGCCTTCTGGCTACCTGCAACTGATAAGCCGTATGTCCCTTGTCTTCCGTACCAGTCCTAACCACGTTCCTTTCCCTGTTGCCCTGTTGCAGCCGCCCGCCCAATCCCTTCCCGCCACCTCGGCCGCCACGACCGCCCCCGCCTTCACCGCCGCCTCCTTCACCGTCGCCCCCGCCGCCTCCCAGTCCTCCGCCTGCTCCGCCTCCCTCGCCGCCCCCGCCGCCCTCACCCTCGCCACCGCCTCCCAGGTAAGCTCGCTACCGCGGGGCCATGGCGCTTGCAACCCGTGAGGTTTGTTCCCGCACGCCCTCGCAATGACGCACCACCGCTCATGAAGTACCCAGCAGTGAAATGCGGTAGGCGTGTGTTTGCAACGCCCAGTATGCGATATTAGCGCAGGCAACGTATACCTTTTCACTTTTTAAGCAATCCAGAAAGCCAAGGGCCACAGCTCTGCCGACTCTCTGTAAACCTTGTGTGATGATAGTCTGTGTGAGCTTGGTTACCGTTAGCCTCACGTACCAATGCTGAGTTCCTCGTTTTGCCCATGTGCAGCCCGCCACCGAAGCCCCCCAGCCCGTCGCCACCTCCAAGCCCTCCTCCTACCCCGCCGAAACCGCCGTCCCCCTCACCGCCACCCTCGCCCCCACCACCCAGCCCGCCTCCCAGCCCCAAGCCCCCGCTGCCCCCCAGCCCCTCGCCACCTCCTAGCCCTTCGCCACCTCCGCCCCCCAGTCCACCAAGCCCTAGTCCTCCTCCCTCCCCGTCGCCCCCTCCGCCGTCTCCACCTCCTTCGCCGCGACCACCGTCTCCCAGCCCACCTCCCAGCCCCCCGCCTCTTCCCCCAAGCCCCTCGCCACCTCCTCCCCCAAGCCCCCGACCTCCCAGCCCCCCGCCACCTCCTCCCCCAAGCCCCTTGCCGCCCAGCCCACCCCCAAGCCCTTCGCCTCCCCCGCCAAGCCCTTTACCGCCATCTCCCAGCCCTCCACCTAGCCCCTTGCCGCCCTCTCCTGTGCCACCATCGCCCCCACCGCTGCCACCTTCCCCTAGCCCCCCTAGCCCTAGCCCGCCCAGCCCTCCACCACCGTCCCCTAAACCACCGCTGCCTCCCTCCCCTCCCCCGCCAAGCCCTAATCCGCCCAGCCCGCCGCCAAGTCCTTTCCCGCCCAGCCCAAACCCACCAAGCCCTCGGCCTCCATCGCCCAGCCCGCCCCCGAGCCCGCTGCCCCCTTCTCCTGTTCCGCCATCGCCGCCCCCACCATCACCTCCTTCCCCTCCCAGCCCTCCACCGCCCTCACCCCCACCCAGCCCTTCCCCGCCCCCGCCTAGCCCGTCTCCGCCCCCGCCTAGCCCCCCACCGCCCCCTTCTCCTGACCCCCCTAGCCCTCAACCGCCTAGTCCGCCTCCCAGCCCTAAGCCTCCTAGCCCGCCTCCGCCAAGCCCCGCCCCGCTTCCACCCAGCCCGCCTCCTAGCCCACTCCCGCCCTCACCCCGGCCACCATCTCCTAACCCGCCGTCCCCTCCACCGCCGCCTAGCCCTCCGCCCCCGCCTCCACCACCAAGCCCCTCTCCGCCACCGCCAAGCCCACCCCTGCCCCCATCTCCCGACCCACCTAGTCCCCTTCCACCTAGCCCCCCTAAGCCCCCCAGCCCACCGCCGCCAAGCCCCGCCCCACTCCCACCCAGCCCGCCTCCTAGCCCTTTCCCACCCTCACCCCCGCCACCTCCCTTCACCCCTCCCTCTCCATCGCCACCACCAAGCCCTTCGCCCCCAACACCACCGCCTAGCCCCTCGCCACCACCACCAAGCCCACCCTCACCGCCATCTCCTGATCCACCCAGTCCCAAGCCGCCCAGCCCGCCTCCCAGCCCGAGCCCCCCGAGCCCACCTCCTCCCAGCCCCACACCACCTCTCCCAAGTCCGCCCCCCAGCCCCTCTCCTCCTTCACCCCCGCCTCCCTCTCCGAATCCACCCGCGCCGCCGTCACCACCCGTGCCTTTACCGCCCCCACCTGTGCCCAGCCCGTCGCCCCCTAGCCCTCCATCACCCAGTCCTCCGGCTCCACCCAGCCCGCCTGCACCCAAGCCGCCTAGCCCGGCTCCCCCGCCATTGCCGTCCCCTCCAAACCCCTCTCCACCTCCACCAAGCCCCCAGCCACCGCCTAATGTCGCTCTTCCACCGCCCGGACTACCCCCGCCGTCACCGCCATCACCACCCAGGCCGCCTAGGTCGCCCAAGCCACCCCGTCCATCACCACCGCCTAGCCCTCCAAGTCCCCCCTCTCCTCCGCAACCGCCACCGTCTCCCCCGTCTCCCGCACCAAAGCCCCCTCCCTTGTTGCCCCGGCCGCCGTACTCCCCGCCTCCGCCGCCTCCTGATGGCGCCGACCCTGTCGACACGGGCAAGTATTACTGCATTACGAACTCCTACGGCAAGTGCTGGCCATGCGAGAAGAATATCTACACCTGCCAGGTAAAGGACGATTACGGGTTCAACTGGACTTCTGGCACTAAGAAACGTAGTCGCAGTACACCTTATGCTGATGTGCCCATACACTTCGTAAACTAAAGCAACTATTCCCAATCCTTTTTTCCAATCCTGCTCTACCCTGCTGTAAATTGCCACCTGCAGACCGAGGACAACTTCTACATCAATTCGGGCGTGTGCATGATCTACGACAGCTGGTACAGCAGTGTCTACTCGTATGACCAGTGTTCGAACCTTCCGGTGTGGAAGACTGAGGTCAACGCAACGCTGAGCAACGGAACCATGGTGGGTTGGGGGTGGCACTTGGCATGGTATGTGGGGCCAAGTGGAGGCCACGTGGAGAGAATGCCGTTCGTCGTCTTCCTACGTTAAACGTGCATGTTTTTCCGTTCACACTGGAAACTTGAATCCTGCATACATGCCCCAAACTTCTTCCCCGCTGCAGCTCAAAGTTGGCGACGTCCAGGCGTGGGAGGACACTGGCGGCTACATGGTGGTCACCCTCTTCATGTTGTGCCCCTGGATGATGCAAATCAACCCAGGAGTGGATGGTGCATCTCTCTCGGTGTCCGTGACTGAGGTTGGCGTGGACGGCTCCACCCTGGCTTCCTGGGATTTCGTCACCAGCGAGACCGCTGGCATACCGTACCGCGCGTGTTCCTCCTTCCGCTTCCCCGTGCGAGAGGAAGCAGGGGGCTACCTGGGTGTGGATGCGGCGCCCGGAGCAGCATGCAGCACCTACAACCGCATTGTGCGGATGAAGGTGGGTGACGCAGGGTAAAGGGCGGGTTTGTGCCATGCAAGGAGAGCAACATGCATAGTTGTCATGCTCATTGCCCGTACTCTCGATGAACTTCCGCTAACCCGCCACTAACCCGCACCCCCCTGACATTCATACATCCTGCAGGCGAGTGTCATCCAGCTCACCGCTGTGACGGAGGATGACACCTGCAGCGCCATCACGGATGCGGACTCCTCCGAACCCATCAGCTCAACTGTGGACTTGTCCCTCGTAGTAGGCACCATGTACGCCCCGCCGCCGCCCGCGCCACCTCCGCCCCCTCCCCGCCCGCCCCCTCCGTCGCCGCACCCCCCTGACCCGCCGCCAAGCCCCATGCCCCCGGACCTACCACCAGACCCACCATCGCCTCCTCCGCCCAAGCCGCCCTCACCGCCCCCGCCCCCTCGCCCTCCGCCGCCCTCACCATCGCCTCCACAACCCCCAAGCCCAGCGCCGCTTCCGCCCTCACCGCCCCCTCCGCCAAGCCCCTCGCCGCCCTCGCCTTCACCCCCACCTCCACCAAGCCCGGAGCCACCGTCGCCTCTTCCACCCTCTCCCCCACGGCCACCACCACCGTCTCCAGCGCCGCCTTCGCCGCCTCTCTTGCCGCCCTCGCCAGCACCGTCACCACCCAGCACGCCGCCCCCTTCACCGCCCTCTCCCCCGCCTCCGCCGCCGTCCCCTCCGCCTAGCCCTCCACCGAGCCCGCCTCCCTCGCCACCCTCGCCCCTTCCACCATACAACCCAGGTCCATTCTGGCCCCATGCACCCCCACCCTCGCCGAGCCCTCCGTCTCCCAAACCGCCATCTCCCAGTCCCCCACCCTCTCCATCCCCGCCACCACCCTCGCCATCCCCTCCTCCTTCTCCCTCTCCGCCGCCTCCTTCACCGCCTCCGCCCCCATCTCCTTCGCCGCCTCCCCCATCGCCGCCGCCACCACCACCCCCGCCTCGACCGCCATCCCCTGACCCGCCTTCGCCACCGCCTCCGCCACCACCCCCCAGCCCTTTTCCTCCTCCAAGCCCCTCTCCGCCGCCCCCTAGCCCGCCGCCTCCGCCTAGCCCACCTCCGCCTTCTCCCAGCCCGCCGCCTCCTCCCCGGCCTCCACCTCCTTCACCCAACCCATCACCACCGCCAAGCCCCTTTCCGCCTTCCCCCAGCCCGCCACCCCCGCCTAGTCCCTCCCCGCCACCACCAAGCCCGCCGCCGCCCCCTTCTCCAGATCCTCCGCCGTTGCCATTCCCTGCCCCGCCCTCGTAAGTGTCATGCAATAATAACTGCGTTTGTGTGTATGAATTCCCATGACACCGAAGCAGTAAGTTTAAGTTGAGCACATCAAACGCAGTGATCATTCCCAGGCACAACAACTTAGTGTGTAGTCCCGCCTGAGGTCGTAACTTAATCCCCTGCATTGTGCCTTAGCTTTACCATACTGTGCATGTGGTGTCCTCCTGGTAAGCCCCTTGCCTTCCGCAATACTTGCATCCTCCATCCCCTCCTACCCGCAGCCGGCCGCCAAACCCCTTCCCGCCGCCCAAGCCGCCCCGACCACCGCCCCCGCGACCACCGCCACCCCGGCCTTCACCGAAACCGCCGCCTGGTCCCGTTTCCCCACCTTCGCCCCCACCGTCCACCATACCTCGGCCCCCAAGGTGAGATGCCTTGGTATATGCTAGTACTTACTTTGCGAGCCTTGTTCCAACAGTTCTTTACAGTTTAGTCCGAAGGATTAGGTTACGTGCTCGTGCCTATGCAGCTTCTGCCACACCCGCTGCTACACATGAGAGTGTGCTGCCATCCTGCCATCTCCGCCAACCCCCTTTCGTTCCCTGTGTCACCCTCGCAGCCCTGCACCATCGCCGCCAAGCCCTCCAGAGCCCAACACTCCTGAAGCGCCGCTTGCGCCGCTTGCCCCGCAATCGCCATATCCTCCGCCGGCACCTCCTTTGTAAGTAGCTAGAATACTAATGTTCGGCTCCCACCGGACGTCTTTTGCTCTGCACAGGTACCCATTAGGTATTGGACTTTCCTAGGCTTGTCATTTGTAAGCCTGCGCACAGTCGGACATTCTTTTTCTGCTGTTATCCTGCTTTGAATACTAGTAGGTACTAACCAGGAACCTGTTCAATTGTCCCCATGCAGCCGGCCGCCGAATCCCTTCCCTCCGCCCCGACCGCCTCGGCCGCCGCCACCTTCACCACGACCGCCGCCTGCCCCGCCATCCCCTGCGCCGTCCACCCTGCCGTTTCCCCCAGCGTAAGAACTTATTGAGCTTACTCAATTCACGCTGACTCAATATCAAAGGACGCATCTTAGTACATCAGTATTACTGTATTAGGTTGTGTCTGGTTTGCTTCATGTGTTTGGCTATACAAAGATTTATTGCCCGCCCATGTCCTCTGCAAAAGCTTTCTTGCTTGCATCCAAAGGTATGCCGCGGGATTGTAAACCAACCTCTTTCCCTCCCAACCCTTGCCGACCTTCCTGCAGGCCCCCGCCGTCGCCTCCGGAGCCCCCTCCACTGCCACCATTCCCTCCATCTCTCCCCTGGGCGCCAGACGCGCCACCCAACCCGCCTAGCCCTCCACCGTCGCCGCCCCTACCAGCTAGCTCACCAAGTCCTGCGCCTCCGCCGTCCCCATCACCACCACCATCGCCGCTGCCCCCCGTCCCATTGCCGCCGTCACCCGATCCACCTCCCAGCTCCCCGCCTCATCCCCCTAGCCCTCCCCCAAACCCTTCCCCCCCTCAACCCAGCCCTCCACCACCATCCCCCAGCCCTCCGCCTAGCCCCTCACCGCCTTCTCCCAGGCCCCCTTCCCCTGACCCTCCCTCACCTCCGTTGCCGCCCAACCCTTCCCCTCCTACCCCCCCGCCTAGCCCCTCACCGCCTCCCCCAAACCCACCCTCACCGCCATCTCCTGATCCACCCAGTCCCAAGCCGCCAAGCCCGCCTCCCAGCCCGAGCCCCCCTAGCCCACCTCCTCCCAGCCCCACACCACCTCTCCCAAGTCCGCCCCCCAGCCCCTCTCCTCCCTCACCCCCGCCTCCCTCTCCGAATCCACCGGTGCCGCCGTCACCACCTAAACCTTCCCCACCTCCATTCCCACCCAGCCCCTCGCCTCCTAGCCCTCCATCACCCAGCCCTCCGGTTCCACCCAGCCCGCCTGCACCCAAGCCGCCTAGCCCGGCTCCCCCTCATGCGCCGCCCCCGCTGAATCCCTCTCCACCTCCGCCCGTCCCACTGCCACCACCATCCGAGTTCCCTTCTCCTCCACCGGAACCGCCATCGCCACCCAAGCCGCCTAGGTCGCCCAAGCCACCCCGACCATCACCACCGCCTAGCCCTCCGAGTCCGCCCTCTCCTCCGCAACCGCCACCGCCTCCACCGTCTCCCGCACCAAAGCCTCCTCCCTTGTTGCCCCGGCCGCCGTACTCCCCGCCTCCGCCGCCTCCTGATGGCGCAGACCCTGTCGACACGGGCAAGTATTACTGCATTACGAACCCCTACGGCAAGTGCTGGCCATGCGAGAAGAATATCTACAGTTGCCAGGTAAAAAGAGACAGATACGTGTTCAACTGCACATCAGCCCTTATGACAGTTGTTTTCTAGGCGTCTTGGCTTACGATTGACTTTTGCCTTCTGTGTCCATTTTCTGTGTCTTGCTTTTGAATCTGCTCTACCCTGCTGTAAATTGCCACCTGCAGACCGAGGACAACTTCTACATCAATTCGGGCGTGTGCATGATCTACGACAGCTGGTACAGCAGTGTCTACTCGTACGACAAGTGTTCGAACCTTCCGGTGTGGAAGACTGAGGTCAACGCAACGCTGAGCAACGGAACCATGGTGGGTTGGGGTGGCACTTGGCATGGTATGTGGGGTAAGAGTTAAGTCAACGTGCACTTAGCCACTCGACTAGAGTACAATGGTGGCTACCGGAATCCTACCATGAGTGTGCTCTTCCCTGGCACCCTGGAAGCGTGAATCCTGCTCCCTTGACCTGACCTGCCCTGCTTTCTTCCCCGCTGCAGCTCAAGGTGGGCGACGTCCAGGCGTGGGAGGACACTGGTGGCTACATGGTGGTCACCCTCATCATGATGTGCCCCTGGATGATGCAAATCAACCCAGGAGTGGATGGTGCATCTCTCTCGGTTGCCGTCACTGAGATTGGCGTGGACGGTTCGACCCTGGCATCCTGGGATTTCGTCACCAGCGAGACCGCTGGCATACCGTACCGCGCGTGTTCCTCCTTCCGCTTCCCCGTGCGAGAGGAAGCAGGGGGCTACCTGGGTGTGGATGCGGCGCCCGGGACAGCATGCACGACCTACAACCGCATTGTGCGGATGAAGGTGGGTGACGCGGAGTGAAGGGTGGGTTTGTGCCATGCAAGGAGAGCAACATGCATAGTTGTCATGCTCATTGCCCGTATCCTCGATGAACTTCCGCTAACCCGCCACTAACCCGCACCCCCCTGACATTCATACATCCTGCAGGCGAGTGTCATCCAGCTCACCGCTGTGACGGAGGATGACACATGCAGCGCCATCACGGATGCGGACTCCTCCGACCCCATCAGCTCAACTGTGGACTTGTCCCTCGTAGTAGGCACCATGTACGCCCCGCCGCCGCCCGCGCCACCTCCGCCCCCTCCCCGCCCGCCCCCTCCGTCGCCGCAACCCCCTGACCCGCCGCCAAGCCCCATGCCCCCGGACCTACCACCAGACCCACCATCGCCTCCTCCGCCCAAGCCTCCCTCACCGCCCCCGCCCCCTCGCCCTCCGCCGCCCTCACCCTCGCCTCCGCCTCCCCCACGGCCGTCGCCACCCTCACCCCCACCGCCCCCGCCCCCAAGCCCCTTCCCGCCCTCGCCTTCGCCCCCACCTCCGCCAAGCCCTGCACCGCTGCCGCCGTCGCCATCGCCTCCCCCAAGTCCGTTGCCGCCTTCGCCTTCACCTCCGCCTCCTCCAAGCCCACCGCCCCCGTCGCCTGAGCCGCCTTCACCACCCAGCCCGCCGCCACCGTCGCCTTCTCCGCCCCCTCCTCCAAGCCCCTTACCGCCCTCGCCTTCGCCTCCCCCTCCACCAAGCCCAGAGCCACCGTCGCCACGTCCACCCTCACCCCCACGTCCACCACCACCTTCGCCACCAATGCCGTCGCCGCCCTTCCTGCCACCCTCGCCAGCACCCTCACCACCAAGCCCCCCGCCACCCTCACCACCCTCTCCCCCGCCCCCACCGCCATCTCCGCCACCTAGCCCTCCACCCAGCCCGCCTCCCTCGCCACCCTCACCGTATCCACCCTACAACCCAGGTCCTTTCCATCCAACCTGGCCCCATGCACCTCCGCCCTCGCCTGATCCTCCATCTCCGAAACCCCCCTCCCCCCCTCCCCCGTCTCCGAGACCCCCATCTCCCACTCCTCCGCCTTCGCCATTCCCCGAACCTCCTTCTCCGTCTCCCCCGCCATCTCCTTTCCCATCGCCTCCTTCACCGTCTCCGCCCCCATCTCCTTCGCCGCCACCCCCATCGCCGCCGCCACCGCCACCCCCGCCCCGACCGCCATCCCCTGACCCACCTTCACCACCGCCTCCGCCACCACCCCCCAGCCCGTCGCCCCCACCAAGCCCACCTCCACCTTCTCCCAGCCCTCCACCCCCACCAAGTCCACCTCCGCCTTCTCCCAGCCCACCACCCCCTCCAAGCCCCTCCCCACCTCCACCAAGCCCTCCACCACCCCCAAGCCCGCCGCCACCTTCTCCCAGCCCGCCGCCGCCTCCTAGCCCCTCCCCGCCTCCGCCAAGCCCTCCGCCACCCCCCAGCCCGCCGCCGCCTTCTCCCAGCCCTCCACGGCCCTCTCCGCCCTCCCCCAGCCCGCCGCCATCGCCTCGCCCCAGTCCGCCCTCCCCCAACCCCCTGCCACCTCCCCTCCCCTCGCCACCTTCCCCGAACCCACTGCCCCCTCCAAGCCCCGCCCCGCTTCCGCCAAGCCCACCGCCCCCGCCTTCTCCTGATCCCCCACCGCTGCCATTCCCAGCACCGCCAACGTAAGTAGTCGCACTTGCCCTTCCCCCCCTGCTTTAGGGTCCGTCCGCAAAGCAGTGCCTGCGCCTTTTCCTGTGTTGTCCGTTAAATATCCTGTTGTGATGCACACTGGGCTGATCAAACGTCATGGTCCTGTACTGCGATTTGGCCAAACCCCATTGCATTGCACTCAAGCACCCTAATACTGTCTTACGCTACTTTCATTCTAGTCCCTTCTTCTTGTATCTTGCCCCCACACGTGGTTTGGTACTTCTCTGACCCCCGCAGCCGGCCGCCAAACCCCTTCCCGCCGCCCAAGCCGCCCCGACCACCGCCCCCGCGGCCACCGCCTCCCCGGCCTTCACCGAAACCGCCGCCTGGTCCCGTTTCCCCACCCTCGCCTCCACCGTCCACCGTACCTCGCCCCCCAAGGTGAGGACTTGGGCTTCATGTGGACTGTGTTGGCTGGAACTACAGTCCACACGTTGATTGGCGTTTCCTCTTTCACTTGTGTCGATTGCACCAATGCAACCACAAGAATCTTCTCGCGCATGGCAACATGATGTGCAGTGCGGTTCTCAAAATGGTAACATGTATCCTCTTGTTTGCACAACATGTCATTCTACATGGGCTAAAATCTCTCTCAATCCATCCCACCCCACATCCCTACAGCCCTGCACCATCGCCGCCAAGCCCTCCAGAGCCCAACACTCCTGAAGCGCCGCTTGCACCGCTTGCCCCGCTGCCTCCGGATCCGCCACCCAGCCCTCTGCCACCTTCGCCACCCAACCCAGCTAGCCCACCTCCGCCCGCCATAACGCTACCGCCATCGCCGCCTTCTCCCGCCCCATCTCCTTACTCCCCACCGCTTCCCCCCAGCCCGCCACCATCTCCCATCAGCCCGCCGTCACCTCCTTTCCCCCCACCATCACCGCCATCGTGAGTACCGTACGTGTAGCCACAGCGTCTTATCTAGTTATCTTCACTTACGTTTGGTGCCTTGAGTTGCTAACCTTAAGTCTAGAAGCACCAACCTGCACCGTTCACGTCGCACAGCGTGGGTCGTTTGCCGGATTACCGGTTTTGTCTTATCGGCCCAACCTGCGGTATGCTGCCCGTGGAGATTCAATGTCCGTTTACCTTTTGAAAGAATGCAACCTTCTTGAGCCCCCTTGTGGACCATTTTACCCCCTCCACAGCCGGCCGCCAAACCCCTTCCCCCCGCCCAAGCCGCCTCGCCCGCCGCCACCCAAACCGAAACCACCGCCTTCCCCGCCATCTCCTGCACCAACAACTGAACCGCTTCCCCCAGCGTAAGAGCTTGAGCGTCTTGCTTGTGTCCTGCTGCTTGTTGTGCACATCCTTTGCTTTACGCAAGGCATACATCCATCTAAAGCGCGCCATTCTCACCTAAACCGCCCATAAAGCTTCCATGAACACGTGTTTACTGCCAGGCTAATCCATACATCCGCATTCCTTGGCACCCCCTGCAGCCCACCGACGTCGCCGCCAAGCCCTCCGCTGCCGCCAGACATTCCGCTAGAACCCTCTCCGCCGTTCCCACCTCAATCACCACATCCGCCGCCAGCGCCGCCAGCGCCGCCTCTGTAAGTACCGTCACCATATCGCTTCCGTTGCTTTTCATGATTTGGTGCGCGTCCCTGAATAGTATGTTCCGTTCACTCCCCTTTGGGGTTGCACCGGTCATCCGTTGGATGTACTACCGGTCAGTAACCGTCTTGATGTTTGCCTAGTCAAAGTTGACTTCCCAATTCTATGGTCTCTTCCTTTGTACCCCCTCCATTGCTGTTCAACACCCTTTCGTGCCATCTTGTGCAACTCTCCCTCCCATGCAGCCGGCCACCGAATCCCTTCCCTCCACCCCGACCGCCTCGGCCGCCGCCACCCTCGCCACGACCGCCGCCTGCCCCGCCATCCCCTGCGCCGTCCACCCTGCCGTTTCCCCCAGCGTAAGAGCATACTGGATAGCGCACTAGCTTCGGCACTCTTCGGGTTTCCGTAACTAGATACTCCTCCCTTGCTGATGCTGCTTGTCACTAGGCGATGCTTTACTTTGAGGCTTTCTCGCTAGCATCCAAAATCATACCGCAGACTGGTAACCAACCTCTTTCCCTCCCAACCCTTGCCGACCCTCCTTCAGGCCACCGCCGTCACCTCCGGAGCCCCCTCCACTGCCACCATTCCCTCCATCTCTCCCCTGGGCGCCAGACGCACCACCCAACCCGCCTAGCCCTCCACCTTTGCCGCCCCCGAGGCCCTCGCCGCCTCTACCTCCCAGCCCGCCAAGTCCTGCGCCTCCGCCGTCCCCATCACCACCACCATCGCCGCTGCCCCCCTCCCCAGCTCCGCCGTCTCCCGATCCACCTCCCAGCTCCCCGCCTCATCCCCCTAGCCCCTCGCCACTTCCGCCCCAGAGCCCCTTGCCACCCAGCCCAGCCCCCAGCCCTTCACCGCCTCCACCTAGCCCTCAACCACCTTCACCCAGCCCTCCACATAGCCCCTCACCGCCTTCCCCCAAGCCTCCTTCCCCGGACCCTCCCTCACCTCCTCCGCCCCCAAGCCCTTTCCCTCCCAGCCCACCTCCCCACCCCCCACCACCGTCCCCTTGGCCGCCGCTGCCTCCTTCTCCAGACCCACCAAGCCCTAGTCCCCCCCTTCCGCCATCCAGCCCGCTTCCCCCCAGCCCATCTCCACCCAGCCCTCTGCCGCCCTCCCCCAGTCCACCTCCCAGCCCGCTGCCGTCTTCACCTCCACCCCCTTCCCCGTTACCCCCGTCACCTCCATCGCCTCCAAGCCCTCCGCCGCCCTCACCCCCACCCAGCCCTTCCCCGCCACCGCCTAGTCCATCTCCGCCACCTCCAAGTCCCCCACCGCCCCCTTCTCCTGACCCCCCTAGCCCTCAACCTCCTAGCCCGCCTCCCAGCCCTAGCCCCCCATCGCCGCCGCCTCCAAGCCCCGCCCCTCTTCCGCCCAGCCCGCCCCCCAGCCCCGAACCACCCTCGCCGCCGCCTCCCTCACCGGACCCGTCCCCTCCTGGACTACCACCCAGCCCTCAGCCACCAACCTCGCCACCAAGCCCTCTTCCTCCCTCCCCTCAGCCTTCTCCACCACCTTCACCTAACCCGCCCCTACCCCATCCACCAAGCCCGGCTCCTAGCCCTCAGCCACCTGCCCTCCCCCCACCCCTATCCTCACCGCCGCCACCCAGCCCCCCACCCAACCCTTCACCACCCTCTCCTCCGCCTCCTTCGCCAGCTCCGTCACCGCCTCTACTTCCACCTAGCCCCCTGCCGCCATCGCCCCCGCCTAGCCCTCTGCCACCGTCCCCCAATCCATCTCCGCCCGCCTCGCCTGTCCCTCCCAGCTCTCCCCCACCAAGCCCGGCCCCAAGCCCCACTCCTCCGTCCCTGCCACCTCCAAGCCCCTTCCCGTCTCCACCCAGCCCGCCGCCCAATCCTTCACCACCCTCACCTCCGCCTCCTTCGCCAGCTCCGTCACCGCCTCTACTTCCGCCTAGCCCCCTGCCGCCATCGCCTCCGCCTAGCCCTCTGCCGCCGTCCCCCAATCCATCTCCGCCCGCCTCGCCTGTCCCTCCCAGCTCTCCCCCACCAAGCCCGGCCCCAAGCCCCACTCCTCCGTCCCTGCCACCTCCAAGCCCCTTCCCGTCTCCACCCAGCCCGCCGCCCAATCCTTCACCACCATCTCCTCCGCCTCCTTCGCCAGCTCCGTCGCCGCCTCTACTTCCGCCTAGCCCCCTGCCGCCATCGCCCCCGCCTGGCCCTCTGCCACCGTCCCCCAATCCATCTCCGCCCGCCTCGCCTGTCCCTCCCAGCTCTCCCCCACCAAGCCCGGCCCCAAGCCCCACTCCTCCGTCCCTGCCACCTCCAAGCCCCTTCCCGTCTCTACCCAGCCTGCCGCCAAATCCATCACCACCCTCACCTCCGCCTCCTTTGCCAGCTCCGTCACCGCCTCTACTTCCGCCTAGCCCCCTGCCGCCATCGCCTCCGCCTAGCCCTCTGCCACCGTCCCCCAATCCATCTCCGCCCGCCTCGCCTGTCCCTCCCAGCTCTCCCCCACCAAGCCCGGCCCCAAGCCCCACTCCTCCGTCCCTGCCACCTCCAAGCCCCTTCCCGTCTCCACCCAGCCCGCCGCCCAATCCTTCACCACCATCTCCTCCGCCTCCTTCGCCAGCTCCGTCGCCGCCTCTACTTCCGCCTAGCCCCCTACCGCCATCGCCTCCGCCTAGCCCTCTGCCACCGTCCCCCAATCCATCTCCGCCCGCCTCGCCTGTCCCTCCCAGCTCTCCCCCACCAAGCCCGGCCCCAAGCCCCACTCCTCCGTCCCTGCCACCTCCAAGCCCCTTCCCGTCTCCACCCAGCTCGCCGCCCAATCCTTCACCACCCTCACCTCCGCCTCCTTCGCCAGCTCCGTCACCGCCTCTACTTCCGCCTAGCCCCCTGCCGCCATCGCCTCCGCCTAGCCCTCTGCCGCCGTCCCCCAATCCATCTCCGCCCGCCTCGCCTGTCCCTCCCAGCTCTCCCCCACCAAGCCCGGCCCCAAGCCCCACTCCTCCGTCCCTGCCACCTCCAAGCCCCTTCCCGTCTCCACCCAGCCCCCCACCCAATCCTTCACCACCCTCACCTCCGCCTCCTTCGCCAGCTCCGTCGCCGCCTCTACTTCCGCCTAGCCCCCTACCGCCATCGCCCCCGCCTGGCCCTCTGCCACCGTCCCCCAATCCATCTCCGCCCGCCTCGCCTGTCCCTCCCAGCTCTCCCCCACCAAGCCCGGCCCCAAGCCCCACTCCTCCGTCCCTGCCACCTCCAACCCCCTTCCCGTCTCCACCCAGCCCGCCACCCAACCCTTCACCACCCTCTCCTCCGCCTCCTTCGCCAGCTCCGTCGCCGCCTCTACTTCCGCCTAGCCCCCTACCGCCATCGCCCCCGCCTGGCCCTCTGCCGCCGTCCCCCAATCCATCTCCGCCCGCCTCGCCTGTCCCTCCCAGCTCTCCCCCACCAAGCCCGGCCCCAAGCCCCACTCCTCCGTCCCTGCCACCTCCAAACCCCTTCCCGTCTCCACCCAGCCCCCCACCCAACCCTTCACCACCCTCTCCTCCGCCTCCTTCGCCAGCTCCGTCGCCGCCTCTACTTCCGCCTAGCCCCCTACCGCCATCGCCTCCGCCTAGCCCTCTGCCACCGTCCCCCAATCCATCTCCGCCCGCCTCGCCTGTCCCTCCCAGCTCTCCCCCACCAAGCCCGGCCCCAAGCCCCACTCCTCCGTCCCTGCCACCTCCAAGCCCCTTCCCGTCTCCACCCAGCCCGCCACCCAACCCTTCACCACCCTCTCCTCCGCCACCTTCACCAGCTCCGTCGCCGCCTCTACTTCCGCCTAGCCCCCTACCGCCATCGCCCCCGCCTGGCCCTCTGCCGCCGTCCCCCAATCCATCTCCGCCCGCCTCGCCTGTCCCTCCCAGCTCTCCCCCACCAAGCCCGGCCCCAAGCCCCACTCCTCCGTCCCTGCCACCTCCAAGCCCCTTCCCGTCTCCACCCAGCCCGCCACCCAATCCTTCACCACCCTCACCTCCGCCTCCTTCGCCAGCTCCGTCGCCGCCTCTACTTCCGCCTAGCCCCCTACCGCCATCGCCTCCGCCTAGCCCTCTGCCACCGTCCCCCAATCCATCTCCGCCCGCCTCGCCTGTCCCTCCCAGCTCTCCCCCACCAAGCCCGGCCCCAAGCCCCACTCCTCCGTCCCTGCCACCTCCAACCCCCTTCCCGTCTCCACCCAGCCCGCCACCCAACCCTTCACCACCCTCTCCTCCGCCTCCTTCGCCAGCTCCGTCACCGCCTCTACTTCCGCCTAGCCCCCTACCGCCATCGCCTCCGCCTAGCCCTCTGCCACCGTCCCCCAATCCATCTCCGCCCGCCTCGCCTGTCCCTCCCAGCTCTCCCCCACCAAGCCCGGCCCCAAGCCCCACTCCTCCGTCCCTGCCACCTCCAAGCCCCTTCCCGTCTCCACCCAGCCCGCCGCCCAATCCTTCACCACCATCTCCTCCGCCTCCTTCGCCAGCTCCGTCGCCGCCTCTACTTCCGCCTAGCCCCCTACCGCCATCGCCTCCGCCTAGCCCTCTGCCACCGTCCCCCAATCCATCTCCGCCCGCCTCGCCTGTCCCTCCCAGCTCTCCCCCACCAAGCCCGGCCCCAAGCCCCACTCCTCCGTCCCTGCCACCTCCAACCCCCTTCCCGTCTCCACCCAGCCCGCCACCCAACCCTTCACCACCCTCTCCTCCGCCTCCTTCGCCAGCTCCGTCGCCGCCTCTACTTCCGCCTAGCCCCCTACCGCCATCGCCCCCGCCTGGCCCTCGTCCGCCGTCCCCCAATCCATCTCCCCCCGCCTCGCCTGTCCCTCCCAGCTCTCCCCCACCAAGCCCGGCCCCAAGCCCCACTCCTCCGTCCCTGCCACCTCCAAGCCCCTTCCCGTCTCCACCCAGCCCGCCACCCAACCCTTCACCACCCTCACCTCCGCCTCCTTCGCCAGCTCCGTCGCCGCCTCTACTTCCGCCTAGTCCCCTGCCGCCATCGCCCCCGCCTAGCCCTCTTCCTCCTTCACCACCGCCCGGCCCTCTCCCTCCTTCACCACCGCCTTCTCCGCCACCATCACCACAGCCCCCCACTCCCCTTCCACCGAGCCCGCCTCCTAGCCCCTTCCCTGCCCCTCCGAGCCCGCCGCCCAGCCCTTCGCCACCCTCGCCTCCGCCTCCTTCACCGGCTCCCTCCCCACCACCTCTTCCTCCCAGCCCTTTGCCCCCGTCACCACCTCCCAGTCCTCCCCCTCCTCTGTTGCCCCCTTCTCCGAGCCCACCCCCGAGCCCTAGCCCTCCTCTCCCTCCCAGTCCGCCTCCTAGCCCTTCACCACTTCCACCAAGTCCGCCTCCTAGCCCTTCACCTCCCCCTCCCAGTCCGCCTCCTAACCCTTCGCCACCACCGCCAAGCCCGCCTCCTAGCCCTTCACCTCCCCCTCCCAGTCCTCCTCCTAGCCCTTCGCCACCCTCACCAAGTCCGCCTCCTAGCCCTTCACCTCCCCCTCCCAGCCCGCCTCCCAGCCCTTCACCGCCCCCTCCCAGCCCGCCTCCCAGCCCTTCACCGCCCCCTCCCAGCCCGCCTCCTAGCCCCTCTCCCCCATCGCCACTACCTCCCACACCTCCACCAAGTCCTCCTGACCCATCACCACCCCCATCACCTTATCCGAGCCCTCCTAATCCTCCCCAACCTCCCTCGCCTGACCCAAGCCCCCCCAGCCCTTCACCGCCGCCACCACCCTCTCCAAGCCCTCCCAGCCCTTCACCGCCACCACCACCGTCTCCAAGCCCTCCCAGCCCTTCACCGCCGCCACCACCCTCTCCAAGCCCTCCATTGCCTCCGTCGCCACCATTACTCCCTCCTCCTTCACCCAATCCCCTTCCTCCCCTCCTGCCTCCAAGTCCGGAGCCTCCAAGCCCATCGCCTCCAAGCCCGTCACCTCCTTCACCATATCCGGCGCCCAGTCCGCTACCCCCCTCACCGTCGCCTCCTCCACCAAATCCGTCCCCGCCACCAATGCCTCCAAGCCCTCCACCGCCATCTCCACCACCTACTCCCCCGCCCTCTCTTCCCAACCCTCCTCCCAGAAACCCTCAACCCCCAAGTCCTCCTTCACCCAACCCTCTTCCACCCAGCCCCTCGCCTCCGCCTCCTAACCCTCCATCTCCACCTCACCCTAAGCCACCATTGCCAAGCCCCCCGCCACCATTCTTATCAACTCTGCCAGCTTCTTATGTCAACCAAAGCAACCCCTCAGCGGGTAAGGAACTGAAAGGCGCTTGGTTTCTCTTAGGCCGTACATGAGAGAAACCACGTTGCTGATCACTCACCCTTGCCGCTGACTTGCTCACTTCTTCTTACAACTCAAATCCCGTTTCCACTGATCCCTCACTCAACCCTCCCTGCCCCCCCTTGCAGTCATGCTGGTTACTGAGAGCACGGTGGTGAGCAACTCCCCCAACGTCAGCTCACTCTTCCCCGACGCCGCCAACGTCACCGTCACGCAGCAGCTGGTGGAGTTCCCGCTCAACGTCGCCTTCAATGGAGGTGGCGGCAAGAACTGCGATGACTCACTGCTGACCGCAGTGCGCACGGCACTTACACAGCGACTGAGCGTCACGTCGCAGCAGATTACCAAGCTGGAATGCGCTGCCGACACCGACGCGACCACTGCTCGGCGGCAACGCATGCTGCAGGCGGCAGCAGGCGCACCTCCGCCCCCCTCATCAGCTTGCTCGGATGCTGGAGCCACCCCCATGAGCCTGGTGATTCAGTTGAGCCTTCCCCCGACGGCAAACACGACTGCCATTTCTGCTACCATCAACGAATTGCTCGCCGCCTGGGCTAACGGCTCTGGCTCGGACGACTCGGGACTGATGCTGTGCAGCTCACCTGCGCTCGGCAATTTCCGCACGGCAACCGCAGTTAACGTGACCTACGCTGTGCCTCTGAGCAGTCAGGGAGCGGCGGCGCTTGCGCAGCAGTGCAAATCCACCGGCTGCAGTATAGTGGAGACACCAAACGCAGCGGCCTCGGATCCTAGTGCTTTGCCGCCACCACCACTGCCGCTGGCAGCGGTTGCTTCGTCATCAAATGACCAGGCGCAAACCGCTAGCTCTAGCAGCAAGGTCAACGTTGGTGTGATTGCCGGCATTGCTGTTGGCTGTACTGTGCTGCTGCTGGCTATGTGCATCGGGTTGGCGGCTATCCTGCTCCGGCGCCGGAAGGAAGAACGGGGCCAGCGGCGGCGACCTGGAAGCGCGGAGACTGACGGGTGAGCATGGTTGCTGATATGGGCTGAGTGAGGTAGTCATGGACTGCAGCTGCTGGTGCCAGGGGCGGCAACGGTCGCGTGTGCGGCTGATAATGTTTAGCACTTGTTGCAGATATTCATCCCTAGGGTGACATGCCTGCTCCCTAACATGCTGTGGTGTTCTTTCACCTGCCTTAACATTGACCTGTATCCTAAACCCCCAATCCCCCAGGAGCATGGACCCCATAACGCTGCCACCAGAAGCTGTCACCACTGAAACCGGGCTTGCGAATGGTGAACCAGCGGACACGCAGGACCCAACCCTGGGGATCACCTTAGTCCCGAACAGCCCAGGTGGTGCCGTACACCCTCATGGAGAAGGAAGGACCGCATGGGCTGAACCCGCTCCCACCTCAAGGCCTGGCAGCCGTGGTGGACCCACTTCCCGGCCTGGCAGCCGAAATGGCTGGACGGCGGGTGGCCCTGGGGGCTTGCGCATGGCCCCCACGGTTCCTCCCTTGCATGCCGACATTGAAGTTGATGAGGAGGACATCGCCCCTGCCATCGTGGAGACCCCGGCAGCAGCAGCCCCCAACGTGGCCTGGACGCATGACGCCGCTGCTCGACCCACCTCACCGCCCTGGGCCCGTGCCAGCGGTGCTGCTGTGGCACCTGCAATCCTCAACCTGCCGGAAGCAAGAGATCTTGAGGGCGCTGAGGTGGTGCAGGCGGGCCCGGGAGATGATGGCAAAGCCCAGCCACCTGACGACAATGAACCTCCTCGGGCAGCTTGGGGCGGCAAGAATGACAAGAGCGCACACGGTGGTTCCGGTGATGCTGCCGACACGGGAGCCAGCGGTGAGCCTCGCACCAGCCGGCCTACCAGTGCGTCCAATGCTGCAGCTGCTGCTGCCGCCGCCTCTGCTGCCTCCATGACGTCACCCAGGGCACCTTCACGACTCAGCTACACTGGCAACAATGCTGGCGGCGGATCGCTGGCCTCCCCACGGCCACTGAGCCGGGGCAGCACTGGCTCGCCAATCCCAAGCCAATCAATGGTGGGTGCTGCTGCAGCTGCCGCCCTGCGAGCATTGAACATCGGCAGCCGGCTAGGCGCACGGTCCCCACGGGTCGTGGATGAGAGTGCAACTTCTTCTGGCCAGGTCGTACTCCCAGGCGAGGATGACGGTGATGGCTGGTCGATGAGTAACACTAACCCACGACCATCAAAGAAGGGCCCGAAGGGAGCGGGCTCAGCTGGTGAGGATGACAACGATGATGCTGTGCGTGAACAGCCATCCAAGAAGGGTTCGAAGGCTGCGGATGAGGTGCAGCCTCTTGAGGCGACCGAGGACGAGCAGGAACAGCCCACCGCTGCCAAGGACCATCCGCGACCCTCAAAGAAGGGGCCAAAACAGAAGGAGGAGGAGGCTGGTCCCGCTTCTCAAGAACCCGTTCCTGCAGACGATCAAGCTGCACCAGCGCATAAGCCCAACCCCAGGCCTTCTAAGAGGGGTCCCAAGGCAGCGGGCGCGGCAGCTGAACCTTCCCAAGTGTCATCTGAGGAAGGCAATGCTGCGGCTGCAGGCAGGGTCAACCCCAGGCCGGTTAAGAAGGGCCCGAAGGCTGCTGTGGACGAGGCTGGGCCCTCCCAGCCTGTGGAGGAGGCCAGCACGTTGGCTGCCAGCAAGCCAAACCCCAGGCCATCCAAGAGGGGCCCCAAAGTGGAGAATGAGGCCGGGCCGTCCCAGCCGCCCAAGCCGGAGGTTGCTGTGCTGCCGCCCAGTGAAACAAGCCCAGGGCCAACTAAAAAGGGCCCGGTGGCAGGTGATGATGATGACTCTGACGGCCCTGCGGATGAGGCCGTAGAGGAGGTGCCGGCATGGCCGGCTGGCAGGGCATCCGCCAGGCCGTCCAAGAAGGGGCCGAAGCATGTGGATGATGATGCTGCATCCCAAGATAGCCGCACCCCTGGCCATGCATCCGGAAGGGATGGTCCCTTATGGCATGACGTCCGGTCTGACCCCAAGGCCCTGCCCAAGGGCCCCAAGGTCATGCCAGGCAGGAACCGCTCCTACATGATGCCCACCGCCGCCTCCGTCCTCAAGACGGGCCATGAAGACGTGGTGGCCGCCAAAGCTGCCATGGCCGCCACAGTGCACGAACTGCGCCGTCCGGCCACGCTGGCGGCTGTTCCGATGGCAAGCCATGCTGACGGTCAGCAACGGGCAAGCATGCCCTCACTGCCCAGCACATTCGCACAAGCTGCACGTCGCACTCAGTCAGTGACTGACTTGACCGGCAAGCAAAAGACAGGTGTTACCGAGCGGCATGCGTCTGTGACTATGCCTGGCAGCAGAGCAGCCCTGGCACCCAACTCAGGCACTGGGCAGAGCAATGGAGGCAGTCCTGCACAAGAGCCGCTGGGAGCCAAGGGAGGCCCTTTGGCAGCCAGCAAGCCTGCAGCGGCCATCCGCACGAGCGCACGCAGCAACGATGCCCCTCGTGAGATGGCGCCCTCCGAGCCCTCGCTGCCCGGGTCCCCAGGCGGCGGGCGGACCTCCCAGGATCCGTCCGAAGTTCTCATGCCGGACGCATCTGCTAGTGAAGGCGGCGAGGAGGAGCTGACTCAGTGGCTAGCGATGCACCCGAGGTCTTCCATAGCAGCTTCAGGAGCAGCAGCTGGTGCATCTGCAAGTTCAGGAAGGAAGGGCAACAGCCGCAGTTCAGTGCACTTCAAGGATGACAAGAGGAAACGTTGAGCAGCGGCCTCTGGTTCAGTGTCTTCCGATGTGTGTGTTGGAAAGTGCCCATGTCTTAAGTTTGTGTGTAGATGGCATTTGATAGCTGCTGGTTTGTGTTGTAACGTACTTTGTGTAAAGTGGACAGGTTAGAAGTATTATGTCTAGAGGCATTTGGAGGAGGATGAAGGTCAGATCGATGCAGGTATTGCGTCAGTAAGTCCTTGCTTACAAAGCATAAACTTGCTGACCTAAAGCGGCTGCCTTCATAACGTCTTAGGTGTGTTAAGAAAACTGGCTCATGTTAGGTGTGTGGCTCACGTACGTTGACATGATCAACTTTGGGACAGTTGGGTTAAGCGCGTAAAGCTTGTGCTGAGGCTCAGGCGTTAAGGATGTGACGTTAATAGGTGCAGGACTACGTTGGTGCTAGCGGATGGCACAGGACGCAGCGCATGATGCGACAATTGCACCCTACTACTTGTTATCGTACAATCACTTGACCTTGGCCGGCCCACATTACGTTAACAGACCATATAACTCGTTTGTGGTCTGCTGCAAGGGGTGCATGGGGCATCACCTCCAGACACTGCTTCAGTTGCACTTATGAATTGCTATCGCATTCATGGGCGTCTTTTCATTGTCGGTGGGCCCATGTGCGCCCATCGTGCTGGTTGGATTCTTGTTTGTGGCTCTGTGGAGGCCCTTGCTTGGTGATTGCCACGTGTGTTGTGATGGCTTTCGGGTAAGGAAGGCAAGTGTGCAGCAGCCCATCGCAGGCCACGCCGTCTGTCCGGCTATTGATTGCAATCTTCTCAATGAATTCATCTGAAGGGTTCATGGCGGCATTTGTGTGATTAGTGTTGTGTCGTAACATAACTAGGCCATGAGCCCATGACACTGTGACACCAGCCTATGCTACTCAACTGGTGCTATGGGTGTGATTGCATAGTTTCCGTTGCATAATTCGGTGAATTTATGGCCACGCAAGCGCATAAAGTGGAACAATGTTGGATTGCTGCCTGGCTTGGCACCATGTTGCTTGGTTAGGGCTTGCCCCTCCTGCTACACCCTGCTCTGGATACGGGGGTAAGGGAGGCTTCAAGCTTATGGTCCTTGCCATAACTTCGTTGTAAGACGTTATAACGCGATCGCACATGGCCCCTACAAACTGCCGGTACTCCAAACCCTTCCTAATTATTACAGTGCAGAAAATTGGTTGTATCTCCCAATGTAACCTTTGGCAAGGGCACTGCATGCATACCAAGGTTGCGCCAAGATGCCCAGGTACCCACCACCTGAAAATTTCAGGCGCTGCAGAGGCGGACCATCAGTGGCAGGCAATTGAAACGGCGAAACACATGCCTCGTCATCGTCAATAGGCTTGGAAGACATAATTGGCAAGAGTCTGCACTAATGAAAAGTAGCAGAGCTCTTGACACAGTTCATGTGAACTGACGCAGGTGGGTTGCGAGCATTGCGACGGATGGCGAGGGAAAACCTAATGTGATTTATACAGGATGACTACTCTAGGATAGTACGTGTCTACAACTTCTTTCACGCGGCCGGCATAGAGTGTCTGAACAGGAGACGTACGTAAAATCATATTATTAATGGCGTCTTCGTACACCCCGACCCACCTTCCGCCGTACTTCCGTCAGCGAACTAGGCAGCCAACGGCGTAGCAACTTCAACGGGGAAGTATGGAACATGGAGAAGTGCAAAGCTCACGTTTTACCTATGCGGTAGCCCTTTAGCATTCATATCAGGTCGACTTTAGCCTTTGGAGTCTCTTATGCATCGCGACTGACGCAAATGATTATATTTCAGTCAGGTTATGAATTAGGGAGCAGCTGCGGCCCATAGCATCCGTTACTAGTGCTTGGCCACGCCATGAAAGCGACGACGAGGCGCATTCAGATTAATCGCTTATCAATCCACTTTAACTTGTAACTGGAAGACATGACAGCGTTTTGTTTAATTTGGAAGTCTCTGGGGGCTCAGCGATGGCTGCTTCTTGCTGCAATCCTGTTGGCCTTGACTCCCGATTCCGCAGAGGGTAAGGCGGGCTTTGAAGAGCATCCATTAACTGGTTTTTGCTGTTGCTGTATTCAACGTCTAGGGTGCGCTACCGGTCTGTGTTAACTGATGGCAAAACGCTGCTTTGCAAAAATAATTGCATGCAGGTGGATTTCAGGGCTTTGGGGGCCATGGTAGCGGCCTAGGTCGCCGTAACGAGCGGCGTTTGCTGGCCCGCCGTCCACCTCCGTCAAATCCTTCCCCACCGGACCCCTTTCCACCTCCACCTCGACCCCCAAGTCCTCCTCCTACAATACCAAGGCCCCCCTATACACCTCCCCCGCCGCCCAGTGCTGCTTTTGTTGACACGGGCCAGTATTACTGCATTACCAATCCCTATGGCAAGTGCTGGCCATGCGAGAAGAATGTCTATGCATGCGAGGTAAGGTACCAGGCACAGGTTAGGTCATGTATGCCCTAGGGCTGGTCGTGACCATAAACCCGGTTGGCTGTGGTTTCTTGTGAAGTCCCCCGTGTGTGGCGCTTGCACCAAACCAACCCTGATTTTAAACCCTGTTTGGTTTGTTTGCCATTTGCAGACTGAAGACAGTTTTTACTCAAACTCGGGAGTGTGTATGATCTATGACAGCTGGTACAGCAGCGTCTACTCGTATGACCAGTGTGCAAACCTTCCGGTGTGGAAGACGGAACTGAATGCGACATTGAGCAACGGGACCATGGTGGGTTACGATGGCATGTGGTATGCTGTTATAAAAGAGATGGGCGGGCCTTACATCCCTTCTCCAGTGGTAGCACACACGGATTACTTGGGTTGGTCCCCGTTGCCATCGCTTTGGTCGGAACCCCATGTGGGTCCAGTAGCTGCAATGTCCGCTGCCAGCGTCCACTTATCCCAAAACCGTTTCCTGGTATCCTGCTTACCCGTTGTGCTTGCTTCCCCGCTGCAGCTCAAGGTTGGCGACGTCCAGGCGTGGGAGGACACTGGCGGCTACATGGTGGTCACCTTCTTCATGATGTGCCCCTGGATGATGCAAATCGACTCCGGAGTGACTGGTGCATCCTTCTCGGTGTCCGTGACTGAGATTGGCGTGGACGGCTCCACCCTGGCATCCTGGGCTTTTGTCACCAGTGAGACCGCTGGCATACCGTACCGCGCGTGTTCCTCCTTCCGTTTCCCCGTGCGAGAGGAAGCAGGGGGCTACCTGGGTGTGGATGCGGCGCCCGGGACAGCATGCAGCACCTACAACCGCATTGTGCGGATACAGGTGGGGTTAACGGGTCGCTTGCTATGTTACATAGTACACTGATGTCTAGGGCCAGACACCCAGCAGGCTAGCAGCGCTGTTGTACATCTACGCTAAGCACGCCTGTGCTGCTCCCTACAGGCGAGTGTCATCCAGCTTACCGCTGTGACGGATGATGCGACCTGCGGCACTATCACCTATGCGGACTCCTCCGACCCCATCAGCACTACTGTGGACGCATCCTTTGTAGTGGGCACTATGTACGCCCCGCCGCCGCCGTCTCCATCCCCGGCTCCCCCTAATCCACCGCCACTGATGCCATTTCCACCGGACTTTCCGCCAAGCCCTTTTCCTCCGTCACCGCCGCCAAGCCCGCCTCTAGCCCCCCCACCCGACCCCCCCTCACCACCAAATCCCCCCAGCCCGGCACCAGCACCACCTCCTCCCCCATTTCCTCCCAGTCCTCCATCACCCCCACCGCCAAACCCTCGTCCCCCGTCGCCCCCACCCTTTCCACCCTCACCACCATCTCCCACCCCACCTCTCCCACCCAGTCCGCCGCCACCTTCTCCCTTTCCACCGTCACCTTATCCCCCATGGAACCCTGGTCCCTTTGCCCCTTGGTGGCCCAATTCACCTGCGCCTCCCCCCGACCCCCCGTCCCCTGAGCCACCTTCACCTTCTCCCCCGCCATCCCCACCATCACCGCCGCCCGTGCCATCCCCTCCACCTTCTCCACCACCGTTCCCGTCACCGCCACCGTCTCCATCACCGCCGCCTCCGTCCCCCTCGCCGCCGCCTCCTCCACCTGAGCCGCCATCTCCGCCGCCACCCTCCCCGCCACCTCCTCCAATGCCTCCCAGCCCAGGACCACCGCCGAGCCCCTCCCCGCCGCCCCCCAGCCCGCCGCGGCCCCCATCACCCAGTCCTCCGCCGGTGCCATTCCCATCACCGCCTTCGTAAGTTACCTAGCTAGGAGGGGAGCTGCTACAATGATCACCTTAAAGCCCTTGCCAGCAGCACATGCCATATGCATGCATGCATGAAAGGCATACCCGTATCTTGAGATTGGCACGTTGGGTTCTAACTGCACCTCTAGGATGGTCGTTGTAGGGCAATGTACTATCAATGGTACTTTAGGCGTTGGCTCGTTGTTCCGTTCTCATAGCCTCTGCTAGCCATGGAGGCCAAGAGACGCTTCTCTTGTCTCAACTACGTCTGTGCCTGACAGTGGAAACAACAGCTGCCAAGCCCAACTACAGCCCAGCCCACAAACCCCTGCATCCCCCCCAAACCGGCCTGATCCATGGTGCACCACTGGCTGCGATTGCTGGCAGCAAGCATAGATTGGCTCCGAAACCCCTCCTTTGTGCCCCCACATGCTGCCCCCCTCCCACCCGCAGCCGGCCGCCAAACCCCTTCCCGCCACCCAAGCCGCCCCGTCCTCCGCCTCCTAGTCCACCCCCGCCACGGCCCTCACCACCGCCGCCTCCCAGTCCCAGTCCTCCGCCACCTTCCCCGCCGCCCAGGCCTCCACCGCCTTCCCCAAGGTGTGCCTTCACGTGCCTCGCTTTCATGTCTTGCGGGTTGCCAGCGCTTCTTGCACACCCACGGTGCTCACGCCGTCCTAGCTGTTGTCGCTCCACTGTTGCCTGGAGATTAGATCTGAGCCCCAGAAGTCACCGGACCCACCCTGCCACTCGACCCCATGGCCCACTGTAGTCTGATAGTCTGGCGCAGTATGATTTGGGTTTGTGGGGTCGGTGCCTTATCAAAGATGTAGGGACTTACCAGCAGTTACTAGATCCTCACCATGAAAGGGGCCAAGCGGCAACATGCATATCAGCACTGCATAGTAGGGACATGCCTGACATTGACCTTTTTGCAGCTGTCTTTAAACATCCTCTTCCCCTCCCCCTGCACAGCCCACCACCACTTCCCCCAAGCCCTTCGCCGCCACCACAGCCGCCACCAAGTCCACCGTTGCCGCCGTCACCCTCACCGCCACCCTCGCCCCCACCGCCCAGCCCGCCTCCCAGCCCCAACCCACCGCTGCCCCCCAGCCCCTCGCCCCCTCCCAGTCCTCCGCCACCCCCACCACCCAGTCCGCCCAGCCCTAGTCCTCCTCCCTCCCCGTCGCCCCCTCCGCCGTCTCCACCCCCCTCACCGCGACCACCGTCTCCCAGCCCACCTCCCAGCCCCTCCCCACCCCCTCCTAGCCCCTCACCACCTCCGCCCCCTAGCCCCTTACCACCCAGCCCACCCCCAAGCCCTTCTCCGCCCCCACCTAGCCCTTTACCGCCATCACCCAGCCCTCCGCCTAGCCCTCTGCCGCCTTCGCCCAAGCCTCCCTCCCCTGACCCTCCTTCACCTCCTCCGCCCCCAAGCCCCTTCCCCCCAAGCCCTCCTCCAAGTCCCCCTCCACCATCACCGATGCCTCCTCTGCCGCCTTCACCGGAGCCACCTAGCCCCAAACCGCCTAGCCCGCCGCCCAGCCCGCTTCCCCCCAGCCCATCTCCTCCCAGCCCTCTGCCGCCCTCCCCCAGTCCGCCTCCCAGCCCGCTGCCGCCTTCTCCTCCACCCCCTTCACCGTTACCCCCCTCACCTCCATCGCCTCCAAGCCCTCCGCCGCCCTCACCCCCACCTAGCCCTTCCCCGCCACCGCCTAGCCCGTCTCCGCCACCTCCAAGTCCCCCACTGCCCCCTTCTCCTGACCCCCCTAGCCCTCAACCTCCTAGCCCGCCTCCAAGCCCTAAGCCTCCTAGCCCGTTTCCACCAAGCCCCGCCCCACTTCCACCTAGCCCGCCTCCTAGCCCACTCCCGCCCTCACCCCCGCCGCCCTCTCCTAACCCGCCCTCTCCTCCTGAGCCCCCAAGCCCGCCGCCGCCATCTCCGCCGCCCAGCCCCTCTCCGCCGCCCCCGAGTCCCCCACCGCCCCCGTCTCCTGATCCGCCCAGTCCGCCACCACCTAGCCCGGCCCCCAGCCCAACTCCTCCAAGCCCGCTACCCCCAAGCCCCTCCCCTCCACCACCTAGCCCTCCGCCAAGCCCTTTACCCCCATCACCACCGCCCCCATCACCAAATCCGTCCCCACCACCATTGCCACCCAGCCCTCTGCCGCCTTCCCCACCACCAAGCCCCTTGCCCCCTTCACCTCCTCCGCCTTCTCCTGAGCCTCCCAGTCCCCCTCCTCCAAGCCCTCCGCCAAGCCCTAGCCCACCCAGCCCCTTACCGCCCAGCCCTTCACCGCCGCCGCCCAGCCCTGAGCCAAGCCCTCTTCCCCCCTCTCCACCCCCGCCGTCTCCTATTCCACCGTCACCGCCACCCCCACCCAGCCCTCTGCCGCCTTCCCCACCACCCAGCCCCTTGCCCCCTTCACCTCCTCCGCCTTCTCCTGAGCCTCCCAGTCCCCCTCCTCCAAGCCCTCCGCCAAGCCCTAGCCCACCCAGCCCCTTACCGCCCAGCCCTTCACCGCCGCCGCCCAGCCCTGAGCCAAGCCCTCTTCCCCCCTCTCCACCCCCGCCGTCTCCTATTCCACCGTCACCGCCACCCCCACCCAGCCCTCTGCCGCCTTCCCCACCACCCAGCCCCTTGCCCCCTTCACCTCCTCCGCCTTCTCCTGAGCCTCCCAGTCCCCCTCCTCCAAGCCCTCCGCCAAGCCCTAGCCCACCCAGCCCCTTACCGCCCAGCCCTTCACCGCCGCCGCCCAGCCCTGAGCCAAGCCCTCTTCCCCCCTCTCCACCCCCGCCGTCTCCTATTCCACCGTCACCGCCACCCCCACCCAGCCCTCTGCCGCCTTCCCCACCACCCAGCCCCTTGCCCCCTTCACCTCCTCCGCCTTCTCCTGAGCCTCCCAGTCCCCCTCCTCCAAGCCCTCCGCCAAGCCCTAGCCCACCCAGCCCCTTACCGCCCAGCCCTTCACCGCCGCCGCCCAGCCCTGAGCCAAGCCCTCTTCCCCCCTCTCCACCCCCGCCGTCTCCTATTCCACCGTCACCGCCACCCCCACCCAGCCCTCTGCCGCCTTCCCCACCACCCAGCCCCTTGCCCCCTTCACCTCCTCCGCCTTCTCCTGAGCCTCCCAGTCCCCCTCCTCCAAGCCCTCCGCCAAGCCCTAGCCCACCAAGCCCCTTACCGCCCAGCCCTTCACCGCCGCCGCCCAGCCCTGAGCCAAGCCCTCTTCCCCCCTCTCCACCCCCGCCGTCACCGATTCCACCGTCTCCTCCACCCCCACCCAGCCCTCTGCCGCCTTCCCCACCACCAAGCCCCTTACCCCCCTCGCCTGACCCCTCACCTCCGCCTTCTCCTGATCCGCCCAGTCCCCTTCCTCCAAGCCCTCCGCCAAGCCCCTTACCGCCAAGCCCCTTACCGCCAAGCCCCTCTCCACCGCCGCCCAGCCCTGAGCCCAGTCCTCTTCCTCCTTCTCCACCCCCGCCGTCTCCTAATCCACCCTCCCCCCCAACGCCACCCAGCCCTCTGCCGCCATCTCCGGCCCCAAGCCCCTTACCCCCTTCACCGCTTCCGCCTTCTCCTGAACCACCCAATCCCCTGCCACCAAGCCCCCCGCCAAGCCCTAGCCCACCAAGCCCACCACCCCCCAGCCCCTCCCCGCCACCTCCCAGCGCTCCCCTTAGTCCCTTACCTCCTTCACCTTCGCCTCCATCGCCAAGCCCCCCAGCCCCGCCATTGCCACCCAGCCCGCCACCCCCACCTCCACCACCCAGTCCCTCACCTCCCTCTCCCAACCCATTGCCGCCGCCCTCTCCTCATCCTCCAAGTCCCCATCCACCCAGCCCGCCCCCAAGCCCTTCTCCTCCAAGTCCCTTCCCTCCAAACCCCTCTCCTCCTTCGCCTAGCCCGCCACCCAGTCCACTACCTCCCTCCCCGCGGCCTCCCTCTCCAAATCCATCCCCACCTCCGAAGCCTCCCAGCCCGCCACCACCATCACCGCCGCCCAGCCCCCCGCCCTCTCCTCCAAGCCCGCCGAGGCCCCCTCCACACGCCCCTCAACCCCCTAGCCCCCTCCCACCAAGTCCTCTTCCGCCCAGCCCCTCGCCCCCGCCTCCCAAACCTCCACCTCACCCTAGGCCTCCATCGCCACCAATGCCAAGCCCCCCACCCCCGTTCATGTCGACCATACCGGCTGCATATGTTAACCAAAGCAATCCCTCGGCAGGTAAGGACCTGTCGTAAGGGTTCCTTAGTTGCGTGTAGGCTGCTCCGGTAGGGGTTCACGCCACATTTCGCATGTCCGGACCGCTGTCTTGTGAGCCTCTTTCACGGTACCTCAAATCCCGTTTCCACTTACCTCGCTCCTTTCCCTTGCAGTCATGCTGGTTACTGAGAGCACGGTGGTGAGCAACTCCCCCAACGTCAGCTCACTCTTCCCCGACGCCGCCAACGTCACCGTCACGCAGCAGCTGGTGGAGTTCCCGCTCAACGTCGCCTTCAACGGAGGTGGCGGCAAGAACTGCGATGATTCACTGCTGACCGCTGTGCGCACGGCACTTACACAGCGACTGAGCGTCACGTCGCAGCAGATCACCAAGCTGGAATGCGCTGCCGACACCGACGCGACCACTGCTCGGCGGCAACGCATGCTGCAGGCGGCAGCAGGCGCACCTCCGCCTCCCTCGTCAGCTTGCTCGGACGCTGGAGCCACACCCATGAGCCTGGTGATCCAGTTGAGCCTTCCCCCAACGGCGAACACAACTGCCATTTCTGCTACCATCAACGAATTGCTCGCCGCCTGGGCTAACGGCTCTGGCTCGGATGGTTCTGAACTCGTGGTGTGCGGCTCGCCTGGGCTCGGCAATTTCCGCACGGCAACTGAAGTTAACGTGACCTATGCTGTGCCTCTGAGCAGTCAGGGAGCGGCGGCGCTTGCACAATCGTGTAGCTCCTCGTCATGCACTATTGTGGGGACGCCAAGTATGGGTGCTGTGGCTCCGCCACCACTGCCGTTGTCAGCTGTTCCTTCTTCATCAACCGATGACTCTTCCTCGAAAAGTGGCAGCAAGGTCAACGTTGGTGTGATTGCCGGCATTGCTGTTGGCTGTACTGTGCTGCTGCTGGCTATGTGCATCGGGTTGGCGGCTATCCTGCTCCGGCGCCGGAAGGAGGAACGGGGCCAGCGGCGGCGACCTGGAAGCGCGGAGACTGACGGGTGAGCATGGTTCCTGGTACGCATGGCATGCTGCGTCGTGCATAGATTGACGTGAAATGACCGAAATCTTACACTTCTGCAAACGGAGGTGAATGGCTTTACTAGCGTATGTTAGAATGTTACCTGATATGATACCGTTGGGGTCTTTAACAGCCTCATGTATTAATATGGCAAAGTTTCCGCTGTCTCATCACTGTGGATGTTTTACTCATAACCCAAACCCACTCCCCTTAACTCCGCAGGATGGAGGTCGTTACACTGCCGGACGAGGCCACCTCCGTGTCCCCTGTCAGCGACATCTTCGGTGTCACTGAGCCGCCGCCCGCGGACCCCAGCCTGCACATCAGCTTGGTGCCCAGCAGCCCCGATGCACAAGCAGGAGTCGCAACAGCAGCCAGGACCGCATGGGCTGAACCCGCGTCCGCCTCGAGACCCGGCAGTCGTGGGGAAACCGCATCCCGGCCTGGCACGGCTGGCAGCCGCAACGGCTGGACGGCAGGTGGCAACAACGGCTTGCGTCTGGCGCCCACCACGCCCCCCTTGCAGCATGACATCGAGGTTGATGAGGAGGACATCACTCCTGCCATCGTGGAGACCCCGGCAGCGGCAGCTAAGCCTGCTATCACCCATGACGCCGCCGGACGGCCCATTTCACCGCCCTGGGCACGTGTCAGCGGTGCTGCTGTGGCCCCCGCAATCCTCAACCTGCCGGAAGCAAGAGACCTTGAGGGCGCTGAGGTGGTGCAGGCGGGCCCGGGAGATGATGGCAAAGCCCAGCCCCCTGACGACAGTGAACCTCCTCGGGCAGCTTGGGGCAGCAAGAATGACAAGAGCGCACACGGTGGTTCCGGTGATGCCGCCGACACGGGAGCCAGCGGTGAGCCTCGCACCAGCCGGCCTACCAGTGCTTCGGCCGCCGCAGCTGCTAGAGCGGCACCCAGGGCACCTTCACGACTCAGCTACACAGGCAACAATGCTGGCGGCGTTGACAACAGCTTCCCCGTCCGTGCTAGCACTGGGTCGCTGCCTTCTCCTCCGCGGCCGCTCAGCCGCGGCAGCACCGATGCTCCCAACCCGTCCATGGTGGGTGCTGCTGCTGCTGCCGCCCTGCGTGCACTTAACATCGGCAGCCGACTGGGTGCGAGGTCCCCCAAGGTGGCTGATGAGAGTGCTACCTCGACCGGCCAGCTTGCATTCATGGACGAGGAAGGCGATGAGGCCAGGTCAGCGAGCCGGGGTGCTCCCAGGCCGTCTAAGAAGGGCCCCAAGGCAGCTGATGGCGGGGGTTCGACGGATGAAGATGAGGCCGAACACCCCAGTAGCAAAGGACATCCACGGCCGTCTAAGAAGGGCCCTAAGGCTTCCGTGGATGGCTCTGAGGACCCGACACGTCTGCAAGACGAGGCAGACAGGCCAGGGAGCAAGGCCAACCCACGGCCAACTAAGAAGGGCCCCAAGATGTCGATGGATGGCTCAGCCGAGTTCCCCACAGCTCAGCAGGAGGAGATGGAGAGGCCCGGGAGCAACCCCAACCCCAGGCCGTCCAAGAAGGGCCCGAAGGCCGCTTTGGATGAGGCTGGACCTCCCCAAGCAGCACATGAGGGTGCTGCCTGGCCTGCCAGCAAGCCCAACCCACGGCCATCCAAGAAGGGACCCAAGCTGGAGGGCGAGGCCGGGCCCTCCCAGCCCAAGGCCAACCCACGGCCGTCCAAGAAGGGTCCCAAGGTGCATGAGGATGACGACTCGGACGACCCTGCGGAGGCGGCTGTGGAGGAGGTGGAGGCATGGCCTGCCAACCGGGGACACCCAAGGCCATCCAAGAAGGGGCCAAAGCATGTGGATGATGCATCTGGAAGGGATGGCCCGCTATGGCATGACGTCCGGTCTGACCCCAAGGCCCTGCCCAAGGGCCCCAAGGTCATGCCAGGCAGGAACCGCTCCTATATGATGCCCACCGCCGCCTCCGTCCTCAAGACAGGCCATGAAGACGTGGGGGCCGCCAAAGCTGCCATGGCCGCCACAGTGCACGAACTGCGCCGTCCGGCCACGCTGGCGGCTGTTCCGATTGCAAGTCGCGGTGATCACCACGCCGTCTTGTCCTCGGCCCCCAGCGACTTCTCAGACGCTGCGCGGCGCTCGCGTTCCGTAACCGAGCTGCCCGTCAAACCCCGTACGGCGGTTACCGGGCGTCACGCATCCGTAACCATGCCTGGCAACCGGCCAATCCAGTCTTCCCCCTCAGCGGCTGGCAACAGTGACGCAGCCGGCAGCAGCGCTCTAGAGCCGCCGGAGACCCGAGGCGGCACACTGGCGGCCGGAAAGTCAGTCGGGGGCCCGCGCATCAGTATCCTGGGTGGTACCGGAGGCCCTCGTGAGGCGTTTGCCTCAGAGCCCTCTCTGCCTGGGTCGCCTGGCGAGCCGGCGCTCGGCCAGGAGCCGTCGGAACTGCTAACGCCCGAGGCGTCGATGGGCGATGGCGGCGAGGATGAGCTGACGCAGTGGCTGGCTCTGCACCCGCGGCCTCCTGCGGCACCTGGCAGTGCGGGTTCTGGAAGCAAGGGGACCAGCAGCCGCAGCTCACTGGTTCAGAAGGGTGGCAAGGGAGGCGTTGTCTGAGTCTATCTAGCGATCGGGGTTACAGTTGCTATGATCACGCGCATGGTTAGGTTATGGGAAGTGTGTGTGGTGAGGTCAGGTGGGTTTTACCGTTGCGTCTTGTTGCCGTTGGACGGGACTGGCATACTTACCTCATTACGTGTTGCATGGGGGGGTAACAGTACGTACACGGAAAACGTTTGTTGCAGTAACTTTGGCGCAGGTTGTTTATAAAAGAAGAACGGGTTTGTGTTTGCTGTCGTTGTGGTTCCAGTGGCGTTGGTGACACAACTAAGCCTTATTCAGCGCCTTTAGATTGTTATGGCTTGTTGACTGCGGACTTCTCCTTAACGGCCCAACTGGCTAGCCAAGGCTGGATGTACATGTGGCTTGGTGATGTGACATGGGGGTTTGCCTTGTGCCCCTTCACCTGTCTGCTGAGGAGAGGATAGGTTGTATATGCTTGTTGTTTATTAGGACGTAAACCCCAACCATGCGTACAACGACGTAGGGGGATTGTTGACTGTGCCCATTCACACCAGTACAGAGTTGGAAGGCAGTCCTTGCATCCTGTCAGCTAACGGACTATTAACACACCGCTTTACCTACAAGCCGCTTTGCATGCATCACCCCGGGGCTACTGCTCGGATAGTCACTCTTTTTTGTGTACCTCGTGTCATGTGGTAAACCACTTTTAACGCTAGTGCCCACTTGTGTGTCCGGGACATATTACGCGCGTTTTTATGTCGGCGTGGATACATTGGCGAGCTTGTGTTTGCTCGTCAGGCCCTTTGGATTCATTTGCGAAGTGGCGCAGGAGGCCCTTGATTCTCACAGCTGCTCGAGCCCCTATCGTCCAGTGGGCCAAGAGATACGTGAGTACAAGGCCCATGCTGGCCGGAACGCCTGCTGGGGAGCTGTTTTTGGAGCTTGGTTTATGATTCATGTTTGCCAACTCTCACTCATCTGCAGCGCTCGTGTGCTCCTGTTGTGGATGTCCTTACCACGCAGCTGCAGGGCCAACGTTGTCATGTGGTGACGATATTTCTTGGGGTATTCTTACTGTGTGGTTTTGGTGGCCATGTCGTTTACCCGCCAACAATTAACCATATCGTTTCATGTGCGCCAGTGTTCATTACGTCTTGCACCGGGCTGTCTGAGGCTGCAAGCCGAATGTCGTTCAGACACGATACACCCCCTGTACACCCTGATGCAGTTGTCAGGGTAGGGGTTACAGTGCTGTACGCTTGATGTTGCCGTTTGCTTAACGTCTACAGTGTAACGTGATGGCAAGCCTAATGAAGTAAGGATTGCTGAAGAGCATTCGGACCATCCCTTGGCGCTGGTGAACATCGGGGATAGGCAGTATCAGCATGTATGTGCCCTTACATGGGTCTTGCATGGTTTCAGGCGACAAGGTGACACCACCCAGCCTGCGCAGATATACAAACCAATCCAGTGAGGTAATTCCAAAGCATACAGCCGGCCTTCTGCTGCCAGCTTTAAGTCCATTGTTAACGGCTTTTGGCAACATCATGTGCACGTACTGCTTTGTCCAGATTGTGCTAGAGCATCATCACATCACGAAAACCCAACATCGGTGTGGGCAGTGTGGGCCACTTTTGCTCCCACACATTCCAGGATAGACCCTCATTGCCATAAGGGGAAAACTGTTCTCATGTTAGTTACGTCGCTTCCAAAATTATATGAAACTCCAAAACACGAACACAACGAAGGCGTACCGGTAGTCAAGGTTCTATGACACGTGCACGGGTTAACATGTCAGTAAACGACCATGAGCATTCTGCCTGTTCTTTGTTCGTCCGAGATGGTAAGACGAACAAAGAGGCCCGTCCCAACAGAGGCCAACACCCTAAACGCTCACAAACGTCCCATTAGCAGCAGCTCCCTAACCCCTGTCCATCGCATTCCTGCATACCGGTACTTCCAGAGCCTGCCTCAAGTTCTACCTGTCTCAACAACGCCTGCATTACCAGCGCGCCCCTCAGCAGACTAGCCCCCAGGCTGCACAGTTCCTCCCGCTCAGCCGCCGCCACTGCACCCCCTCCACCACCGTGTCCGCTTCCCACGCCGTCCCTGCCTGCCTCCCCCTGTTGGCCGCCTCCCTCCTCCCGCAACAATGCCAGATGCCATCTCCGCAGGCTGTAGGCCACACTCAACCGCTGCCCCGCAACTGCATGAAATGTCCCTGCCCCAGGTGCGGCAGCAGGCTGGCCGGCTGTGGCTGCTGCTGCTGCTGCGGGTGACAAGGCTGCTGCTGCTGCCCCTGTGGGTCCGGGTGCGGATGGCACCGGCGCCACTGCTGCAGCGGATGATGACGATGAGCATGATGTGGACACGGGGCATGGCGGCCAGGCGGCTGCGGAGGCAACCGCCCTCTCCAGCCCCGCACGCATGTCCGCCATACACACGATGAGGCGCCTCATCCCACCAGCGGGGCCCTCCTCCAGTGCCGTGTGGGCCTCCGGGGTACCGCCGGGGAAGGCCACAGCCATGCGCTGCGATAGCCGCCGCTCTAGCCCCGCTATCTCCCCCAGCATTCCCCGCAGCTGCGCCTGGATGCGGACAAGGTGCGGGCAGCACGCTGCCTGCTCCTCCTGACCTGCATTGCGGGTGCCTGCAGGCGGGTGCCCTGCCGCTGACGGGTGCAGCCCCCCGGGATTGAGGACAGCCGGAGAGCCCTCAGCTGCTGCTGCTGCAGCGGCCTCCGCTGCCAGGGCAGTCTCCGCTGTCCGTGGCAGTGGCCCCGCTTCCCCTGCAGCACTTTGGGCCCCTGCAGCAGCAGGGCCCAGCGCAGCAGCTGCTGCGTCCTCCACCTTAACGCCATGGCAAATCCCCATAGCGCCTGCTTGCATGCCACCCGCAGCTGCACCACCGCCTACCCCATCCCCAACCGCTGCTGGGGGAGGTCCCGCTGTGATGTCACTGCAGCGCCGCCAGCCATGTGACCTGCCTCGTGGCATTCGCGGCCCTCCCGCAGGAGCGGCGCCACCCCCACCCCCACCCCCACCACCGCCGCCTGCACGTGTTAGGCTAAGCGGTGCTGGCGGGCAGCTGCCTGCGGCAGCCCCAGCGGCCAGCACTTGTGGCTGCTGCTGCTGCTGCCACTGCTGTGGTGACTGCAGCTGCTGCTGTGGTGCTTCCCTCTGAGCTGCTGCCGGGTCCGCCGCCGAAGCCGCCCAGGTGGGAGGCTGGCGCGCAGCAGCAGGACGTGTGCTGCCGGCTGCTACAGCTGCTGCAGGGCCGCCAGCCGGCAGTGCCGGGCTACCAGGCGCCCCGGCCGGCCGCACGGATGCCGTACCAGCGCCGACAGGGAGGTCCGCCTGAGGCTCCGTCTTGACGCCAGCATGCAGCGTCCGAGCGTGAGCAGCAGTGGGAGCAGCGGCAGGGCTCGGCACGCTAGGCGCTGCGGCGGCGACGGCAGCAGGAGGACTGGCAGGAGAGGCAGCTGCTGTTGCAGGAGGAGGAGGCGGTGGGTGCTTACGTGGCCTGCCCCTGCTCTTGGCCGGCCGCTCTACACCCTCCTCACCCCCCGGCTGAGGCTGCTGCTGTGCGGGAGGGGCCGCAGCGGCAGCAGGACTGGCAAGAGCGGCAGCCGCTGCTGCAGGAGCAGGAGCAGGGGCAGGCGGTGGTTGCTTGCGAGGCCTGCCCCTGCGCTTGGCCGGCGGTTTTATGCCATCATTCCCCGGCTGCTGCTGCTGGGGCTGTTGTTGCGGTGGAGGGTCCGCAGCCGGTACCGGTAACGTCACCGCTTCACGTGGAGCTATCGCAGGTACGGCATCGGCCTCAGTATCGCCCTCCCGAAGGTTCTCCGGCCCCCGCTGCAGATGCAGGGAGGAAGAAGGACCCGCATCCGCCCCCGCGGCAGCTTGCTGGCTAGTCCCTGCCTTTACCCTTGCCGTTGCTCCCGCTGCTTTTGTAAGGGAGCCGTCGTGCTGCTGCTGTTTCTGCTGCTGCTGCCCGCCGGAGTTCAAGTCCCCATGCGCATCTCCGTCAACCTTCCCGCCCCCGACGTCCTGCTCCTCCTCCTCCTTCTCAGCAGGCGGCTGTCGGAGCCGCTTAAACGAACACCTCCTCCCCTGCTGTTTCCCCCCAGCGCCTCCTGCCCTTCTCCCCACCGCCCCGCCACCATCATCTCCCGGGGAATCCTCTGCCCCCGCAGCAGCAGCCCCTCCCGGCGGCAACACCCGCACTGTCACCAGGCTGCCGGCGCCAACAGCAGCAGCAGCACCGGCTTCGGATCCTCTGCCGCTGCTGCGCCGGCCGCCACGGAGGCGTCGGTCTCCCCCGCCGCCGCTGACACCCCCAGGTGGCCCCCCTTGGTGCGGAGTCCCGCCGGCTGCTGCGGAGCTGCAGGTGTAGCCCAGGATCCGACAGCCCTCCAGCAGGTTGCGTACGGACTTGGGCAGCCTGGGAGGGCAGACAGTGGGTGACACCCGGGTTGAGCAGGGGGCCCCCGTCGGCGTCGTAGCCCAGGGCAGCAATCAGGATGCCTGTTGGCCAGTAGGGAGTCCGGTGGTACCTGAGCACCTCCACAGCAGCAGCGCCACATGAACCCCGCAGCATGCGTGCTTGCATCCCAGCCCCTACCCCGCCCCACCAACTCACCTCAGGCCGTACTTCTCCTGCCCTCTCGCCGTCACAACACGCGCCTCATGCGGCCCCAGCGCCCCCAGCAGTCGCCGCACCTGATCCCTGCCCCCGTCACCCGCCTGCTGCCCACTGCTACCGCCCTCCGCGGCCTGCCGTACCAGCTCGATCCGCAGCCACACCTTCCAAGGCGCCAGGGAGGGTTGCAGCTCCCCAGCAGCGTCGCGGTGGCAGCTGCCCCGGGGCCGCCCGCGCTTTCTCTTCACCGCACCATCCCTTTCCTCCATGCCGCCGCCCTGGTCTGCTGCCCCGTAGAAGCTCCGAAACCACTCCAGCACGTGGCGTTCCGGAAGCGGCAGGCTGGCTCGAGCGTCAGAGTAGAGTACACCGGAGGCTGCAGCTGGGGCGGGTGCAGGGTCCGCAGCCACCTCGTGGCTGCTATCGCCCTTGCCGGCCCCTCGCGGCTCTTCGTCTTCTTCATATTCCGAGGCGGTACTGCCGATGCTGTGGTCGCTGTCGTGTTCTACGCCGGCAGCATCAGCATCAGCACCGCTTGGCCTGGTAGTGGCGTCCCATCCGTTGTGGCTGCTGTCTTCCCCGCGGCTGCTGTAGCTGCCGGTATCCTCGCCCCGTCCTTCGCTGCTGTCCCCAGCGTCACAGTCCACCCCGGTTGTCTGCTGGGTGCTGGTCCTGCCGGCGCCCTCGCTGCCGGTCTGCAAGGCGTGGAGGGTGCGTGTAGGCTTGCGGGGACCCGTGCAGGCCTGGGCAGCACCCCTAAGCGTCGTGCTGGCCTGCTGGGGGCCGGTGCCCCGAACCGCCGTGTGAGCTGCTGTCTCATGGCTTCGTCTTTTGCCATCGGTCGCAGCTGCGGGTTGCTCGGCTGGCGGTGGCCGTAGTTGCGCCTTGCCCGGGGAAGCAGCTACCGAGCCAGTGCGCTGATGCTGTGTGAGGTATCGCAACGGACAGAACAAGGGTACATGGCTGAAAACAGCGTTAAGTAGTAAGATGATAAGTGCGCATGCGGGGTGAAGTTAAACACTTACACCATAACGTGTGTATGCAATTGCGAGCAGATAAATCAAATAATTTGCTTCTGTGGGAGTTGACCACCTGTGGCTAGCAACCCTCCCACGGCCAACGCACGGACAAGACCGGCAATGCCCACCTGCGCCTGGTCTCTTAAGCTGCAACGCCGCCTCTTTGTTTTCTCCAAGCACTCACTCTGACTAGTTTGTAAATGTGTTACAGTCTGCCGTTTCATGAGCTGCAGCTGTCTACACTAGTTCAGTTTCCCGACAATACGTTTACAACCCGAAACCACGGTGAGGATTAACGTCGATGTCTTCAAGTTTATGCATCCTAACGTTCAACACTGGTCATCTTGCTGCTCGCGCGCCAAGCCCAGGCAAGCCGTGCAAGTCTCCTCCATTTCACCCTTTTGGGGCAGTGTCCTTAGGTTATTATGGTGTATACTATATACGAGATTACGAGACGAGCTTGAACAGGAAACCTGCAAAGACAGTCTAGTGCCGCGTACGTCGCCCTGACCCGTACAAAGGTTGGCTCGATCCATGGCGCTGACGGCCGTGCGGGAAGAGTTCTGTAAGCTCCAGTCAGGTGCTTGCACCATATGTAGGCTACTGGGTTTGTCAGCCTTCAAAGGGAGCTGTCAGCCTGTCACAGGCTCATGGTACGGCAAACCTCCCAGATCTTTTGCATGCGGCTTGAGAAGATCGAGACTAGGCATGATGAGATGTGCACTGGTCTGGCCAAGGTGCAGTCGCGAATGGATACCCTGGAGGGGAGGCTGGAGGCGGTGGAAGCAAGCAGCACCAAGCAGTACGTGCAGCCCCGCAAGCTGATCCTGCGTGTGCCGCCACAGCACGTGTCGGAACTGCACACCATTGTTCCCAGCATCCTCAAGGAGGTACGCCCGCACGATGTCATCGGAGTGCAGCTCATCACCGTGCCGCCGAAGCTGGGAGCGAGAGGCGCCGCAGCAGATGCCGCGGCTGCCGCAGCCCCGGCGCAGGGTGGCCGGCAGCAGGCACCCATGACGCGGGTAGACCTGCTGGTGCACGAGGACGCACGCAAGACGGTCGCGGCGGCACTGGGCAAGCCACTCCGGGAGCGCTACGGCATCAACGTCCAGGACTGCCTGACCAAGGCCGGGGTGGACGCGAAGACGAGACGCCAGTCCACGTACGCGCGCCTCAAGGCCGAGGGCAAACAGCCCCGCTGGGACCGCGGAGCGGAGATCAAGATAGTGGGAGCAGATGGGAGATTGGTGCCCTACACCGGGCCCTACGGGGCCCCGGCAGGAGCGGACACCATGGAGGACACCTAGAGGAGTCCGAGCCAGAGGGCTGGTGCGTTGAAAGTAGTACAATGGAATATTCGCGGGCTTAAGGACTGGAAACTTGATAACAATGAGTTACGGGGTATAGCGGGTAGTTATGACATTGTGGTGATTACGGAAACGCATTTAGTGGGAGATACGGTAGTGAAGGAGATGCTACCGTCGGGTACGCTCCTGTTCACAGTAGATGGCACGCCCAACAGAGGTGGGGTAGCTGTCTGGGTAAATCGTATGTTAGCTAGGGATGTGCAGCTCCTTGGTGTGTCTAAGGTTCCTAAGGGCATGGAGAGTATCTGGTTAAGGGTGAAAGGGCATGCTCTTAATATGGGGGGGCGTAGTTTGCTGATAGCAGCCTGTTATGCAGCACCCCAAGGTTCTGTTCAGTACAATGACCATGCGGGTAGAAGGCGTACTGACACCGTGGATCGTGTTTTTGGTCGACTCCGTGCCTTGTTGCGAAGATATGTGCGTCCATGCGATGAAATCCTCATTTTGGGGGACCTCAATGCGCGAGTAGCCAGCTTGAGTGATATACCAGATCTCCAGGCTGATGCTGAACTGGAGGCGGCGGCAGGTGTGTCGATCGGAGGTAATGGGCTCATTCAAGGCATGCCGAGCAGGCGCAGTAAGGACCCATCCAGCAACCCATTTGGGCAAGGTTTGGTCGAGCTGTGCCGCGAAACTGAACTGATTATCATGAATGGTCGTGTGCCCGGTGACATGGAGGGTGAGTTCACGTTCTACCACGCCCACGGCCTTGCCTGCAGTATGATTGATCTTTTTGTCTGCACGCCTGCTTTGTTCTCGCGGGCGTCGCATTTGCAAGTGCTTGGCATCCCCATTGCTATAGAGGGGCCTAAAGTGGGATCGAGGCTCAGCGATCACTGCCCGGTGTCACTCACTCTGGATGTTGGTTTAGGAGGAACGCGAAGGGGTGGCAACACGGGTTCCTCTCGCCTGGGGAAACGTGAGTGGGAGCGGTACACGCGCCTATTTGAGGTAGAAGATGCTGCTGTCGTACAGAAGATTGACGAGGCTGTTAGCCAACTGGGCCATGGTCTTAACAGTACGGAGGTTGTTACAGTGATCTGTCGGGCTCTTAAGAAGGCTATTGACGCCACGTTTCGTCTTGAGAGGAGGCAAGGGTCCATTCCTAGTGCAGGCAGGACGGACAAGGATGCGCCTTGGTGGACACCTGAGTGTGCGGAAGCCCGTGAGGCCATGTTTGCTCAAAAGGCGCTCATGCGTGCTAACGGTCTGCTGGGGGATCAGGATGCCAGAGCTGAGTTCAGTCGGTTGCGCACGAAGTATCAACGTCTACGCAGGGAGGCTAAGGACAAGTTCCGGGTCATGCATTTTGAAGGAGTTATCGAAGAATGTCGGGGGGATCCACGGGCGCTGTGGGGTCGGCTGAATGGCAGATTTAGTCAGGAGTGCCCTATCACGGATGTCAACAGTTGGGGAGCCTATTTTAATGCGCTGTTTAATGGGGAAGTCAATGCGTTTAACGAAGTTTCCGCGGACACCATCCTTAGTACCATCAACGGTGTGCCACATGGGAGGGGAAGAGGATGGGTAAGGGCGACAGGCGATCGGGTAGCACGAGTCACCGCTGCTGCTGCGCTCAATGTTCCGTTCACCTTGGCGGAAGTCATTGCTGCGCTGAAGTCTTTGCGTAATAACAAGTCTGGGGGTTTGGACAGAGTACCGGCTGAATGGTTCAAGTGTGCGACGAGAGAGGTTGAGGGTAGAAGGATGTTTGTTTTAGCCCCTTACCTGCTCAAGCTACTAGAGCATATCCGCAGCACGGGGGATTATCCTGTGCAGTTTGAGGTCTCTGCGCTCACGCCCATCCACAAAAAAGGCGATGTGATGGAGAAGGGTAACTATAGGGGTTTAGCAGTGGGTGGTGTTTTGTCTAAGCTTTATGCGTTTATGTTGGAGCACAGGCTGTCTCGTTGGGGCGAGCTGGTGGGAGCTAGGTCGCCGTATCAGGGAGGTTTCCGACGCAAGCGGGGTACCTGCCACAACCTGTTTTTGTTGCGACATCTGACGGACAAACATAAGGGGGGGCGAGATGCAGTTGACCCCCTGTTCGTTTGTCAGATTGACTTTGAGAAAGCGTTTGACAAGGTGCCACGTGATCTCTTGTGGTTAAGGTTGGAGGAACGGGGTGTGCATGGCGCTATGCTGGAGGCTCTCAAGACTTGTTACAACAAGGTCATGATGCGTGTCAGGGTAGACGGAGTGACGGGGGATCCTTTTGAATCTTCGCAGGGAGTCAAGCAAGGATGCCCTCTCAGCCCTACGCTTTACGGGATTTTTGGCGAGGGGTTTGCTGACTATGTTGACGCTAAGGATAAGTGGCTCCCTGATGCTATGCGCGCTAAGCAGCAGACTCCCCATGCGGATGGCCGGCGTATCCCGTTGGAACTGTATGCCGACGACCTCAGCCTTTTCGCTACGACGCACAGACGGCTGATTGTGTTGCTTGCTGATTTGAGAGAGTGGTGTGAGGCCTTTGGGATGCGGGTGAATGTCCGTAAATGTGAATTGATGGTTTTCCACCCTCGTGCCAATATCCGCGAGGCTTTTGCTGCCCTTTGCCCCGTGGTGTGGACTTCTATTGAGGGAAATGCGCGAGTACCTATGGTTATTCCCTGGGTACAACGAGCCCGTTACCTTGGTTTGCACTTTGGTCCTGGCACACCGTTTGTTTCCTGCACAGAGGAACTGTTGACCTCTGGCCGACGTGCTATGTTTTCTCTTCAGCGTAAATTAAAACGCCTAGGTCTTTTGGTCCCTGCTGTTGCAGTTAAGTGCTTCGACGTGCAAGTCCGCTCCATCTTGTCGTACGGTGTCCAGGTGTGGGGGCCTGATGTGGTACTGAAGCTAATGACGGACTGCGAGAATTCCGCGAGGTACTTTGACAGATCCTTGCGGGACCCAATGGTGCAGTTACAAAGGGAATTTCTTCGGGAGATTGCGGGTGTGAAAGTCTCGCCTGATAAGTTGCTGTTTAAGGAGTTTAACCAGCGCCCCTTGCATGTCTTCTGGCTGGAACTGTTTCTGAGGTTTTGGAATGACCTGGTCAAGCAGAAGGACACGGTCTACCACCAGGCGTTGCGAGGTGAAATTCGTTCGGCTCTCAGTACTGAGCATTATGATGGCTGGGGTTCTAAGGTGTTGAAGATTCTGAAAATGTTAGGGACGGATTTGACGGCCTTGGGGGGTGAGTTGGACTTGAATGCGCGTGTGGAACGTATTGCTGGCACGGAGCTAAATGTGTCTGCTCTCACTAAAAAGTTTGCTGATAGAATGGATGCGGATTGGGAGGATAGGAGTTTGGAAGATGACCCGCGGCTTTTCAACCCAGTAGACCCCGTACCAGGAGTTGGAGTTAAGATGTGCAGGTACAAAAATTGGATGGGTGACCCGGTTGACAGGGGGTACATTACTCAGCGGCAGCATGTGAACCTGATGCGTTTTCGGCTGTGTGTGTGGGGCATTGAAGCCAATCGCCCTAGGGGTAGGCAACGAGTAGCGCGTGTCTGTCCTATGTGTGCCGTGCAGGGGTCGCCGGGGAGAGTGGAAGATGAGAAACACATCCTCATTGAATGTCCCGCTTACGATGATTTGCGTGATAAGATATGGGAAAGTGGTGTCTCACGGGATGCTGATATGATTGCTGTCATGGGCATGGAGAATCAGGCATTGCTTGCTAGCGTAATCACTAGCATGCGAAGTCGCAGGATTGCGCAGACAGGGTTTATCATATGATTAGCGTTCTGTTTGTTGTCTCTTTTGTTTTACTTTTCTTCTTTTGGTTGTTTTCGCGTTTTGTGCTCGCGATCCATGAGCCTTCTGGCTCGGACGGATCTTACGAGCTCGGTACGAAGCTTGTAACACATACATACATACATACGGGTCAAGGAATGTAGGCACAGTAAAAGCATCTTCTTTGTGAGTCCCACCAGGAATGGGAAACCCGGGCACGCGCTTTGCAGTATGGATAGTTGGTAACGATGGCGGAGGGGCTATAGCGGGCTTTGAGGCAAAGGCGCACTTAATGTGCCGCAAGATTAAGCCATGCTATGTGTGATCTTCTTGTTCTTGTTCTTGTTCAATTGATACCTTGGCATGTTGTTACTCTTGTCTGTCGACATCATCTTATAAGGATTCTGCCGAGGTCTTTGCCACATCCTTCATGTCATGAGGCGATAATTACGTGTATACCAGGATGCGTAGCCCCTGTTACCCCGTAGGGGTATAATGCCCGGTCCCTCGAGACCAACAAACGGATGGGACTGCTGGATTTCCCTTGCTTGCCTACTTCAGCAGCAGCAAACTATACCATATAACTGTGATTATGCGAAGGAGCGTCCTACGCTACTTCACGGCAGAACACAGACTCAACGTAAAAGTGAAGGTGGTTGTGTTCGTTGAAAGCACTGCAAAGGAAGTTTGCCAGCACAGCCTGCTATTTCTTTTTCGCAAATCCATGCCGCTTATGTTAATCTCGTGTTCACTCAAAGAGAGTGATCTTGTGTTGCCTTTTTCCAATAAATATTGAAACTCGTTAGCTTCTTGTCCTAGGACTGTGGCACACATGAAGGCCAAGAAGAATTGCTTTGTTCCTAGCCCATGTATCTAATAACGTTCCAACCTGAAAAGAAAGATGACAGCTTGCCGTTTCACGGGGTGTCCTTGGAAGGCCACCCGACGATGGCTCCTCCTTACTACAGTCTTATTAACGCTAGCTCGCGAGTCGTTGCAAGGTAGTATTGCAACGTGCGACATGCTATACGGTTCTATGACAAACCTGGCGGATGCTGGCGTTTGCCCTGTTCTGAATATGCCGTTGAATTTAGTATTGGGACCCCCTTTGACTTATTCCCTTCATGCAGATGAATACGGGGATCTTTGGGGCATCAGCAGCGGGCTGAGCAGGCGTCATGGGCGACGCCTGCTGACCCGGACCCTCAACCTTGACGAAATCTTTACGTATTGGCAGAAAACGGTAGGTGGCTAGCCAACGCTTCACCGGTGACTGCCTACGCACCGATTGGCCGATCGCCTGCATCAGCCAACATAACAACAGCCTCGGCATGTGCGCATTCCCAAACCTTTCCCCTCAACCCGCACCCACGCACCCGTGCCGCCTTCCTTCTACTTTCCAGTACGCCCACTGGTCACATGAGGTGTACGACTCGCACCTGAGCGAGTACAAGCGGCAGCTGACACTTGCGGGGCGAGAATGGGGGCTACCTAAGGATGACCAGGAACTGCTGGAGGTCTACTACTTCCTGCGGAGCAGGACGCAGGTGGGGATAGCTAACTGTTGGAGGAGCCCTTGGCCTCCTGTTGCTGCGCGGAACCTGTCAGGGGGAGTGGCTACGCGCAATGCTCCTGTGTCGCATCTCGCACATAACACCAGCTGCACAGAGGCAAATCGTGAGCTGCGGGGCCCCCGTTCCCCTCACCCGCAGGTACCAGCAGCTCCCGGCTGGACCCCTGAACGCGACCGCTGCGCCCCCGGCTGCCACCTGTACGGCACCTGTCACCAGGAGCTGGGCCGCTGCGACTGCCCACGTGGCCGTACAGGTCCCGACTGCGCCACGCCGCTTGCCACCTCCTGTCGGGAGTACTGCCAACACGACGCGGAGTGCCACCGAGTCATCCGGGAGTGGTGCATCAACGAGTGCAACGGGCGGGGGAGCTGTGTGGGGGGCGTGTGTCACTGCTACCCGGGCTATTTTGGGTCGGACTGCGCGCTGTCGATTGATTACGATGGAAGTCAGGGCGGGCGGGGGCCGAATGCCACGGTGCTGCTGGCGGGACTCAATTACAGGTGGGTTTGTGAGGAGGGCGTGGGGGGTGGCGGGGTGGTGGGAGGGTGACGAGGGAGGGGGGAGGCTGCAACCGTGCGTCTTGCCGGCTCGCCCGTGTGCCCCTTGGGCGCTCCCCGACCACACTGCCAACGACACCCAACCTGTCCAGACCCCTTCCCACCTTCCCTGCAGTGCCAACCCCCGCGGCCCGCAGATCTTCATCTATGAGTTCCCGCCCCACTTTCACTTGTGGTGGGTGCGGGGGAGGGGTACAGAAAGGGGGTGCGGGGAAGGGACGGAAGGGGTTTTGGCCGAGAGCAGCTGGGAGCAGGAGAGCCAGTCGCCCTGCTTCTGCTTGCCAAGGGCCATGAACGGGGGTGCTGGCGCGGCATCCGGCGCCGGGGAGCCAGCGGAGCCTTCCTCGCCGGCCGGCTGCATGGTGCCATTGGCGGCGTTGCGGCGGCCTGTACTCACCCTCTTTGCGCCCCTCTTTGCGCCCCTCCGCACGCCACCCCCCCAGGGGCATGTTGTGGGTGGACCGGCCGCTGAACATCATCCTGTGGGAGCGCATCACCAGTCTGGGGCTGCGCGAGCTGGACCCGGCGGCAGCGGACTACTTCTTCATCCCCGGCTGCGGCCGAGGCTGCAACAAGTGGGAAGACAAGTTCCAATTCATCATGGTGGGGGCGTGGGGTGCCGGGACCGGGCGGAGGGTGGCCGGGGAGGGGCTTGGGGCGCTCTTCTGGGGTCCCAGGTCTCATGGGTGGTGGGGAGCTGGGCTTGCCTCCTGCAGCACCGGACACCGTCTTCACCTCCCCCGTGTTCTGATCTGATCTGGTCCCTCACTGGTCGCTGCTCCCTCCCCCATCCTCTCACGCCCTCCCACGCTCGCCGATATGTCGCACCCTGCATCCGGCACCGTCTTTGCCATCCTTCGCCGCATGTTCAATGCTGGGTGCCTGTCGTCGCTGTGGCCTGCCTCCCGCAGACCCACTACCCGCAGAACTGGCAGCGGAAATGGGGTCGCGACCACCTCGTGACTCATCCGGGTGAGGTAGAGAGGGTGGTGTCGCAACTGTGTGGTTGTGCGGTTGCAGTGTCAGGGCCGGAATGAGAGGAGCCATGGCCGATAAGAGCGATCTTTGTTCGTTGCTTGCCACACACGCCTCCGCATGAGCCTAATGCCCCCTCGCCTAATGCGCCCGTCTGCTGCCTCCGCCTGCTGCGCCCCCTCCCGCCCTCCCAAGGCGACTGGGGCCGCTGCGAAGTGGCTTGGGGCGCCGGGGCGGTCAAGTACATCGCCAACGTGAGCATGCTGACGCACTGGGGCGTCACGGTGGACCGATCCAAGTGCGTGATGGGCAGGGGGTGCTGAAGGGATGAGGGGTGCTGGAGGGATGAGGGGTGCAGGGGTAGCTATAGCAGGGAGGAGGAAGTGGTGGGGAAGAGGCAGCACGAGCGTCACCCCAGCTGACCACCAACTTGGTAATGCGTGTGCGCGTGTTTGGTACGTGCGTGCGCCCTGACGCTGTGCTCAAGCGGACCAGTGACTCGTGTTGTTGCGCGCACACCTCGCATGTGCAGGGATGTGGAGCACGACTTGTTCAACGCATGCCACAAAGCGAATCAGGTGAGCTGTGTTGCTTGCGTTGCAGGGGTGCGATCGGCACGCATACCCAGACATGCCAGGAAGCCGTGTTTGTTGCTTTGTTTCTCTGCATGGAAGGGGTTGCATGCATCCACGTCGTTCGTATCGTCGGATGATTCGTGCGAATGTCTTACCAAAGGTCATACACATACATGGCACATCACCGTGTAAGTCCCAGTTTTATTCCAGCTGCTGTATCCCCCCTGCGCGCAGGACATCCTGGTGCCCCCCATGTGTGGGGACCTCTACACGCAGTTCGAGTACAACGTGTGGCACCCCAGCCGCGCAAACAAGTGAGTGCTCGCGGAATGCCGTACAACAACCGGTGTTCCCGACCACCCCGTCGGGCCGGTTGGCCGCCCTGTCTGCATCTCCCGTGGACTCGCTGTTTGGCCCGTTACTGCTGACACGTCTCATAACACTCTGCAACACCACTAGCTTACCTTGCCGCACTGCCCCTTGCCGCACTGCCCCTTGCCGTACTGCCCAACTCCTTTGCAGCCCCGCCAACAAGAGCATCCTCGCATCCGTCGCCGGTAGGTTCTTGAGTGCCCTAGAACGGGCCCTTGCAAGCGCTGGACATGCTGACAGCTAGGCCGCACATTCGTCCCTACAGTACCGCTCACACAGAGCTTCATGCATGCTTTCATGCGCCGCCAGTCTCCGCCTCCTTTTCCACCCCCTTCCCTCCTCCTCCTCCTCTTCCCTCTCCCCCCCCCCCCGCTCCTCCCCAGGCAGTCTGTGCGGCTGGAACAGCGCGGAGGAGCCGCCCTGCAAGAACCGCTTCTACAGCTTCGGCGTGCGGGCGGCGCTGTGGCAGCTGCGAGACCGGCCGGGCTTCCACATCGCCAAGCGGGTGCCGGTGCTGGGGGCGTCCATGGCGGAGAGCGAGTTCTGCTTCGCGCCCACAGGTGGGTGGGGGGGGCGCGGGGGTGTCGGGTGGCGCTTGGGTTCTCTTTTCCTGACCCACAGGCGCCGTGGGGCAGCGTGGGGTGGGGTGGGTGAGGAGGAGGCTTTCGGCCGGTTAGGTTCTTCCAAAGTCAGCCGTGTGATTTGGGCTCACAGCTAGGGAGGGAGCTTCAGAGGTGATGGCTGGGTTGCGAGGCTTGGTTGCCGGTACTTGGTTGCCGGTAGCTCGCATCAGCTGCCTGCCATCGGTGTACCGGCTGCCAACCACCTCCTGCCAACCGCCTCCTGCCAACCACCTCCTGCCAACCGCCTCCTGCCGACCGCCTCCTGCCAACCACCTCCTTTGCCAACCACCTCCTGTTAACCACCTCCTTTGCCAACCGCCCCCTTCTAACCGCCCCCTTTGCCGACCGCCCCAGGTGCGGGCTACGGGAAGCGCAACGTGGTGAGTACCACGCTGGGCTGCATACCCGTCATCATATCAGGTGGGGCGGATGGCAAGCAGCGCCACTGCTGGGGGAGGGGCCTGCCGGTAGTTACAGGCCTCTCCGTTGAATAGCTGACCCCAGCCGGGCCGCGCCTTAACGACACAGGGACTGGCGGCCTCGCTTGTACCTGTACTGCGGCATCTCGAACGGCGGCAGCCTCTCGCTGTGAACCTGCACTGTTGCATGCCCTCCGATGCCGTGTCTGCATGCCCACACCTTCCCACCTCCCCAACTTCCCACCTCCCGCCAGACCACGTGGCTCAGCCATACGAGCCGTTCATGAACTGGAACGAGTTCGGTGTTTGGATTCCGGAGAACCACATCAACGAGACGGAGATCATCCTGCGGGGCTTCACGGCGCAGCAGAAGGCGGAGAAGATGGTAAGAAGGGCCACAACGAACGCCACAAAGCGGACGCCAGCGTGGAAGTATACAGATGTGCGGGCTGCAGGGTCCACAGGTCCACATGTTGGAGCATTTAGTTAGGTGGTTGATGACTGTTGCCATGTGCGGCATCTCCTGTTGCTTCCGCTGCCCCCGTCTCGCGACCTCTGTGTAACTCCTTCATGCGTCTGCGAGTTCTCTTCCTGTGGCGCACTACCGATCGACCAACGGCGACAACTCCGGCAACGGTTTCCGCTCTTCTTCCTCCGCTCCTCAGGAGAAGCTGCACTGCGCCGCGCGCCACCTGGCCTTCACCAGCGTGTACGGAGGGCTGTTTGCGGGTGACACGGGCGAGTATGACGCGATCGCCACGCTGGTGAACATCCTGCGAGCGAGGCTGCGGCACCCGGAGCTTCCGGACCACCAGCTTATAGAGGTGGGGAGGCATGCAGGAGGGAGGGAGGGAGGGACGCGGGGCACATGGGGGGGCATGCGGAGGGCAGAGGGAGGGAGGTGCTGGTGGGAATGCATGCATGCAGCGGGGAGTCTTGGGTTGGGTGGCGGTTGCCAGGGTACGGCAGCTACGGCGGTTAGCGGTGTGATTTTGAGCAGCCAGGGTGATTTGCAGGCCGCTCCTCGACATTTCCCTTGAGGAGCGCTGCTGCACCCTGCGCGCAGGCGGATCCCGAGTTTGCGGATTTCATGGCCTGCAAGCCTCGAGGCGCCAGCGGTGACGTGACGGCGGCAGCAGGCGGACGTGCTCCTCCGCCCCCCGCGCCTCCGCTGCCCAACGCAGCGCTGACCAACGTCCACAAGGCGACCTCTGATGATGCGGACTTCCCGCAGCGGACCGTCACAACTGCCGCTTGGATCCGAGCGGCCAACGGGGAAGCGGCGGGGAGCGATGCGGGTGACCAGCCGGGCTCGGTTAGCAAGCCCAAGTGAGATCGGGATGCGTTGTGTCCCTGCACGTCGTCATTGTCTGTACCCGCTGATGTACCCCGGATACCGGTACCATGAATGGTATGCTCCTCTTACCACCACACCATCCCCTGCCTGGATGCAGGCAGCTGTGCATGTTCAATCAGAAGTGGGTGGTGTACGACGACCCCGAGGCTCCTGAGCCACCGCTTGAGCAGGTAAAAGAGGTGCACTGCGGGACGCATTGGGAGCACTGGCGCGCCTTGGAGTGTTTGCACATGTCGTCCGGTGCCGTACGTTGGCTGTCTTAAACGCCCTCTTATTTGAGCTCTAACAAAGCACGCCCGCTTAAGACCTGGGTCCTCTCATGTGCTTCGGCGCCGCCCTTCCATGTGCTTCGGTGCTGCCTTCTCATGCCCGCGCGCTGCCTTCTCATGCCCGCGCGCTGCCTTCGTGTTCCCGGTGCTGCCCGGTGCACCCGCAGGCCATGAAGCGCGGGCAGTGCATGCCCAAGAACGCCAACCGACCCGGCCTCTTCTTCCCCGGCGCCTCCGTGACCTGCCCGCCCGCCGGCCCCATCACCAAGTGTGCGCAGCTCGTGTGATCCCGCTAACAGATGTCAGCAGCAGCTGGCCAGCAGGAGAACAGCAGTGGTGGTAGAGGGAGATGCGCCACGCACCATGTGCGGTATGAGCCAACATGTCCAACGACAATGCACGACAGTAGGATTGGTGTACGACAGGTTTAAGTTAGATGTAGCTGCTGTAGGTAGTGATTATGGTAGTCGCAGCGACATGTTCATTCGCCGCTGGTGTGCTTGGGATGCCTACTAGGTCGTGATGCGGAGGCAGCAGTGAGCAGCAGGAGGTCCTTGCGACTCTCAGTAGCCGTTTTTATTTGACACGCGATCACAACCGCTAGTGCATGTCGCTTAGCGTAGCTGGTAAACTGTGACGGTCAGTAAGACCAGAGTGCTGCCAAGATGGCCTAGGACTTCTTTTCCATGCGGACATTTCGGGTCCTGGCGCTTGCTGTTATGCATGCTTATTGTGATATAATGCATAGTGGCGTTTGCTCGGCCAAATGTATCCGCTTGCTTGGGCGGGGAATGGAAGGAAAGGAGGGACGGCAGGAAGACGATAGGGTTAGGGACTCAGTAGGCTGTGAAGGGGTGAGAGGGACAGGAGGGCGGCATGGTCCTGCATGTATGGTAGCTGCTGGCTTGAACTAGGGTGAAGGAGCGAAGGATAAGGAGGGAAAGCTGTCGAGACGTGCATCGAGCATCCTGCCTTCTTATTACACCCGGAGCACGGTGTGCTTCTCCCGTGCCCTACCGGTACCTCCCATGGTCCATTCTCGGCCCCTTGTACGGATGCTAGTGGGTGGTTACCGGGGGCGCCGAGCGGTCGAGATAGGACGGGGAGGACAACAGAAAACAGTTTCAAAGAATGGCTCGGAAGGTTGGAAACCCGAGATCACAAAAACGCTTTGAGCGCTCCGGAACTCCAACCTAGATCCATGTTTGGAACCTGCAACGCGCCCGTCTTTACCCAATTACTTTCTAAGTTCTAGTGCCAACAAACGTTTTACATATAACGGTGTTTTGTAGTAAACCAAATAAGGTTCTGTCGTGCCGGCCGGTCGCGACGTTAGGAGTAGCACGCTTAACGGTAACTCAGCCTCAATCAGCCTCAGCGAAACACGACGACAACTATCTTGGCATCGCTATCTTGATGATGCCGTGGTGCGTTTATGCTGTCCGGCCGACTGCTCCGCTGGCATGACTCATCAATCACCTTCAGTCTTCGACTTGCTCTGTTGACTGCGACAAATACCTGCATATCATAACATACAATTTCAAGGGATGTATCACTTCTTTCGTTATCCGCTGTCTGAACTTCACGTCCACTTGGTGTTGCATCGCAGGTAGTCGCAGGCCAGGGCCGTCTGCGAGACGCCTAACAACCCTGAGGAAAGCAGCACCGACAGCATCAACGGGAGCCCTCTGGCGCGCATCCATCAGCAAGCAACCTCTGCTTGCGGCTCAGAAGCCTCCTCTAAAGGCTGGGAGCTGCGGTCATCTGAGGCGGCTGAGAGTGGGCATTCCAATCAGGAGTCTCCCAGGAACGGAAGCCACGCGGCCCGTAGCAGCAGCGATGGAACCGGTGAACGTGGCAACAGCAGCGGGAGCGACGACGGAGGCAGCACTAGCGGCGGAGGGGCCCCGCACCCCTGCAGCAACAGCGGCTCCAGACGGCAGCGGCCTAGGGAATGCTGGTGGCTCCGCCGTCGCAACGGCAGCTGCGCTCTCCAAATGCACGGCAGCGGCGACAGCTTCACCTGCGGTGGCGTCCGCCGTACGACGAAGCAGACGACTCACGGCAGCCGGGAGCGCTGCCGTACTGCCTCTCCAACCGCAACAAGCGACACCGGTAGTGGTCCCGTCGGCCATACCGGTAGCTGCAGGCAAGATGAGCGCTGCTGCCGGCCCTGGCTCGCCGGTAACGCCCCCAGTAACGCCGTTTCCGCTAGCGCCGCTGGCGTCGTCAGCGGCGGCGGCGGCGCCCGTGATGACGACGGATGAGGAGATGACTGTACGGCCGCAGTCGCCGTCCGTACTGCGTAGTGCTGCTGACCTGGAGGCGGCTGTGGCATACCTGCGCGCCCGGGATCCATGTAAGCCCAATTATTAGGCAACATCTATCGGACGAAGCTCAACTGTCGCGTAGTTACTGCAAGCATGGATGTCTGTGCGAGCCCTCCCAAGGTGCTTTGGCCGTTGGTAACAGCTTTCCTGCAGAAGGCGGAGCCAATATACCTTGGTCTTTTGAATGCGGTCTTACCCTCTGCCACGCACATCTCCATTTCCCTCTTTTCCTTTTGCAGTGCTGATTCCTCTCATAGAAGCCCACGGTCTACCGCACCCGCTGATTGTCACTGAGGGCTTCAGCACTACTGGCGCTGTTGGCGACACCAGCAGGAACAGTGACATGACTGCTGCCGTCGCCACCGCCACCGCTGCTGCCTTGGCTGAGTGGACTAACGGCGGCGGTGGTGGCAGGAGTGTGTTTGCCGCCCTGACTCGCTCGGTTGTGTATCAGCAGCTGGCCACGAACGCGGCATCAGCCATCTGGGCTAGAGTGCTTGCCGTGTGCAAGGTAGGGAACGATGCATATGTGCGTGCGGGTACAGCTGTGCGCGTACCGATACAGATTGGGCGCAGAATGCGGAAAATGCCGCTCAGCGGTTGTGGGGTAGGTTTCGGACATGCGAACGGCCGGTATCCCTAGGCGGAACGAGCGGATTGCGTAAGCGGGGAAGGGCCTTATGCTTGGCATGCGCATATATACGCTTTGTCTCCGTTAGTGTCATCAACCAAAGACAGCTCGGCTTAGCCGAGGATTGGGGTCGTCATCGTATAGTGGTTAGTATCCCCGCCTGTCAAAAGTCACGGTTCGCGGGAGGCCGGGGTTCGATTCCCCGTGACGGCGTTTTTGTTGAAGATACAGTGGCAGTTGCAGCTGACGCTGTAGTGGCAATTGCAGTGGCAATTGCAGCTGACGCTGTATCTTGCACCTGTGGCCGAGTGGTTAAGGCGCGGCCCTGCTAAGGCCGTGGGGTTTCCCCGCGTGCGTTCGAATCGCATCGGGTGCGTTTTAAGTTTTAACCGCTTTGAGTTCCTCCCTCCCGAGCTGCGTGCTGCATGCCGGTCTACGGCGTCATTAACGCTACCAACGTTTTTCGCATCTATGAAAGGCGTGCATTGCCCAACGGGATGTAGGCTTCAAGTGGTCTTGCTTGCTCTAACGTGTACTTCACCGGCTCTTGCCTTCCGTACCTCCCCATATGTCTTCCGCAGGCTCCCAGCGGCGATCACATCACGCCAAGTCAAGTTCTGGCGGCGCCGCCGGAGCAGCTGCGAGCAGCCGGTCTCAGCGGTCGCAAAGTAGAGTACCTGACGGGATTAGCGGAAGCTTTTGCAACACGCAATGGTTGGGACGAGCAGCTGTCAGGTATGCCATGCAGTGTAAACGGAATTCGCCCTTGTCATAACACAGCCATAACGTACCTTGCTATACGTCGTGTACGACATTTGCTCGGCCTGCATGCCTTGGTGTACGGCCTGCATGGCCTAATTGCATACCCACATTTACAGCCCAATGAAGCAGCTCCCTTATATGCCACCCCGCACAGCTACCACCGACCTCGCAACCCTAGTTTCGGAGCTGACTCCTCTCCGCGGCATCGGCACCTGGACAGTCCACATGCTAGCCATGTTCCACTTGGGCCTCCCGGACGTATTGCCGTACGGCGATCTGGGTGTACGGCGCGGGCTACAACTGCTACACGGGCTGCAGCAGCTACCGGAGCCGGCCCAACTGGAGGCGATGACGGAGGCTTGGAAGCCGTACAGGTGCGGTTTATGCAGTTTAATACGATATAGTGTTGGGGGTAACGCAGAAGCGCTTGAAGGCAACAGAAGTCCAACCTACTAGCAAAAGTGCATACCGTAAAACTTGTTGCAGCAGCCGCTACCTTGTACCTCCTAAGTAGCTAGAGGCTCCGGATTTGTCAACCTCTTGCAACTGCTGTTGCCTTACAGGTCCGTTGGGTCATGGTACATGTGGCGGATCCCGCCACCACCCAAGGCAGCTGGCGGCGGTGGCGGCGGGAAGAGCATGTCCGCGAAAGCAGAGACGGGTGGAACTGCCCGTTCTAGGACCGCTGCGCAGGCCAAGAGCGGCGGCAAGCGGAGTAAGTTAGGGAGAGGTGCTGCTGCTGCAAAGAGCGGTGCTAGTGGGGTTGACGAGGAGGAGGAGGAGGAGGAGAAGGAGGAGGGGGAGGGCGGCAACGACAGTGATAGCGACTGGGAGGAGAGTGGAGGTGCAGGTCGAAGCAAGGGGAAGAGGAGCAGGCGCAAGCGCGGATAAGGAGGCGGCCGGGGACCGGAAGGGAGGGGACCATGAAGGAGTCGGGCTGAATGCGTGGCTACATACCGCATGCCGTACATGCTAATATGTACGCTTGCGAGCACGTGTGTTGTGTTGTGTGGGCTCTGGTGGGGATGTACAGGTTGTTAACGGTTACTGACCGGTATTCGGTGTCCAGAGGAGTTGGCGTGCGTGTCGTGCGGTTGCCGTACATGCGTCTGTCCCAGAAATCAAAGATACCATGCGATGGAGATAAGTCGTTCACGGTTGGTCTTGGCTTGCCATGTGTTTTTAGACGGCGAGAAAAAGCACGGCATTGCTGTGGGGCGCAGTGTTTTTGCCGCTGCAGTACGGTAGGATGGCTGGCAGGCTGGCGACCGTACTTGGGTCCTAGACTTGCTACCGGTACGTGCTCCGGACCTCGGGGCCATGCACGCATGCGTATACCTCTTAGCCATTTGCAAACTTGCATCCCTTGCAAAGCGTGGATTAACGTGACGTTTACATGCAGATAAGACACACGGTACAGACTGCGGCCGTACATGTAAACTGCTTTGCTAGCAACAGCAGGAGCATGCGCTCTCTCCCGGCCCCTCGGCCGTATGCATGCCACGTTGGCCACACACGCACACCACATGCATGGCTCATTGAAAGCGCAAGGAAGGCAAAAGAACGCATATCACGAGGGCGTACCGGTAACCGCTCATGTTCAGCACGTCGAATCAACATGACACAAGCCGTTCAGACACACCTTACACAGACATCTACCGTACACCGTGCGGGCCTAGCCGGGCAGACCATGACTTATGAAAGCATACCCTCGGTGAATGCGGTTAAGGGGTCTGTTAACATGTGCGCTATCCGTCTCGACCGCATGCAGTAGGCAGTGCGGTATGAGGCGAGGTCCATGGGTATGCGTGGGCACCTAAAGGTAAAGGGGTGAGACCCCTGGGCGACCCCGATAGTACGTCACTGGGATCCCCATAGGTACGGGCGTACGGCCATCGGTGTCTCAGGCCTGATACTACTGCGGTATGATAGGGTTTGAAACACGGTGACATCGCTTGCCAGGTCGTTCCTAACCAGCACTGCTTCACCTCCTTTCACTCGTGAACAGCACCTGCTGTATGTCAGTTGTGCAGCACCTACACCCTTGCGGCAGTTGCTGGTGCATGCATGAATGCATGCATTCGTGCGGGGTGAGTGGGGTGGGAATCTGGAGCCTCGGGTGCTTTGCTGGGCCCCGTGGTACCATACCCGCAGGAACACGCCTGGGTATGGACATGCAAGTTGTAGACCTGGTAAGCCTTACACAGCTTTGATTCCTGAGTGAGTTGCTCCTGCTGCGCCGGGTCCTGTAACGGCTTCCCGGGTCTAAAGGCAGACAGGCAGGAGGCAGCAGAGCCCCTGCACGTATACAAGACCGTGCGGAGTAACGTTCGTTCGACAGACACCAGCCAGGACTGGCGCCCGCAGGGTGTGCCCTTGCCAGCACATACAGCAGCATGCTGCGCCAAGGAGCGACGAAGGCACTATTGCGTTTGTTCATGCATACCAATTCACGTTCCTATGGACACCACCTATCTACAAACAGCCTACCTAATGGCACATGCATTGCACACACAAAACTCAGAACATAATAAGCCTACCCGGCAACCCCTATGTTAGTCGTTTCCTCTTCACCCATGTGGCTCGTCATTTGTCACCAGGTAAAATCGCAATACCGCTGTCCAAGCTCCTACAATAAGCAGTCACTATGTACGTACCAGCATTCGCAGTGCCACGTGTCCTTAAGGTAAATTGACGTAATCGTATTTAGTGTTGCCCTTTCCAAGGCACCTCCCAACTACCCAACCGTTTCCCCTTATACCCCGCCCCCCGCTGCCCTCGTTACAGCCATCCTACCCCTAACCGCATGCAAGCTGCCACCGCTCTCGCCCGCATAACGTCCATCACCCAAGCACCAGCCTTCCTGCATTCCACTGGCCAATCCAGTACCCCGATCCCACGCTGCTTCGCTCCTCCTCCTACGGCGCTTGCATACAAACCCTTCCTCGGAAAATACGACAACCGCCAACCCACACCATCTGCCCCTGCAGGCGTCCGCAATGTCTCCTTCCTGGTCCAGCTCCTTCCTGGCCGCTGCTGAAACACCCGCAGCGGCTCCGCCCCTTTCTACCTGCAAGTGCACGCTTCCAAAGCCCCACGACTCCTCACACGGCTAACAGCATGCCGCAACTAGCAGCTGCAGCTGCTGCTGCTGCGGCGACGGCGGTGAGGTCCCACTGTAGCCACCCACCTGCCCCTCCTCCTCCTGCTGCAACGCACCGTGTCTCACGCCCCCACCACCAGCCCCGCGGGCCCAGTGCTTGTGTTGGTGACCAGCGGTCGGAAGCCCAGCTCGTCCACCGGGATACCAAACTCCGTGAGCTTGGCCTCGTAGACGCGGATGAGGTCGTTGTGCGCCTTGGATACCTTGGCCACGTCGTACTGCAGCGCCTTGATGATCTGTGTACAGCGTGTATGTGTCGTACAGCGAGGAAAGGTCGTTGATAGGTTTGCTTGACGTAGGTTATAAGAGGTAATAAGTGGGAGGATGCGTCCATGCATGCAACCGTGCATGAAGGGGACTGGAAGACTCGTGTGCAGTCGGACAGTCCCAATACATGCGACAAGACAGCAGTTGTGTGTGCGCGGGAGGGATATGCGGCATGTGCCGGCGCACCGGTCCCACCTGGTTTTTGTTGTCCAGCACCTCCTCCAGTCGCTGGTTGATCGCTGCCAGGGTGCCCGGATCCAGGTTGGCGGCGGTGAGCACCTCCGCCAGCTGCGCCTCCTTCATCTCCAGGGCCTCACCCAGGGCCTAAGGCAGGGGGGAAGGGGAGGGAGGGAGGAGGCAGGAGGGAAGGAGGGAAGGAGGGAAGGAGAGGGAGGTGTCGTGAGAAGAGGAAAGCTGGAGACGGTAAGATCACAGGGCTGGTCGCCAAAAGCACCCCCACCAAGCCCCACAGCCCCCACAACACCCACCACTATCCAATATGGGCCACCCTGGCCCCAACCCCACCTCGATCTTCTTCTCCAGTAGCGCGCTCTTGAGCCCCGTCTTCTGCTGCACGTCGAAGATGGACGCCTCAAACTTGGAGTACAGTTCGTCGCGCTCGCCCTGCACCTTGGTGAAGCGCTGGGAGAGGACCTGAGAGGCAGGGGGAGGGGGAGGGGAGCAGGAGGGGAAGGAGAGCAGGGAAGGGAAGGAGGTGGGCGAGAGGAAAGGACACTAGGTGGGCGGGACATAGGGCAACACCCCGGGGCTTCCTGCATCAACGACCACCCGCCTCCCTCCCCCTTCCGTCGCATCACACCCATGCCATCCTCACTCATTCGCCCACTGGTTACCTCACAACTCCCACTGGCCCTCCCAGTCTTACCCCACCGCCGCCCACCACAACGTGCTGCCAACATCGCCAACACCTGCAGGTCTCCTCCTCCTCCCTCCACACCTCCCTTTCCCGCACCCACTCGCACCCACCTCGTTCTCCCACTCCAGGTTCTTGATCTGCCTCTCCGCGTTGAGCAGCCGCGCCTTGGTCTGGCTGAGCGACAGCCGGTCCTTGTCGTAGTTGGCCAGCTGCTGCCGCAGCAGCTCCACCTCCTTCAGCGCCTTGGTGAGCGGCTCGGACAGGCGCTTGTTGTCCTGGGGAGAGGGGGGGGGTTTGGGCGGAAAAAATAAATAAGTGAAACAACGGGGGGTTGGGGAGGTGAGGGGGTGAGCGGATGTGTGGTTATAAGGATGCGTGTGACTTGAAGGCTGAGTGGTTACGGGTACCGATACGAGTATACCAAGGTAATGGCAAGCAGGGACGGGCGTGGGCATGACTGCTCTTGTGTGACGTTGGGACCATGCACGCAACGCGTTGGACGGACGAGCGAAGAGGTTACGGGGGGTCCCGCACATGCATGTGCGCATGCATGCCTACATGCATGAACGGGCGGCCCTAGGGCATGCGAAAGAGCGCTGCCCGCCGGGGGGAAATCCGGGAGATCCAGCCAAGGACCCAACCACGCTGCCGTACAACGCACCTGCGCGATCTCGTACATGAGCTTCTCGTTCTGCGCCTCGCGCTTCTTCATCTCAGCCACGTCCTCCTGCGGGGGCGTTCAAGGGGTGAGGATGTGTGGGGGTTCCATGGGGTGACAGGCGGAAGGAGGTGCAGCAAGGCGGGCTTAGGAGTGCACAGCTTCACACCTGGAGTACGACACATTGGTATCCATGCGAGGAAGGCCGCACAGGAGTTCCCGTCTCCTAGTGCCTAAACAAAACCAGCAGCCGCTCCTGTCCCCGCTCTAGCACCCCAACCCATCCCGCCGCAAACCACCTCTCCCCTATCTGGACGCAGAAGAAGCCAGTCTCCTCTTCCCTTCCCTCCCCTAACCCTGACACCCCCTAACCCTGCCACCCCCCACCTTGAGCGTCTTGATGAGGTCCAGGTTGTTGTGCGTGATGTCATTGTAGTAGTTCTTGATCTCCGCAAACGCGCGCTCGTGCTTCTTCATCAGCTCGTTGATGTGCGTGTTCTTGCGCTCCTCGATCTCATGGATCTCCTGCTTGCGACGCAGCTCCATGTCGTCACGCAGCATCTTCATCTTCTTCTCGTACTTTTGCTGCAGCTCGCGAGCCTGGGGTGTGGGTACGGAAGGAGGGCGCGTGTTTTGATACACCGGTACCGCCCAGGGGGCTGCGAGGAAGAACGCGTGTGGTTGCTAGGGTTTGCGGAAGGGCGTGGATCAGCATGCGTTTCCTTGTTGCTCCCTCGTTGCCCCCCTGCTCGCAGCCCCATCCCGACGGCCGGTTCGCACCTTCACACGGCCCCGCCTGGTCCCTCCTGCCGCATCTTCCCTTCCCTGCTCACTGCTCCCCGACCCCCCCTCCTCCCCCGTGCATGGTTGTCCTTCTTCCCACCCATCCCCCTACCTGCAGCTCGAACTCCTGCCGCAGCTTGGTGATCTCCTTGGCGTGCTCCAATTTGAGCTGCCGGATGATGTCCTGGTGCGCCAGCTCCTGGAGGGGGGGAGCGGGGGGGGGGGGAAGGGACGGGATGGATGGGATGGATGAGAGGGGTAAGGAAGGAGATGGCGAAGTACGACAACCCTGATCCCATGTAACGGCAGACGCTGAGCCCGCTTGGCCCGTCGTCTCTCGTCATGTGGTATCGTTTGCATTCCCAACAGCCCTAACGGCACGCAGGAACGTCCCACTGCTCCTGCGTGCCGCTGCGAGAAGCCGCTCACTGCCCCATTGCCCCACTGAATACCGTCCGCTGCGGCCGCTGCTGCCGCCGTCCTCACTGCGGCCCCCCTGCTGGACCCAAACGCTGCTGCGCATCCGTACGACAAGCTCCTCTGCTGCTGCTGCTGTGACACCACCTGCGGGAATGGGCCATGGCTGGATCCACAAGGCTGGATCCAGACTTAGCGTCACGTCACGTGACGCGCCTCCCAGACGCCACGCCAGCAGCACCATCACCCGGGAGGTGCGGCTGCAGGAGTAATACTGCGATGCCTGCTGGTGTGGCTGCTGCTGCTGCGGTTGCGGGGGCAGCAGCTGCTCCCGGGGGCCACTGCAGCCGCTCCCCTGCAGGTGTATCGTCGGCCGCGGCCGGTGTCACGCCTCCTGGCTGCTTTTCTTTCCCACCCCACACCAGAGATCACGCGCCAGGCCAGCGTCGCTGCTGCCCCAGCCGCTGTGGCCCTCGTCTCCGCCTGCTGCTGCTCTCCACGACGGCATTAACGACTCGCCAACCCGCAGCCGGGTCAAGGCCCAGATCAAGCCCACAGCCAGCCAGACAGGCATGCATGGCGTCCAAGGTCAGCTGGAGCGCCGTAGCAGCATAGGAGGCCCTCCTGCCCCAGCCCGGCTGGCCCCAGCCGCAGCGCATGCACAGCACAGCATGTGCTGCTGTCGGTTGCTGCTGCAGATAACAAAAGAAGTGGCGAATACGGTGGCGGCACCTGCTTGCGCCGCTGCTACCATTGACGGTTGGCCAGATAGTGCGCCGGCTTACACCGCTGCTGCTGCAGGGCACCGCAGCACTGCCATCTGCGCGCGCCTCGCCGGGAAGGGCCCCGAGCTGCGCCACGACATGCTGAGGACGCCAGGCCGCTGTGGCTGCGGGCTGCTGCCACGCGGAGCAAGCTGCCGGCGCTCCTAGATCCCTTGGCCAGCCCACCCACCGCCAACAACCCAACTGCTCCTTGCCCTTCAGCGCCCTCCCTGGTGCTTCCCTTGCGACTAGCAACTGCAGGGCTGTGCAGGCTGCATGCGCCCCATGCCACCGGTAGTACCACATGTCCGTTCAGCGCCCATTGCGCGACAGTGTGCCGTACCTGTTCTTTAAGCTCCAGCTTCAGGTTCCGCTTGTCCTTAGCCAGGTCGCCTTCCCGCTTGCGGTACTCGTCCTGCTGCAGCTTCAGCGCCAGCTCACCGTCCGCTTTGAGGGTGGTGATGTTGTTTTGGTGCTCGTAAAGCAAGTGCTTTACTTTTTGCTTGTAAACCTGTGGTTGCGGTTACATGGGGAAAGGGCGTAAGGAGGAGGTGAGGTGAGGTGCGATGGGGCCATCGCACGGAGAGGCTGGAGGCGAACGGTAAGGGGTGAAGGAAGGTAGAAAGTCAGGGACAACGGGTCGTGAAAAGCGCTGTAGTGGTGCGATTTCTGCGCATGGTGGCGTATTGAATGGCCAGGCACCATTGTAGCAACCGCGGGCGGGTCATACCTTGATTTCCACTTGGTGCCGCTCCTCCATCTCTTCCATCTCACGGTCCTTGTTCCGCAGCTCCGCCCGGCGGTCCTCCAGGTCCTTCTTTGTAATCTCCCAGAAAGCATTGATCTTGTCCTGTGATCACAAGGCGGCATATGTGCGCTGTTAAGAATCCGCCAAAGACGGGTGCCATGCCAGGGCACGCGGGTCGAAACTGCAAGAACTCACTCGCTCTAACTGCATGTAGTTGCGGTATTCCTCCTCTTTATTCTTCTCCTTCTCCAGCGTGCCAATTTTCTGGTTGAGCTCCTCCACGGAGGCGCCCTCGATGTCGCCCGTTTGCACCGCATCCTTCTTGGACTCCTGAAACCGCGATGACCCACGTCAGTTTGTTATGAGCTAACAGTCACCATAAGATAAAAATTTGCTTGTTGCACACCTTTTTGGTGGACTTCTTTTTGGGAGCCATGGTTGGAAAAGAACGTCTAAGTTCGTGTAAAGTTCCTTAACTCAAGTTTCAGCTTGTAGGAAGGCCGATATTTACATATACCAATTGCCTGACCTTGTCTACTGCGTCTGCATGTATTTCGATGAGTTGCCGTACATGGCTTGCCGCAAGCTAGCTCCTCAGGCAGAGTATGCAGTGACTTATTGATGCCACGCTTGGGCGAACCTGGAATAGGCGTCGTGCTGCTTAGTTAACCTAGTTATCCGGTATCGGTGCCGGTAATCCACCCCTTTTCAGGTGGCACCATATCTGAAAGAACAATTATCATATAATACGTACGTATTAGTACTGATATTGTGCTGAAATTACGTTTGCTCTGCGAGCTGTCCTCCAAGGCGGTGGCTGCAAGGTGGCCTAGTTCAGAGCATGTCGCGCGCAGCAAATCTTTTGGCTCGGCTAGGAGCATCTTGTCAACGGTCATGCGGGCTTCTAGCTGAAGCCGCAGCTGCGGCGGGTGCGCCGAGCTGTTCATACAGCAGCATCGCCATCACAGCGCAGCCGGCGTGGCGTCCATGGAGCTTGCAGCACAGCATCACAGGCCAAATGGGCCTTGGAGCTGCCTCTTTTGGAGAGCAGCTTTGGCGCGGCTTCGCGACAAACCCGCGACCGAGCCCTCCCGACTACATCGTCGGCCTGGGCAACCTGCGTGACAACCCCGGAGCGACGCGGCAGGTGCGGAAGTACCGGAAAGCATTTGCGGTTCAGGCTGCGGGCTTTCACTGCCATCAGTTCCCTGCCAGTGAATCCATGCAGCTTGGGGCACACCCCTACCCTGTGCCCTTGCCCGTATCCTGCACCCATGTGGCCCCTGCTGGATAGGGCCAGCTATCCAGCCTATAGCCATTACGTCTATAGGCTGCTATTACGTCTTCTTCGCACGTCCCAGCGTCCAGCACGCCCATCGACAGGACTGTCCTCATCCGCTGGCGCCCTCTTCATCCCCAGTTCCATCACCTGCTACCGGTAGCACGCCCAGCCGCACCCTATCGCGTCCCTTTCCTCACCAACCATCCTGCATTTATGCCCATTACCCCCTTCCAGACTCCACCATCGGCCTTCCAAACTCCTCATGCTGCAATACTCGTCCATCTAGTACCAACCCTCACACTTCCCCGCTTTTCCCCCTCTCCCCCAACCCCCTCCACCATCTCCCCTCAGCGCATTCGCGTGGGCCGCGGTAACGGCAGCCGGAGAGGCAACTACGGCGGTCGGGGCATGAAGGGCATGAAGTCGCGAGGTGGGGCGGGGCGCGGGGGCAGGGGCAGGTGGATCCGGGCTGGATTCCCAGACCGGGGAGAGACTAAGCTGTGAATTCAGGGTCCCGGGCGTCCAGGCGGTACTACGTGTCTGCCTGTTCTGGCGTGCTCAGTGTGTGAAAGCTCCCGAGGGGAGATGTAGCGTGGAGGGCTGGCTGCTGCAGACAGGGTGCAGGATTGGATGCATGGGGGCAGGCTGGCAGGCTGGCGTGTGGAGATGCTGACGGGGACTGAACTGGAACGCGGGCTTGTTTGCTGCTTGGCTAGCTTGCTCAACAGGTTGGCAACCAGAGCCACAATGGCACATGCCTCCCCAGGTAGCGGCAGCGGCCCCTCCAAACCACGACATACGGACCCGCAGAAACGCAGCTGGCACCCGCCCGCGAACCCGCATGCGAGTCCCATGACCCTGTCCCTGTCCCCATCCTTAACCCCGCCCCTACCTCCCGCCAGGCCCCGGCCCCAACATCCTGTTCGACGGCGGGCAGCTGAGCTTCCTCAAGTACCCGGTCACCCGCCAGCGGCCATCGTAAGTCCCATTCGAATCACCTTCTTGGTGACCCGTGGGTCGCCCAGGCTGCATTATAGCCCTCTGCCCGCCTCTTGCTAGCGTCTGCTATAGCCCTACAGGCTCTCGACTAAACCCTCACCGCCACCCACTCTCTCTCCCCCATAGAAGCCCACTGTCCTGCTCATGGTGGAGCCTTGTCACACGCTTGTATTTCTCTTTACCCACTATAACCCCCCCCTCCTTCCCCTCCCTCCGGTCCCCCCCCTCTCCCCAGCTACGAGGTGCTGTACTACCACCTGGGTGTGAGCCGCGTGGTGGAGTTCGTGCAGCTGGGGCTGCTGGACCCCACCAGGACCATCACCATGAAGGTGCGCGGCGAACAGAGGGGGAGGGGGGAAGAAAGGGCCATGCTGCGATTGATGGTGTGATAGGGGAGGGAAGGAAGAGGGAGAAAGGGGAACCATGGGTCAGGCGGGTGAGTGGGGCGGGTATGTGAGAAGGGGTGCGGGAGTCAGGCATACGGGGGGTATACCTGATGAGGATGTTGCAGTTAGGGCTTCTCCTCACCAAGGCGAGGCCAGGTGGTGAACGCGCATGGGCACCTTTCCTCATATCACGGTTGCTGTCTGCGTGCCCCCTTTCCCCATGCTGCAGGACCTGTACGACAGCGGCTGTGTGACGAGCAACATCAAGTACGGCGTGCTGCTGTACGGCAAGTCCCGGTTGGCCATCCCCCTGGACATCCAGGTATGGTTGCTGATGGGGTGACATGATGGCTACATGCACGGGGACAAGAAACACAATACTTCCTGAACCGGCATCCCCCCTTCGTAACCCCGTGAACGGTAGTCAAGATCCGGCCCGCCGACTCTTCATCACCCTCTCGCCTATCCCCTTGCCTGACCCTCCTTACCTTTTACCTTGACCCCCCCAGGTGACCGCCTGCGACGCCGACACGCGGGGCTGCGTGGAGGCTGCGGGAGGCCGGGTGACCCGTGTGTACTACACAAAGGAGGGGCTGGGCGCCGTCATGCACGTGAGTGGGGGTTGGTTAGTTGGTTGGAGGAGGTTGAGAGGCGGCGGTTGCTGCATATGCCCCTGGTTGCGCTTACATGGGGATGGGAAAGGGGAAAAGTCCTCGTGGAACCAGGCTAAAACTATGATAACGTTACAGTATGGCACTTACCAAAACATCGCCCTGTCCCCACCAAATGCCGTACCTCCCAACAGCCCGAGAAGTTCACGGACCGGCGGCTGCCGCTGCCACAGCCTGCCGTACGATGGCACCCCAAGTACGACAAGAAGTTTGACGCGATTGGCCAGATCCCGCCTGCCGTACAGCCCAACAGCGCCGTACTTGCTCTTGCCGCGGCGTCCTCGGCAGCAACACCCGCGCTGGCGGCTACAGCGGTCGCCTAAGGTCTTTCCGGTATTGGTGGTCGGCTTAGGTTGAAGCTGTTTCGCAGTGTCTGTGTTCTCCGGTACGGCGCTAGCATACTCATTTTGCATGGGGTGGAGGAAGTGGAGGGAAGATGGATGCTTGGGATGTCAAGCAACTAAGCCGCCATACTTTGCTAACCATCGTTGTTTGGGGTGTGTTTGTGACGGCAAGGTTGAGGGAGTTTTGCATCGGCTTATGGGACTGTAGGTGGCATTAGGGAGGTTGGTGTGTGCACCGGCTTGGAAGCGCCGAAGGCGTGGAAAGGAGGCATTCGGACGGCAGGGACATCGGGCAGTCTGTGCTGTCGATGGCGCCTTGTAACTTGGTGACCATGTTTTTTTTCACCCAACTCATTGCCTAGGTGATGACTTGGCCAAGTTAACGGTTGGTTGGTAGTATGAAGGCCCCACATGCACGCCGATGACATGGCCAACTTCCGCACACGTATTCAATACAACGTGTTATAAATACGTAAGGAGAGAAAAACCCGTTTGCAGAGCACCCCTTTCAGAAACATTGAATCCAAATATGCCTCGCCATCAAAGAGCAAATTCCTAAAGCGAAGGACAAAGCGTAAGCCTAGCGGCTCCAAGTAAGCTATATCAGCGGTAGCTGCTGGCGAATCGCCAGGAGCGGCCCTACGCGCTCGGGCAGCGTCCTCAGGGTGTCAGGGAGATAGCGTCCCAACCAGCGGAAGGGGCGCTCGCGACCCAACCGACAAGCTGAGCTCCTATATAAGGCCGTCCATGACAATCTAAGACATCATACTATCATTCACATTGTTACATTGATTGATTTTCTCGAGACCAGCTTGGCGTTTGCATTGGGCCCGATCTTATCCACGTTTGCTCCAGAACCACGCTGGTCGGCCCCGGTTCTTGTGCCACAGCCCATTGCTCAGTTCTGCTCTTCCTTTGTGACCTACCTTACTAGACGGGCTAATAACCATGCAGGCAGGTGGTTTGCAAAGCCATAGTAGTCCACTGCTTCCAATTCTACAATGGCTAACCCTACTTTCTGCGCGCCTCGTTCCTTCCTATGCAGACCATCCGTGCCCCCACCACTCAGGGCGCTGTAAGTAGTTTTACGCCTAGATCTAGCACCTAGCGATCGCGCACAACGCTCATACAATGCTCTGGCGTTCTGTTCGCAGGCCAGCCGCGTGGCTGGCCGCCGCATGTGCCGCCCTGTTGCCTCCGCCAAGGTTTCGACTGCCGTGACCACCGATGTGTCGAAGCGGTAAGATGGCAGTGATCACAGGGGCTGCGATGTATAATGCATCGGTCGCATATGCTTCATTGACACGTGATGTCGCGCCGATCCGTTTCCATTCAACAGGTCTGTGCCCACCAAGATGGAGGAGGGAGAGGTAAGGGCGCGCGGCAGCTACTATTGTCTAAGGACTGGGGCGGCGCTAAACGGGGTCGCATCGCTCCCCGGTTCCTAACTATTACGATAATGGGTCACAACGAAAACGTATGTTACACCAACGAATCATTTTGCGTCGTGTACAGATGCCGCTGAACACCTATAACAACAAGGCTCCCTTCAAGGCCAAGATCCGCTCCGTGGAGAAGATTACCGGGCCTAAGGCTACCGGTGAGACTTGCCACATTATCGTCGAGACCGAGGGCAAGATCCCCTTCTGGGAGGGCCAGTCCTACGGTGTTATTCCCCCGGTAAGACCTAAAGTCCCTGCCCATGTTGACATGCGAGTATACCAACGAACTTTTGCTTTTTTCCATGATAACCTGTTCCCGTACACCTGAAGAACAGCATAGCACTCCCACATATCCAACTAAGCACAGAGCCGGCTCGGCACCCACGGCTCCGTCTAAAGTTTGACCGCTGCTCATCATGCACATCCTGCAACTCGCTATCCTATTTTTGTTTCTTATCACCTCTCCCTCGCTCCCTCTGCAGGGCACCAAGATTAACAGCAAGGGCAAGGAGGTGCCCCACGGCACCCGCCTCTACTCCATTGCCTCGTCCCGCTATGGCGATGACTTCGATGGCCAGACCGCCTCGCTGTGCGTCCGCCGCGCCGTGTACAACGACCCCGAGACCGGCAAGGAGGACCCCGCCAAGAAGGGCATCTGCTCCAACTTCCTGTGCGATGCCGCTCCCGGCACCGAGATCACCATGACCGGTGAGCGCTGATATATGCACCAGAGATAGCGTGGAGCTTTAAGCCTATAATGACCAAACCCCGTGAGAAAATAAATGACGCTACAGCCAAACCACATCCAAAACCACATCTCAACCTCCTGCACACGTCACCCCACGTGCTCTCCCCGCCCTCCTCAGGCCCCACCGGCAAGGTGCTGCTGCTGCCGGCCGACCCCGCCGCGCCCCTCATCTGCGTGGCAACCGGCACCGGCATCGCGCCCTTCCGCTCCTTCTGGCGCCGCGCCTTCATGGAGGACGTGCCCAGCTGGAAGTTCACCGGGCTGTTCTGGCTGTTCATGGGAGTGGCCAACTCGGACGCCAAGCTGTACGACGAGGAGCTGCAGGTGGGGGGCGGTGTGTGTGTGTTATTCGGCACCCGTAACGTGGTTGTTGTACGGCACCCGCGACGTGGTTGTTGTACGGCACCCTTGACGTGGTTGTTGCACGGCAGTCGTACGGCAGGCGTATGGCTGCAGGGGCACCAACATGGGGCATGGGACACAGGGGTGTACGTGAACCGCGTTTTGAGAACCCATCACCCATGACCGCCCATCCTCCGTTCCTGCTCCTCCCCCCCTCAGGCCCTGGCCAAGGCCTACCCCAGCCAGTTCCGTCTGGACTACGCGCTGTCTCGCGAGCAGAAGAACCGCAAGGGCGGCAAGATGTACATCCAGGTGCGGAGCGGGAGAGGGCGGGGGAAACGAGAGAGCGGAGGAAACATGAGGGCGCAGGAAACGGGGGGGGGGTCATTGCGGTGCCGATGATGTGTCACAGTATCGCTTATGTCGCGTCAATGTACGTGTCCCACCTCTCTCCCCCCACCTCATCTCCCTCAATTCGCCTCCACAGGACAAGGTTGAGGAGTACGCGGACGAGATCTTCGACCTCCTGGACAACGGTGCGCACATGTACTTCTGCGGCCTTAAGGGCATGATGCCAGGCATCCAGGTGGGTGGGGGGGCGGGGCGGGGCGGGGCGGTGGGTCAAAATAGACCATACCATAGGAAACCACGAATGCGGCAAGACAAAGGGGGGGATGGGGCTTGGCGTGGTGGTGTGGTGTAAGAAAAAGAGGAAAGACTACTAGCCATGTGGGTGGCAAGGCTCCACCATGGGTTGGGTCAGGGTGGTGTGGCGGTATGGGGTGCGGCAGTGCTGCCCTGCTGCTGCTGCGAGTACGGGGCGGTGGCGCGCGAACCCTGTCCGGCTTTATCCGCACGTGTATGCATGGTCATCTGAAAAGGGTTGCCAACGAAAGCTAACCCCTAACATGTGTTCTGCCCCGCACACAGGACATGCTGGAGCGCGTGGCCAAGGAGAAGGGCCTGAACTACGAGGAGTGGGTTGAGGGCCTGAAGCACAAGAACCAGTGGCACGTCGAGGTCTACTAAGCGGCCAGATCTGTACGGCGTACGGCAAAGTTACGACAGACCACGCTGTTATAAGTCCTGTCGTAGTCGCCGTACGCCGCTGTACTGGCTTGCTGGTTTGTGCTGGACTTGGCGGCCTGGTAGCGGAAATGGCGGAAGCGGGTCTTGGTTACTGCTGCAAGTGTGACGGGACCGACGGCTGCGCGGTGCTCCCTTGCGTTTCTTGTTGCGTCATGCGTGCTGCATGATGGCACTCGCATGCGTTACTGCAGACGCAGTTTTGGAGGAACGTCGACTCAGCCGCCGGGACGTAGGGCCGGAGTCGGATCGAGTGTCATGGTCCGGCTTACTAGTGTAGGGAATCCTGCTTGTAGATACAACTCTTAGGAGAGCGTGGAGAGTTGTTTTGAGAGCGGGTGGTGAAGAGGAGCGAGAAGAATACAACGAAAAGCGCATCAAAGCAGGTTAACTATGGATCTAATCGAAGGCTTGGGTGCTGCTGCTACTGCTGTTTAGGTGGATCTTGGCTTGGTACTTGATTGCTTAGGATTCAATAATTGGTTTCTTGGTTCCGGATCCTAAACGGAAAATACGATGCGATGGATTGCATGGGCCGCTGTCGCTTTATCGCTTCCTAGCTCACTTAAGGGAGTCGCAAGGCTGCGTCGCGTGCCCGATTGCACAACGCATAAACGTTGGGGCTCTTGAACCCCCAGTTCTTTGCCCCACATGTTTCAGTTCGATGTGGTGTTGTGGTGTTGGTCGTGGTTTCTTCCTCTGTCCGTTGTGGCTGTGCTGCTCGCCTGAGGTGTTCGAGACGTTTGTAAATATACTACCCCTGGCATCCAGGCCCCCTGGCATCCAGGCACACAACAGCTTTGTTGGGGGGCGCCCTGGGGAACGTGTGTTTTATCCAGAGCGCACCGTAGGTAGCTAGGTAGGTAGAGTACCTGCAGTTTTCCCGCTGCTGGGAAGTCAAAGACGGAGGAAACAAACCAAACCCACGGTGCAGCTACCGGTAAAGGATGGCTTATCCGCTGGGTACAGGAGCGTCGTGGCTTACCGGTGCTGCGAGCGCATCACCGGGTACCAAAAAGTAGGGAGCAGCGAAATGGAACACACTCGTGGCAGGGTGCCAGGGTCGTCCGTTCCCTTATTCCAGGGCAGGCGGTCCAGTTACGGCTTAAGTAGTGGGCCATGTAGCTCCGGGAGACACAGGGCACACAAGGAAGGCAGGAAGCAAAGGGTGGCTTGTTCTTTGTCCAGTTTCAAGCTTGGCGCCTGGCTCCAACGGGCTTTGCCGGCCAAAATGGCAGGACAGCTTTCCTGCTAGGAAGCATGCAATGGTGAGAAGGTCGACTGTAGCTTGCAGGCCCACAGGAATGTATAAAGGGTAAGGGTTTGCTTGGGGGTTTTGTACAGCGGCGGCGTGGGCTGCTCTTCTGGCGGCTGTTCGGTTTCCCTCGTCAGTCCGTTTTGGACGAGTCCAATGTAACGGCTGCTTGCCGGCGACCCACGGGCGCAGTCTTGTCGACAAATGTAACTTGGAAGCCATTTAAGCCGACTGCGTTTTCATCGTATAACACTCATACTATCTGACAAGTGATTTGTTGTAAGCGCTGGAAAGCGGTCTGCTTGTTGGAGCAAACTTACGGTTTTCGCGCGGAAGATCTGCCGTCAGTAGTTGACTGATACAGATAAACCTAATGCTTCTATCACAGAATTGCCTAATTTCGCGGCGAGTGAGTGGTTTGCCTTCTCGTCCGTTGAACCGCATTTCGCCATTCTGCCAACCGCGGACCACAAGCCGACCAGGACCAGGCAGATCAGCTGCAAATTGTGCTGAACGTCTGCAATGCGCTGGATTGCTGGGCTTTGGAAGCCTTACGTCTGCAAGCGCGAGCTCACAGCGCCCGGTGGTCATCGCTAGGTCCATGACGCCATCGGACTCGTCTACTAGCGCGCCGACCGCGGGAGTACTGCGGGTTCATTATGTTCGAAAAGATCATAACTATAAGGCAAGCCTGGACGTTACGACTTGTTTGTATGTTTGCTGGGGGGGTGCTGGATGTGGTCGAAGTGTGTACCTGGGATGGCAGCACCTCAGGCTAGCTGACTCGCATTGCTGCTGTGAGAGTCAAGTTTGAATCTCGACTCCACATCTTTCGTCTGCCCTTACACTGACGAAGCAACTATGTCTGACGTCCGTCCTGCCTCCACGCCGACGCAAACCCCTTTTCCCTCACCCCTCCTGCTCGCCCAGGGCTGGGGGCTCCACGTGTGGGGCGACACACCCCGCACCACCCAGTGGCAGCAACCCCTCAGACCCACCAGGTACCGCACAGTGTCGTACAACAATCTTACATGATTGTACACACTATACAGATAAACGGTGTTCGGTTCGTTGACCAGGCCCCGGCTAGAAGCGGTTGAGCTTCAAGCATCTACCGGTAACCGCTCATCAGCCGGCCTGAGCGCACCCAACCTCCAATTCCGCTCAGCTGAGCTTCATTGCAAACACCCAAGATAGACGTACGCCTCAGACAGATGCATGTGTGTCTGCTATGTCGGGGGTCGCACGCATGCCCCTAACCCCTGACCCTGCACGCCCGCCCTCCCGCGCAGGGTGACCGTGGAGGGCCTGCAATGGGATCTGCCGCTGCACCCCGGGGCCCGGCGGGTGGGGGCGCTGGTGCACAAGGGGGAGCAGAAGGCGGCGAGTGAGTGGGTGGCAGGGGGCGGGGGGGAGAGTGGGAGGTGGGAGGTGTGGAGGGGTAATGCTGCCAAGCGGCACTGGAGGGATACATGGGAGGAGTGACGCCACGGGGGGTTTGGGAGGCTGGTGTGGAGGAAGCTGGGCTGTGACCCATGGGCCTGTACCGTATAACCAAAGGCCGGTATACGCACGATAAAGACGCTCCCTCGCATGCCTTCGTCTCCCTCTTGCCCTCCTCCTTCATGCTTGCAGCGGGAGAGGTGGACGTATCAGCTGCTGCGGCTGCAGCAGCAGCACAAACGTCTGCAGGCGCGGGCAGCAGCGGCGGCAGCAGCAGTGGCAGCGGCGGCAGTGGCAGCAGTGGCAGCAGCAGCAGCGGTGCGGGTGTGGTCCAGGAGGTGTGGCTGGTGGGGCTGGAGCACGGAGTCCACCCCGCCCCGCCCGACCTGACCCACGTGTCGGCTGGCTCCGTGAACAAGCAGGCGGCACACTGGTAGGGGCTTGAAGCAGCTGGGTTGGGAGGGGGGTGGGGTCTTGTTGGGGGGAGTTGGTGGGCGTCAAGTCGGGTGGGTTGACCTGACTGTTCCTGCCCCACTCCCTCCCCCTCCTGACCCACCCCGCCCAGGGTTGCCCCCGACACGCTGCTGTGGCGGCAGGCCCCGGATGACCCTGCTGGCCCCCGCACCTTCCGACTGCACCACCACAAGAAGGCCTACATGCACATCACAGGTACGACAGCAGTTGGGATTGTTAAGACCCGCATGCTGTTTGCTATACCTACTTACCCAACCCTCGCCGCCGCGTTGTTTTGTACCCTCTTCACACTATTGTGTTGTTGGCGGTTTGTAGCTGTTGCTGCGACGTTCAATGCATGGAAATAGACGGTTCTAACTGTTCCCTGGTCATCCCGCTCCTTCCCTTATCCCCAGGTGCGGGAGTGCAGGGCGCGGAGGACAGCTACGAACTCACCCCCGAGGGCAGTGCAGAGGCCTTCCAGGCGGCCGTGAAGCGCTTCCCGCATCTGTACGGGTGTACGGCACTGAGGGTACCGCAGGAGGCGGTCGACCGCATTCCCGAGCTGGTAACGGGGCAGTTGCTGGTTTCCGTACATGATGCCCGGGGGGCGGCTCTGGACTCGACTGGCGTGCAGGTGGGGTCAGCGGAAAGGGCCATCATCATCAATGTCATCATCAGTAGTTACGATGGCCGTTAATGGTCTTGTTGCACCCAGAAGTAGTACATTGCAAGGGTGCTTCACAGCAAATAAATGAACTTGAACGTATACGGTTTAATCCAAGTTCATTTATTTGCTGTGAAGCACCCTTGCAATGTACTACTTCTGGGTGCAACAAGACCATTAACGGCCATCGTAACTACTGATGATGTTGGGTACGGCACCCTGAGTGTCGTACATTTGACACACATGCAGATTTTGCGGTTCACATGCGAACCTATCCCAAAGGCTTGCTCTTGTTTCCGCTCAACTACACATGCAGATCCAAGGGGTGTTGGACGAGACACTGGCGTACGACGGACCCCTGGGTGATCACCCGGATCCAAGTACGGCAGGACATGCCATCACAGGTACGTGTGCGGCAGTGTACTGCATGTGCTTTGTACGACATGAGCTGCTGTACGTACTTCTCGTTTATACGGTTTAACTGCGCCTTTGCCTCTGTTAAGAACGCTGGCCGCGAGTCGGAACAGATTGCGATTGCCGGAAGATGAAGTACCTGCCCGTGTTAAGAAAACTGCCTGTGTCGTGTTTGTACGCCTCAGTGTGGGCGCCCACCGCCCAGGATGTGAAGCTGCTGCACTACCGGGAGGCTCGAGGCGGTACGGCGGAGGTACGGCAGCTGCTACCTTTTATCGTACTGATTACACTGTTTCCCATCTGTGAAAGCTGCCTACGTTCATAGCTCGCTTATTAACCTGTGCTTGATTGGAAAAGCCCAAGCAGCAGCATAATAAGCCTGTGCTTGATTGGAAAAGCCCAAGCAGCAGCAGTTTCCTTAGTACACGCTACCGGATTGCTAGAAAGCTAAATGTTGCGCAAATGACCGGTCCTGTCTAACGACCCATGGGTCACCATTCATCTGCCGCGCATGCACAGGTGTTCCAGATGACCCGTGGGTCGGGCGGCACCTGGACGCTGCCCCGCCCCGCCGACTGGCTCTGGAGCTACTACACCTTCCAGGTCTCCGTCTACTGCCCCTGGACCGCGCGGTTCGAGGTGAGGAGTGGAGTGGAACTTGTGCGGAGCGAGGGGAGGGGAGGGGAAAGGAGGGGAGAGAGGGAAGGAGGGGGGAGGAGGGGAGGGATGCATTTGCTGTAGTTAGGTTCAAGGTAGCGGCTCACAGCATCCCTCCTTGCTCTATCCCACCTGCGGATGAGGCAAGCGCTACGGCTGGCGTAACTTACCCCGGTGCAACCCATCACTTCCGACACGTCTCCACCCCACTCCCCTGCAAACCCACCCAATCCACTCCCCACTTCCCACTCCCCACTCCCCACTCCCCGCAGACCAAGGAGGTCACCGACCCTTACAGTCGGGGCCTGGCAGCCGACGGCGCCCGCACCCAGCTGGTGGACCTGGCCCACCCCGCCACACAGCCCCCCGGCTGGGTGGGGCACGCGGTGCCGCCGCCGCTGCTGCAGTGGACCGACATCTCGCTGTACGAGCTGCATGTGCGGGACTTCAGGTAGGGGGTGGTATGCAATTGAAGGGCTGCCTGGGTCTGCTTGGATCTGAACACAAACCTTGGTTCGCTGCTGCGATGAACCCGGCTGCTGCAGCCTCGACCTGCCTTCAAATGTGTACTCATTGCGACGACGATGACGCCCGAATCACCCACAATCATCAAGTGCCCCTGATAAGCCCCGCCCCTTCCTCCTCTCCCTCCTCCCCGCCCGTTCCTTCCCTCCTCCCCGCCTGTTCTCCACCACCCACCCCAACAGCATCACCGACATCTCGGTTCCGGAGCCCCTCCGCGGCAAGTACCTCGCCTTCTGCCCCCACCGCATCTCTCCATCCGCCTCCGCCTCCTCTTCCACCTCTGCCGCTGCTCCTTCCCAAGCCGCCTCCTCCGCCACCTCCCCGGCTCCCCCCCTGTCCGCGGGTCTGGCCCACCTCGCCGCCCTGCGCGCTGCCGGCATGACGCACCTGCACCTGCTGCCAACATACGACTTCGCCACCGTGCCGGAGCGGCCGGAGGAGCAGGGGGCCGTGCAGGTGGGGCGGGGGTGAAAGTAAGGAAGCTGACGAACTGTACGACGAGGGTTGACCCTCACCATGGGTTGCTCAGGGTGGGGATAACAAACCGCACCGAACCATAGAAACCCACAGGTTGTTGGGGCATAGCAACGGGGATAGGAAGCGGCAGTGCGCCCCACATAACACGGGTGGGAGGTGGGGAGGAGGAGGGTGTCAAGGATACGCAAGAGGAGAGACGGAAGCAGACGGAAGCAAGAGGTACCTATGCTGACCTAATCACGAGTGTACCCGCCCTAACTCCAACCGCCCCAACCCCCCTCCCCCCTTCCTCCTCCTCCGCTCCGCAGGAGGACCTGTCCCGCCACCCGCCTGACTCCCCCGCCCAGCAGTCCGCGGTGCTGGCGGTTGCTGACCAGGACGGCTTCAACTGGGGATACGACCCGGTGCACTGGGGGGTGCCGGAGGGGTCGTACGCGACGGAGCCGGACGGGGTGGCCAGGTATTTAATGGTAGCGGCAAACTAGATGACAAGCTGCAGGTTCCCCTAGATGGGTGGGAGGAGGAAGGCAGGGAGGAGGAGGGCAGGGAGGAGGCGGGCTGGGAAAGCACGTTTCACTGCCTGCCAGTGCCAGTGGGGGCTTTAGTCCTGACCTCTTGATCTGGGGTATCCAGTTCCCTCACCGCCGCGAGCTTGCCTTCTTCTGGGAGAAGGAACCGCCTCAATTAACTGGAGCAGTCTCTATCCTTCGCTCGTTACCTAGCCAGCCCTCTTTCTTCCTTCCTTCCCTCCTCCCTCCCGCCCTCCCTCCTTGCCTGATCAGGATCCGCGAGTTCCGCGAGATGGTCCAGTCGCTGCACGGCCAGGGCTGGCGGGTTGTGCAGGATGTGGTGTACAACCACACCTTCGCAAGTGGGCCCTTCAGCAAGTGAGGAGGGGGAGGGAGGGAGAGGGTGGATGAGGAGGAGGAGGAGGGAGGGGGAGGGGGAGGGATGGAGGGATGGAGGGATGGAGGGATGGAGGGATGGAGGGATGGAGGGATGGGATCTCGCTATACGTGTTTCTTGAATCACAAAAGCCCACACAGTTTTTCCCTCTCCCTGTCTTGCCTTGCTGTAGCTAGCGGGGTTCCATTTAAACCCCTTCCCTAACCCCTCATCATCCCCGCTCTCCCTCGCCTCTCCCCCCCAGGTACTCTGTGCTCGACAAGCTGGTCCCCGGCTACTACCACCGGCGCCACGAGGACGGCTCCATCGCCGACTCCACCTGCTGCAACAACACCGCGTCCGAGCATGTCATGTGCGAGCGGCTGGTGGTGGAGGACATCACACACTGGGCGCGGAACTACAAGATTGACGGGTTCAGGTGGGAGGGGTGGGGGTGGGTAAATAATTAATGAGACACTGACGATGCAAGGTGGAGGGTTGGGGGTGGGTGGGTGGTGAGTGGTAATCGCCGCAAACCGCCGCAAACTCACATGTAGCTTGAGTTGCTGTGCTTAGTATGGCTTGATTGTATTCCTGCTTGCTGGTCGCTCCTCGCCGCTGTCACTACCACTTCCCCTGCTCCCCTTTCCTCTGCTCCTCCTCCTCCGCAGGTGCTCCTCTCGCCACCTGCTCCCCTCTCCTCCTCGGATCCTCCTCCTCCTCCCGTTTGTGCTGTAACTGTAACTGTGTGCCTTCCCCTCCCCCCCACCTTCCTCCCTCCCTTCCCCCCCGCTCCCCGCCAGGTTCGACATCATGGGCCACCTGATGATGAGCACCATGGACAAGATCCGGGCCTCCCTGGACGCACTCACACCGGAAAAGGTACGGTGTACGGCGCAGTACGGTAGGATGTCGTATTGTGCAGTACCGTACGGTGCATTATGGTGTGTGTAAGGTTTCCCAACCTGTCCTGCCCTTCCTCCTCTTGCCCAAACCCCAACCCACACGCCACTAACCCCCCTCCCCCCCCAACTCCACCCCCCTCTCCCCCCCCAGGACGACGGTGTGGTGGGTCGCTCCATCTACCTGTACGGAGAGGCGTGGGACTTCGGCGAGGTGGCGGGCAACCAGCGGGGGCGCAACGCGGCGCAGATGAACTTGGCGGGTGAGGTGGTGGCCGGGGGATGGCTGGTGAGGAATGGAGAGGAAGGAAGGAAGGGAAGAGGGAAGGAGGTAGTGAGATCCGGCGAGCTTACTGTCTTCACGGCATGCAGCAACACGCTGCAAACCTGACATCCTTGCTGTGACATCTCCCCCCCCCCCGTGCTGCCAGGTTCGGGTCTGGGTGCCTTCAACGACCGACTGCGGGATGGTGCACTGGGAGGTGGCCCCTTCGCCCCGCCGCAATTCCAGGTGGGGTGGGGTGGGGTGGTGGTGGTGAGGGGTTCAGTTGAGGAAACTGACGAGCTGTATGACGAGGTTCCACCATTGGTGTTCGGGTTGGGGGTTCGGGTTGGGGGGTGATGCAGGGCAGGCAGGGGTGTCCGGGTGTCTGTCCATGCATGACACAACCTAATGGGTTGGTGCTTGTTGGTAGCCGTTTGAAGACCGTGTGCGCCGCTACGCGCCCATGGCTGTCCCGTCCCTGCACCGACCTTCCTCCTCCTTTCATCCCTCTCCTTCTTCCTCGCTCCCTCGTCCCCACCCGCAGGGCCTGGTGACCGGACTGCTGCTAGCGCCCAACGCTTCCAACGCCTTCGCCTCCCCTAACCAGCCCACCAGCAGCGCAGCAGTGACCCACGGGTCGGCTGCCACCCAGGCCCCCGCGCAGGGCGGTGCGGCGGCTCAGCGCGCCGAGCTGCTAGTGCTGAGCGACTGGGTGCGCTCCAGCCTTGCGGGCAACCTGCGGACCTACCCGCTGCACCTGTGCGACGGATCGGTGCGCTGCGGGGAGCAGGTGGGGGGCGGGGGGGCGGGGGGTGGGGGGTACTAAGAGGAAGCTGACAACCTGCATTACAATGCTGTCAAGGTAGCTGTGCGATGCCGAGATGCAGTTGCTTTGCAGCAGCTGCAGAGCTCCCTAACGACGGAAGACTCCTGACCGGCCATACCAAGCAGTTCGTTCCCCACTCCAGCTGCTGTCTGTTGCGTCTGTGTTTTTCCCTCCTGTTGACTCAGGTGTTGGCTCACGGTTTACCGCTGGCGTACGGCGGTGTGCCTCACGAACACGTGGCATTCATCGGCTGCCACGACAACAAGACCATCTTTGACCAGATTGTGGAGAAGTCGGCGATCGAGGTAACTAGGCTAAGAGGAACGAACTCTGGCAGGTGCTGTCATGTTAATGCTTCGTAAGGCTTGGTGTATGTTGCGCCGGAAAGGCGCACGCGCTCAGCCCGTGTCACTGTTGTGCCTGCCAGTCCTATCATGACCCGACTGGTGTAGCCTACATCCATGCGTTCTCTCTCTGCCACATGCATTCTCATTTATTGCCCTTTGTATATGATACGAGAAAAACAAAAAACACCAGAAGAAGATAACAGGACTATCCCACATGCCGCCTGGCATCATGTCCCTCATGTCCCATGCATCCTGTCCCGCGCTGCACATACAGGAGTCTGCGGAGGAGCGCGCGCGCATGTGTCTGATGTGTCTGGCGCTCATCACCCTCAGCCAGGGCGTGCCCTTCATACACGCGGGGGATGACCTGCTGAGGTCCAAGAGCCTAGACAGGGACTCGTACAACTCGGGTGGGGCTGCCGTACGGGGCTGTACGGGGCTGCACGGTAGTGCGCGCACGTGTCTCGTCCGTGTTTCTCCCTGTTTTTTACTGCTGCTGTAGCGGTCCTCCTTTCCCATTCACACATACTCTTGACTTGACACACACACGGCTTACCCTCCTCCCTTCTCCCTTCCTCCTCCCTCGCAACTCCCAACCCCAACCCGTTGCCCTACCCGGATTACCCCACAGGCGATTGGTTCAACAGGATCGACTGGACCGCCTGCTCGCACGCCTTCGGCTCCGGCCTGCCGCCCCACACCAAGAACGGAGGCGCCTGGAGCTACATGCAGCCGCTGCTGGCGGCGGCGGAGCGCATCCGGCCCAGCAGGGAACAGATGATGGCGGCCACGCGGATATTCCAGGTGGGTGAGAGTGGGGCTGGCGGGGCTGGCGGGCCGTACAGCTATAGCGTTGCCACGACGTGTTGTATTTCGTGAAAACTACTCCGATCCCGCATTCCTTCCTCCTCCAACATCTCGGAAAGAAAGGCCATACGGTACTTGCGATTCCCTTTCTGTGCTTCTTCATACTAACAAGCGTTCCCTTCTTCAACAACACGGTTCGGTTCATCGAGCTCTGATACCCTTTGGTAACATCTCCTCCGCAGGCCCTCCTCCGCGTGCGCTACTCCTCGCCGCTATTCCGACTGTCCTCCACCGCTGACGTCATTCGACAGCTATCCTTCCACAACACCGGGCCGGATCAGGTGCGTGCGTGCGTGCGTACGGCATGTTCCGTACACAGCCAAGCCGGGCGGTTACGGGATTCGTTGCCGTACATGCGCACGTCAGTCAGGCTGGTGAAGGATGTGCCATGGAGTTGTTTGCACATGCATGATGGATCCGGCTGCAAGTTACCTTGCGGTAATTACTTATGTTGTCTCAATAGCCTACCTACCATGATCACAGGTCCCCGGTGTTATCGTAATGGAGCTCAAGAGCGCCGAAGACAGCAGCGGCACCAGCGGCAGCGGCGGCAGCAGCGGCAGCAGCAACAGCGGTGTGTACGATTCCGAGTACGAACGCCTGGTGGCGATCTTCAACTGCGCTCCGTACGGTAACGATATGCCGTACCCGCCGGATGTACCGCAGAGTGCCAGCCTCGAGGTAGGAACAGATGTACGAGGTGTGGGACATGCGGGGTTTGGCAAGTTGCAGTTAACATTCGCCGCACGTTCAAGACGTGTCCATCCGCTCGCACAGAAGCGTTAGCTGATCCCTACCTTTGCCCGTGCACATCTCTGGCTTGTGATCCACTAGTTATCGCTCACTGCTGCCGGTTCTTTTCCTCTTTATCCTTTCGCGTCCCTTCAGCTTCACCCGGACCTGGCGGCAGTCGGCGACTCGCGACTCTCCGCCTCCCTCGCGGACAACCAGGCACGCCTACTACGAGTCCCGGGGCGCACGACAGCCGTGTTTGTGCAGCGGCGGCAGCGCTAGCGGCGGCAGTGCGGATTGGGCGGCCGCCACACTACCAGTAGATACGGCAGGCATTTAGCCACCATGGCAGCCGCATGCAGCGACGTTAGTGGATGAATGTCGTACCGCTAGGCAGCAGCAGTAGCAAACTAGCAATAACATTACGGTCATGCATGGGATAGACAGGAGTATTGTTGCATGTGGGACATGCGACGGCAGTAGTACGGCAGTGTTAGTGTATTATTGTGCGGAGTTACCTATGATGGTGCTGATGCTCGTTATTGGTTGGCTTTCGTTGGCGCATTGTAGATAGCTTACTTAAGCACCGGTATGTACTCTAGGGAGCGTGTGTACGGTTGCCAAATCGGTTGTCTATATAACTTTGCATGGTCACATATATTACTGGTAGCTGGTATGTGGGATGCATAGCAGTCGATGTACCCTAGTACGACATGCCAGCAGTATACGGCTTCAACTGAGGCTTTTTACCACGGCCCAAATCTCTGTCGTGTTGCCCTTGTGGTTTGCACCAGCCTGCCTGCCATGCATGTTTGGACAGCAATGTGTATGTCCACCATGCGCGGCATGGGTCGTCACTGGGAGCGTTGAGGCGAGGAAGTGGTTGTAAGAGCCACTGGCACAGCTCACCGGAGCCACGGCCACATCTTACTGCTGTACCGTATGTGGTGCTGCACCCGCACCACCCGCACCACCACCAGCAGCACCACCACCACCAGCAGCCCACCAACCGCGCCACCTCCAGCCGCTGCTGCAGCGTAGCATCACCACCAATTCAACACATGGGAGTGTACCGCACATGGGAGGGGCCGATCCTAAGCACCACCTGCCCCCGTCAACCGCGCCAGCAGGGCAAGCCCGCATAGCCATTCCCCTACACCCTTGCCCCTACCCCCACCCTAACCTAGCCCCGAATCCCAGCCTGGCCCCTAGCTCTGCCCTATCCCCGCCCTAGCCCCTTGCCCGTAGCCCCACCCTAGCCCCTTGCCCCTAGCCCCACCATGTGCAACTTCTGCAATTCTGTCAATCAGAAAGGGTGACACCACCAAAGGCAGTAAGTGCAGCCCATTACCATCATAGGCATAACAGATTAGATGGCTGCGTTGCAGCGGGTGTGCTCCATAGGGTGAAAAAGAAGAATCCCAAGGTGTTTAATGATGCTATCAAACAAGCGGACGATCAAAATAGGGTGGGGTATCCCCTTCTATCGTCATACTAACATCAAGCGAACGAACAATCTGATACTCAGTACCGAAGGGAGCTGCAAAATATTTGTCCCTGCTCATACTGGGGCTCGAACCCAGGACCTGCGGCTTGCAACTCCACCAAAGGGCATAAGACCACCGCTCTAACCTACTGAGCTATATGAGCACGACAGCACGTGACATGGAGGGCAAAGTGAATGTTCTTAGAGGGTTGCAACGTAAAGGCGGCATTCGTGCCGAGTGCGGTCGGGCGCGTCCGGGTGCACTCAAGTGTGGTTGGGCCCTTCAGGTACGTCTGCAGCTTCCGGGTGTGGCAGAGTCCGTTTGTTCAGCCTTGTCCTCTGGGTGTGGCCAGATGTGTCCAGGATGAAAACCTGGCTGTAGGAGCATGTGAGAGGGTTGAGTGGTCCTAGCTCTAATGGATCAAGCACACACACATTGGTCCTGATAGGAGGGGTAGGAGGGGGGGTAAGAGTAGCACGTGTGTGGTACGTGGAATCTACACCACCTACAGGAACAGGAGCCAGAGAGATGGAACAGAAGGAGGCCGCAAAAAGGTAGGGCTGCTCATACTGGGGCTCGAACCCAGGACCTGCGGCTTGCAACCCGGACAATGGCATAAGACCACCGCTCTAACCTACTGAGCTATATGAGCAGCTCATCACACGCATGCCAGGTGCTGCCCAAATAAGATTCAACATGTGCATGGGGAAACCAGGCAGCCCCTATCGTCCGTGTGCGGGCGGGTGCGTCCGGGCGCACGCAATCAGGCGCACGCGTCTTGGCGTGGTTGGGCGCGTCCGGATTGTGTCTGCAGCTGGGTATGCGTCTGGGTGTGTTAAGAGTCCACCGTTTGGGTGTGTTCAGGTGTGTCCTGTCTGTCCTCCGTCCATGTCCTATGTGTGCGGCCAGATGTGCGCCCAGCTTGTGTCAGGAGCAGGGTGCGCCCCAAGCATTCCGATGCATAATGATGCATGGGGGTGCATGCGCCATGGGGGTTGTCACAGTCTGGATAGGTGTGTATGGGTTTTGTCCATGTCTCGTCTGCGGCTAGTCCGGGCACACCTGGACCTGCTGTCCACGTGTGCTGGGTGTTTCCAGGTAGCAGTGTGGAAAATGTTGCTGCATGTGCTGTACACTAATGGTATCATTTACATTAAGCCATTAGCTTTACTTCCTGATAGTGGCATTTACCCCTCCCATACATCCCTCAGACCGTCAATAGAGTGCTGAAGAGAGGGACGAGACAAACATGCAACTCGACGAGCCCTGGAAGGAGCAAAATGCTCATACTGGGGCTCGAACCCAGGATCTGCGGCTTGCAACCCGTCAAGGGGGCATAAGACCACCGCTCTAACCTACTGAGCTATATGAGCACCATACACCACGCATGCAGGATTGTGTCAAACTACAACTCAAGTAGTGATCACGTGGACCAGGCAGCCCGCGTGCGATCGGGCGCGTCCGGGCGCACACTCATGTGCACGTGTCTGTGCCCACTTGGCGCACATACGGGTTGTGTGTGCAGCTGGGAAGACATCCCTGCTGGTGCCAGCATCCATTTGTTTATGTGTGTTCAGGTGCATCAGAATCCGTCCAGGTCCCCTGTCCAGCGCCTCTGAGTGGGGCCGGATGCGTCCAGCTGGCATCAGCAGCCGGGTGCGTCAAGAGGCATCTAGCTGTGTCCAAATCCACTCCAGTGCATCAAGTCTGCTGCAGTCCAAGTGTGTTTGGTATGTCCACGAGTGTCATAAAACCTGCTAAATAAATGCATGCCACATATATACATTGAACCATAACGTGCGAGGTAGTGGCAATTTTCCCACCAATGCATTCCCCAAGCTGTCATCAGGGGCATAAGACCACCGCTCCAACCTACTGATGAGCTACATGAGGTTAGATGAATAACACAACACGTGCCCAAACGGGCAAAGGTTGCAGTCCCGCCCATCCCGCTGAGTGCAAAGGAAGACAGACACATCTACCTATACCTACTGGGTTTGTGCATGTAACCAGGCACATTTATCTAAACCGAAGACTGAGCCGGATGCACCCTGGTGCGCCCTGATCGATGCGCGGACACACCGGATCCCCCTGGATCCCTCTGGAGCACCCGGCTTGTGATGCAAGCTGGCTGCATCCGGCCACATCTAGAGGACCTGGTTAAAGGACCTCGACGTACGGATTCCGATGTACCTGGACATACCCGAAAGAGCGGACTCTGCTACACCCGGAAGCTGCAGACGTACCTGGACACACCTTGAGCGGCCAAACCACACCTAGCCGTGATGCCGTGTGCGCCTGAATGCGCCCAGATGCGCCCATCCACACTCTGCACCCGGGATCAGATGGGCTGGACTGCCGCCTCTACACTTCATTTGCACCATGATAAAGCCCTGATGAACCGGAATGCATTAGGAACCCGCCTGCCGCTGACAAGCTGAACGCACATCTAGCCGCACCCAGAGGACCTGGACAAACTCTGATGCACCTGGACACACCCGAAAAAGGACTCCGACACACCCGGACGTATACCCAGACGCGGATGCGGACGCGCGCGTCTGAGTGCGTGCACCAGGACGCACCCGGCCGCACCCGAGCGAGAGTGCCTGCCTGGTTTCCGCGTGCACGTTTTCAATCCTTGTTGGGCGGCACCAAGCATGCAAAGGATGAACTGCTCATATAGCTCAGTAGGTTAGAGCGGTGGTCTTATGCCCTTTGTTGGGGTTGCAAGCCGCAGGTCCTGGGTTCGAGCCCCAGTATGAGCATCCTTCAATTTTTTGCGGCCTCCTTCTGTTCCTGTTCCTGGGCGGTGGCGTAGGTGTCACATACAACACACACACGCTCCCTGGAACCCTCCTGCCGCTCTCCTGTCACACCAATGTATGTGCTTGTCCTACGTGAGAGCTAAAACCACTCACCCCTTGCTCATGCACCTACAGTATGCTGCGGCCACATCCGACTGAGCGGACTCTGACACGCTTGGAAGCTGCAGACACAACCCTGACACGCTCTGATGGGCCCAGCGCACCCGGAGACGCCCGACCGCACGCGGCCCACGGGACGGGCGTGATTGTCGTCTGTTCGCGGCTATGAGATATATAGTTTGAACTTTGCCATTTGGGCATGTCTTCCTCGTGGTGCTCATATAGCTCAGTAGGTTAGAGCGGTGGTCTTATGTCCTGTGTTAGGGTTGCAAGCCGCAGGTCCTGGGTTCGAGCCCCAGTATGAGCAGGGCTTACTTTTTTGAGCTCCCCTATGTTCCTTCTCTCTTGATCTTGTTCCTGGGTTGTCTAGGTGCCACATACCAATCACACGCTCCCTGTCTCGCCCATTCCGCTGCCCAATCAGACCAATGTGCCTGGTCCATTAGAGCTTAAACTACTAACCCCTCATACGCATTATCACACAGTCAGTCAGTTAATTCCTTGTACCCCTCCTATGTGCTCCTACAGCTGGGCTTTCATGGCCTTGCTGGCTGTCGTGCCCCATCGTTGGCCCGTGCAGTTTGTGGTCATGGGTGGTAACGCTCGCGGGCACGTCCCATGGTTCAGTTGGATTATGACAGTGCGGAATGTTAGTGCTGAAGAGACTAAGTGGTTCCGGCTATATTGACTGGTATTATCGCAGTTCCCATGCTTCGGGTGCTTTGGCGTATCCAGAGTATCTGTCGTACAAGTGCTTGTGCTGTTAGGCGGCGCAGTGCCCGGGCTAGGGCATTGCTTCTTGCTCACATACTCATGTACTGCCTGTAAGAACCATGAAGGGCTTCATGCGTTCCTGATTTGCGGCGCAGGTCTGCAGCTTACATGTGCGCTTTGACGTAGTCACAGACAGCGATCTCCCAAGCGTTGGGTAGCCCAACGTAGCAGTCACAATAGGCAATAGGTTATCAGTTCCCCGTGGGCCTGGTCAGTCCGCGGCTCAGCCGCCTTGCAGCCCGCTCCCGGCACGGGACAAGAGGCGCTGAGGAGCGCTCTACGTCTACAGCAAGACTAGGAGCGCTGTCGCGCCCCGTTGCCGGCATGTTCATTCTGTCGGCAGAGGCGGGTGCGACGGTGGCAGGTGTCCCGCGGTTCGGTCAAGTGATGACTGCAGGGATTGTTTGTTATTACGATGGCAAGTGATTCTGAATATATCATAAGGTGTTGCGTTGGCTCCTGTGCTTTGGGCCTGGCTGTCTTGCAGAAGATACGTGTACGGCGTATCGCATCAGGTTGTCGTACGAGTGGCTTTCCTGTTAGGCAGCGCGGCGCCCGGGCTAGGGCGTCGCGCGCAGCTCGCAGTTACGCAAGTTGTAAGAGACAGTGCTTGATCCCCACTTGTCGTGGTTTCCTGCAGGAGCCGCCAGCTTGTATGCGCGTAGTCGCGTGGCCATTTGACTACCAGCGTAAACCAACAGCCATAGCAACCAAGAATAGCCGTAATAGTTAGTTCTAGTCTAGATCACCGTCCCTCACAGGCCTGGTCAGCTTGTGGCCCAGCCGCCTTGCTGTCGGACTGCGGCGCAAGGCTGCCGGGTGGCGCTAACCTGGTCTCAGGAGATCTAGGTGCGCCCCTCTCTGTGCAAGCGGGGAGCGAAAGGGGACCAGCACCTCAGGAGCCCCCAGTGTGGACCCCAGTGGCGCTAGGTGTGCAAGCCGGCGTATGGGCGCGACAGCGCACTTTCCGGTTGCGGGAGGTAGAGACGGAACCTTGGATGGCAGGCGGGTGCGCCTGGAGGGAGAGGGGGTGCGTGTGGGGGTCTTGCGGTATCGAGGGGCCATCATGAGGCCCGAGTATTTTGTGGTGGCCTGGGAGGACGGGGGCCGAGAGCAGGCCACCCTGGCATGCGTGCGGGAGTGGCTCATCTGAGCGGGCATGAGCAGGGGGTGCGGTGCTGGGGGGGCCCTGCGGTCCTGAGGGAACCGGTTCTGAGTGGGTGGCTGCGCTCTGGAATGGCGGGCTCGCGTGGGGGTTAGGGGGCTGCGTCGTGCAAGGACGGGGCCGGAAGGGCTGTCTGGATTCCAAGGGGAGTCGAAGGGCTGAGGCTGCCGTACAAGAATGGAGCCTGCGGGCTGGGGTGTTGGTGTTAGGGATGGCCTGACGGATCAGTTGCTGAAGAGGAGTGGACGGACGGCTATTGCGGCCCGAGCGGACGGTCAGGAGAGGAACGGACGGACGGTTATTATGGCTCGGACGGACGGCCAGGGAAGGACGGACGGCTATGGTGTGCGAGCGTCATGCCTTCTCGTACTGTGGCGTGACCTGCAGTGATGCCTTGGTGGTTTCTTTCCGCGCTTTGTCTGTGCTGGCGTGGTCGGGGGTCCTTGCGGACAACCAACCCAATGTTGGTTTTGGTTGTGGTGGGGAGTACGGACCCGGTGGCACTAGATGGCCAACCAGCGTTGGGGCACGACAGGTGTATGAGGCTTAGCCCACGCACAGTGCAGAGGCAGCGCAGCTCCTCCCACCCTTTAGTGTTGGGTATGACAGAGTGAGCAAGCTTTCAGCATGTGTCTTGGTTAGGCACAACAAATTTGTCTCATCAAAGCGCTCCACAGACATTAGGTGATAAGGCACGGTGAGGTGTCAGTGCTGAGGCAAAAGCTGGGTCACAACAGAGCCTCCGGTTGCGTGGGAACACCCCTTCAGCCAGTGAATGACACTTTGACATTGAGAGGGGTAGCAACTAGCAAGCCTACAAAGCACACAGCTATGTGGCTACATGCAGGAGTGAAGGATTGCCGTATGCAGGGGAATCTCGACTTATGAACTGCTTGCTGCATCTATGCCAGCAGCAAACCTGCTGGGGGCCCCGTTGAAGTGCACATGGCTGCTGCCGTAAAAGTAGTATGTGTGGGCGTACATCAACCCATACGCTAGCCAGGTCAGGGGAGCTGCTTTGCAGTGCTTGAGGCTGCGTTGAAAGCGCTGGCTGGACAATAAACTTGCGACGAACCCTTAAGAGTTCTTCAACAGGGGTGTCAACTGGTGGCCAAACATGTATGGAGCAGCAACTTGAACTGTCAAAACTCAGCGAGGGATCATGCGTACATCAGTGTACGCAATATGAGATGATAATCACAGGCGAGCCAGGTGGCTCATGGACCGCATGTAACCTATGCAATGGTGGACAGCACTGTGTACGGCGAGTACGGGTTATCTGGGTATGGATGGAGAGGTAAATGTTGGCGAGCCTCCTTACTGAGTAGTTAAGGTTTCTCAAGCGGAGAGACTGAGTACTTTGCGCGAAACCGGATGGTCCGTTGAGCGAATACGAGACATACGTGGCACCGTTACTAATTGCGACTTCCAGGGTTTGTTGTTGTGGTTACTACAGTCTATGAAGTTTAGGATAGGGCCTATCTGTCGACGCAGTTGTTCTAAATTATTATAGCAGCTTGAGTCGCTTTCGTCAATTGCGACTGGGCTAGGCCCCTAGGTCGTTTCAGGAGAAATGGCTCAGCTTGCACAACAGTTAATTGCGCCCATAGCTCAAATATCGGATCAGCGGCAGAAGTCGGAAGCATACAAGGGAGCGCTTCACCAGATCTTGGAGTCAGGCCAGCTCGATGCGTGCAAGGAGTTCGTAAATCATAGTAAGCTACACTGTCGTCATATAAGCTTGGGATTGATCTGCAAGCTGCGTCAACCTGGCCTGGGAGTGTTGCTAACCTATGCATGCGATGGCATTAGCTCCATTGGCCCTGAAATCGATCATTATACGAATACTTTCCCTTATAACACCCAGTGCTTACAGATGAAGTGCCGCTGGTCATCAGTCGACAGCTGCTGCTGCTGTTCGCTCAGGGCATTGCAAAGCTGCCCGATGCAACGCACGTGGCGGTGGCGACCGCGTAAGTACATATGTGACAGTGAACTCGGATCGCAATACCACGTTGTTACCTCCCCTGCCCTTGCCCCTGCTGTCTTCCTCGCATCTCAGCTGCATCTCTCCACTCCCAACCAGCCTTCTCCCGCCTTCCTTCTCCCACACGCATCCCTCTTTCCCTCTCCTTCTCTCCCTGCTTGCCAGCGCCAACCTCCCTCCACCATCCACACACCTCCTCCCTCCCTTTCCCTGTCCCTCTCCCTCCTTCCTTCCCTTCCTCCGCCGCCCCCCAGCGCCCTGGATCGGCTGCAGCCCCGGCTGGTGTCGTTTGAGGACAGTGTGGTGCTGCTGCGGGAGCACCTGGCGGAGGTGCTGGAGCGGCAGGAGCAGTGGAGCAAGGCGGCGCAGGTGGGGGGAGTTCAATTGGGGGCAGGTTGGGCGAGGGAGCGGCATACAAAGGGAAGATGAGGGGCATGCAAAGGTGGAGCAGGCGTACAGGCCGGGGACACAGGGAGGCAGAGGGAGGCAGCTAGCTTGAGGCAGGCAGAGAGCGGAGAGGAGCACAGAGCGGAAGAGGCAGCAAACCTCCTTAATCGGCTGCTGCTCCTCTCTGGCTGCGAGTTGCCGTACGGTAACCACCTTTACGTGTCGTAATGCACCTTCTTGTCGTACTCCTTGCCGTACGTGCTGTCAGGTGCTCTCGGGTATCGACTTGGAGTCGGGCAGTCGGGCGGTTGAGCCGTCGTACAAGCTGAGTAAGAACATCAAGATCGCCATGCTTTACCTCGAGGTGGGTTGGCGGTTGGCGGTTGGGTGAAGAGGAAACAACTAACGAACCGTTGTCTGTTGGGGGTGGTGCGTGGTGGTTGCGCAACGGCAAAGGAAAGATGGTTACTCAAAGCAGAAAGCCTGGAGGGAGAAGTTGTGTGTGATGTTGCTGACGAGGACGTGTGCCGTACTGTGTACGATCCAACATGCTGTGTCGTACAGTAACCGCCAACTACCTAAAACGCCCGCAGGATGACGACTCTGTGAATGCGGAGATGTACATCAAGAAGGCGGCGGCGCTCATCAGCGGCTGCAAGGACGAGGGTCTGGAGCTGCAGTACAAGGTACGGCGGTACGAGGCAGTACGGCGTACTTCAATGCGGACGGGGAAGCACAGGAATAGGGCGAGAAGGCACCTAACAAGCTGGAACCACCGCATGAAAACCTCCGCATGCTGCCTTGATGCTTGCATTGGCTGCCACCAAGCGGTTAGTTACTTGGTTCACTAACTCATCTTACCCCTTCGGCCCCCATACCGCCTTCTCCCCTTCCCCTCCCCCCCCCCAGACCTGCTACGCCCGCATCCTGGACGCCAAGCGCCGATTCCTGGAGGCGGCACTGCGCTACTACGAACTGTCGTCCGTACGACCCTCGCCGGGGAGTGCCGTACAGGTACAGGGGAGTGCCGTACAGGTACACGGACCTGAGGGGGAGGACTAGGGAGTGGGTGGTGCGTGGGCCACCCGGGTGCGTGCTGCAGGCCACACCCCCGGGTGGTACCTCTTGACACCACTTCGCTGCCGCTGTAGCCACGGCCGCTGCTGCTGCTGGGTCTCCATGTCAAGGAGCAGCCTGCACAGATGCACACACGTCTCTCACGCGCACGACCTCACCATTGCCCCTCCCCCCCTCCCTCCCTCCCCACCTCCCCCCCCCCAGCTGGACGAGTCGGACCTGGTCACCGCGCTGCGCTCCGCCATGCTGTGCACCATCCTGGCGCCCGCGGGGCCGCAGCGGTCGCGCATGCTGGCGGCGCTGTACAAGGTGGTGACAGCAGCGAGGGGGGGGGAGGGGGAGGGGGAGGGGGCGCATGCTGAGGGAGGGGGAGCTGGTGTGCGGTCCCACAGCCCTCCTGTTGGGGCCGTCTACCTAATACCAGCAGCACCAGCACCGGCACCACCCCATGGCTCTGCTGCTCCCCTTTCTGCTGATCCCCCGCAATCCGTGTCCCCTGCACGCCATGTCAACCCCCCCACCCCCCCACCCACGTCAATCTCCACCCTTCACCCTGCCCCAACCCCAGGACGAGCGCAGTGCCCGGCTGGGCGACCTGTTCCCCTTCCTGCAGAAGGTCTACCTGGAGCGCATCCTGGACAGGTACGGCAGGAGGGAGGGGGGGAGGGAGAGGGAGAGGGGGGGAGACAGGGAGGGAAGAGAGCAGGCATTGGTGAAGAGCTGATGGAAGACCTGATGGAAGACCTGATGGGGAACACTACTTTCCTTGTTTGTTGTAGCCGTGTACGGCCCGCAGCGTAGCCCCCTCACTTCCTTGTCTTCCCCCCTCTTCCCCTCCCCTCTCCCACCCCTCCTCCCTCCTCCCCTCCCACCTCTCCCCACGCGACAGGGCGGAGGTCGAAGCCTTTGCCAAGCAGCTCAAGCCGCACCAGGTGCGTGTGTGTGTGCGTGTGTGTATGGCCTGTGACCCCCTCCCCAACTACACACGTATCGGCCAGTTTTCTTGACACACGTGTGGCACCCTGCCGCCTCCTTCCCCCATTCGCTTGCCCCCGTTTACGGTGGTTCCCTGTGGCTCGGTCCTTGACTCCCCACAGCACCTCCGGCAATCACAGTTCGTTCCTAAACGCGGCCAGTATCCTAAACGCACGCCTCGCGGCCAGTTATCCTAACACACGCAGCACCCCCCGCACCCCCGCAGGTAGCCCAGGTGGGGGGCAGCAGCGGCGGCACGGTGTTGGACCGCGCGGTGGTGCAGCACAACCTGGCGGCGGCATCCCGGCTGTACGACAACATCGGCACGGACCAGGTGGGGGGGGGTTGGGGTGTGGGGGGAGTGGGGGGAGTTGGGGGAGTGGGGGCACGGACCAGGTAGGGGGGTGTGGGGGTTGGGAGTTGGGTTGGAGGAGCAGGAGGAGGTGGGTTGAGGATGCGCCTCAGGTGGGGTTTGGAAAGCTGTCGAGACGTATCACACGCAACCCTTGTTGCCTTGGATCGGCCCTCCTATCCTCGGCTCTTCATTCTTCTTTGTCTAGTTTCGCCTCTCTTTCCCTCTCTCCATCTCTCACCTCCCTTACCTCCCTCCCTCCCCACCCCACCCCCACCCCCTACCCCCCTGGTGGCAGCTGGGCGGGCTGCTGGGGGTGAGTGCGGAGGCGGCGGAGGCCATCGCGGCGGACATGGTGGCGGAGGGGCGCATGGCGGGCAGCATAGACCAGGTGGGGTGAAGCCTGCGCTATGGGGACCCTTTCTACTTCTCCACAAGTGACGGTTGTGTGGCTCCTCGCCGCTCCCCTGCCCCTGCCGCCTCCCTCCCCCGTTGCTTGCCCTGATCCGTGGTTTCCTATGGTTCGGTCTTGTCCTTCTCATTCCGCTCTTTTCACCCCCCTCTTTTCATCCCCCTCAGGTGGACCAGCTCATCTACTTCGGCCCCAAGGTGGAGGTGGGGGCGCTCATGCGCTGGGACGACTCAATCCGGGCCGCATGCGCAAAGGTAGGAGAGAGGGGGGAGGGGGAGGGAAGGAGAAGGAAACGGACGAGGCAGCTGACGAGCTGTGTGGGAGGGAAGGGGGGTTGGCTGGTGAGGAGGGGCGCAAAGGAGGGTGGAGGAGCCTGGAGAAGCAACAGCAGCACATAGCAGTCTGGGGCTTTAGCCTCCGGTCTTTAGCGCCGCATTCAATCATATGCACAGGCCCCTGCTGTGTCGCCGCTTCTTCAACCCCTCCCTCCTTCCCTTATCCCCTCCTTTTCCACTCACTGCCATCCTTTACTGCCCCACTCACGGTCCTCATGGTGCCCTCTCATCAGGTGGGGGAGCTGGTGGACGCTGTGACAGCGCTGGGGCTGACGGGAGGGGCGGCGGCAGCAGCCCGGTAGGCAGGAGGGAACACGAGGAGGGGGAAATTACATGAGGAGTACAGGCACTGGAGTCTCAAGCAACCGGAGGAGGGGGCCGATAGGGGGACGATAGGGGGAGGGGGAGAAGAAAGTGTACGGCAAAAAGGAGGAGGGCCAAGACGCCCAAGGAGGGGGTCGACGAGTTTTCTTGTATGGTACAGCAGAAGTAGGCATGGGGGTCTGTGGCAGGATGATGCGGGTCGAGTGGGTGGTGTGGGAGAGGTATGGGGTGCGTCGAGAAACCTGACATTACGAGTAGGAGTGTGTGTGTATAGTCTTGGTGGGTTGTTATCGGTACTCATAATACTAAGGTAAATTGCTCAACATGACATATGATGTGTACAGCGGGTATCCGTTTTCCGGTTGCTTGTCATGGTTTAGTGTGGGAAGGGCCAGGGCGGGACCGCGGGCCGGCCACACATGCGTACATGGCTGCCAGCGTGCCGCATAGGTGCTGCATGAACGGGGACGCTGGGCGCAAGTGTGCGCTTGCATTGATGCCTGCTGGGTGCATGGCTGCGGAGCACCCCGGCTGGGGGAGTTCAATTGCACCCTGCCTCAGCTGTATCACACACTGCCCCGTCTGAGGGCGAGATGCACTGCACCCCTCTTCCCCGGCCCCGGCTGCTGGGGTGCATGGGTGTGGGAATGTCTGCACGTATGGGAGCCAGCAGTGAGGTGAAGCGTGGGTGACTGTGTGCTGGGTGTAACAGGTTTCACCCTGCTATTGAAGCAGCTCCCAGCTACTGTAGTAAAACACGATACATGAACCAGCCACAGCGGTAACGAAAGGGGGCAGCGGCAGCAGCCATTGTGCCTCCATGTCAGTCATGACACACCCCATGATGACCGCTACGTCTCCCTGGGACCGTACCGCCGCCACCCACCTGCCATGCGGCCTCGGAGACGCGGTCCGGGTGCAGGGCTGGGGGCGGCTGCAGGCGGAGTGCCGGCGAGGAATCGGCCACATCCACCCCACCGTCGCACCGGGCCTGCATGGAACGGGAGGTACGGCATGGGGTGATGTACGGCATGCTAGGCGCAACACATGCTGACCCACATGGCTGCTCCCTTCGCCTCGCCACACGCCCCAACACGCACATGTGACTGAACCATCGTTGTCTTCAAGCAGCGCCTGATCATAATTCCTGCCGACCCAAAACGCGCCCAAACGCCGAAACACAAAAGTGAACCGCGAGGTGACCCGTGGGTCGTTTCACGCGCTAACTAGCAAAATGCGCTCTGAAGCCACCAGCGCACCCTGTGAACTGGAGGATGGAGCGGGGGAGATGCAGGGGATGAGGGAATCAAGAGAAGAGCAGTGGGAATTATGCCGGAGAGCACATTTCACGGTTTGGGTAAGGTTCAGACCAGGAATGATTTGTGTCCGTAGGCCTCATAGGGGAGAGGCAAACCTTGATCCTTCCTTCCAGAATCCCCACCAAGGTTTGCGGCCCCGACCCAGATCGACCCAAATGAGAAATGGCGCAACAACTGAGCGAGGAACATCGGAGAAGCATTACGAGCACCGGTGGAGCACCCAGGGTGCGCTAGCCCTATCAGCAGGCCCTCCACACCGGCAGATTTCTGGCGCTATGGTTGTGAGCACTTGAAATGACCCGCGGGTCACTGTGCAAGTGACGGCTCCGCAATGCTGACGCGTGCATTGCTGGGAGCAGCAGCGCCGCTCGGAGTGCTAGGACTAGGCACCCTGACTCGCGCCGCTGCTGCAGCTTACAGTGCTGAAGGCTTGCTCGTGGTAGCGCTGCTGGGCCAAAAGCTTCGTGATCTACAAACTGCGTTAGGCCCAAACGTCCGCTAGCGCAGTTGTAGAGCGCGAAGCATTTGGCCCAGCAGTGCCACCACAAGCCATAAAAGTATTCCCAATATGGACTATAGCGTAGGTAAGTTGCTGGAGCTCGTTATACTCACACGATGAAGCCAACTGTCGTTCTGACCAAGCAGTATTACGTGGAAACCTTGTTTTGCGATCGTGCTTGCCGCCGCCTTTGCTTTCGTACTAGGTGTCCCGCGGCCTTCATAGTTCAACGTGCAGACATACATTTTTGTTAATTAGCAATACGCTGCAAAGATGCAGCCGCCACTTCAGCTGGTTAGGTACAACGAGCGGAGCGAGCAGCTGGAAGTCGACACAGCTGCCCTGGATGCCCTTAGAGAGGTGAGTATCAGCGTGGTCACGTTTAAACTTCCAAACGATGCAGGCCTAACCTTCCACCGGATTTGCTGGCTAAGCTGCTGCCTGAAGGAATGTTTCTATTGATTGTAGGTCAAAGATCCCGTCGCCATGGTAACTGTGATTGGGAATGCGCGACAAGGCAAGAGCACGCTAATGAACCGGCTGCTGCGCCAAAGCGGCGGCGGCGGTTTCCAGGTATGTCTGTTCGTCCTCTGACCCTTAGAAGCCCTGACTCCCATGCCACATTTACTTCTGCGGTCACACGCTCACGCCTTGCCACGTCGGCACCCTCGTTTCTTTCAGGTGGGATCGGGCATGCGGCCCTGCACGAAGGGGCTGTGGGCTTCTGAATGCATGGCTGCTTTAGGCGGCAGGCCTTGCCGCCTGGTGGTCCTGGACACCGAGGGGATCGACACATATAACCAGCAGGTAGGCTTGGTGTGGTTGAATGAGGGAGAAATCAAGGGAGAAGACACCATGCAGGCTTGGCCTTAGGGCAGTCATTACGCAGCGAACACCAGTAGCTATCATCATGTTTGCCAATGTGCATGTTTGGTGTCACATTAGGGGGGGGTGATGTTCCCAGTACAAACTCCGACCGACTACTTCCCCCCCCCCATGCATGCTTCTCTTGAACTGCAGGCAACACATCAGATCGCGCGCTTGGCAATGGCCCTCTCGTCCCTCGTCGTGTATTATCAAAATGGGGAAATCGACGAGAGAGCGCTGGAGCAACTCGCTGGAGTTGTGAAGCATGTGCGCATGCGGGCCGACGGTAGGTTAGTGTGGCATGTCGGGAGGGGGGGGCATGCTGTGCCTTAAATGCTCTGGAGCAGCCTTTCCAGCTGCTTCCCTTCTCAGCAAGCACGACCATTCCTGTGTGCACCGGAACTCACCGCAGCAAACCCTGTTTTCGTCTTGCTGCAGGCGAGGAGGGTCTGCTGGGGGAGCACTCCCCGGCATTGCTCTGGGTGCTAAAAAACTTCCCCAGTCATATACTTACGGACTTACGGACTTACGGACGAGGGCCGGGTTCAGAAGCCTTGTGCTACTGTAGATGTTCACAACCATTCCCACGGAACCTGCTTGCTCGTCTGGCGTCTCAATCTAACGCAAGCATTCCCGCTTCTTTCCGCACTCCTACTCTGCCTTTGCTTGCTCTTCTAACCATGCCAATCCCAACCCTGCTGCAGACCACTCTGCGTGAGTACATGGAGGCCATGATGACTCCAGTACCTGGCAGCAGCCCTGTGGTGGAGGCCATGAACGCCAGTCGCGCCTCCATCACACGGATGTTCGCGCAGCAAGACTGTGTCGCGCTGGGGCGCCCCGGCGATGACGACAAACTGCTGCCCCAGCTTGACCAGCTTGCGCAAGACGAACTGCGGCCTGAGTTTTGGGAGGTGAGGAAGGCGGTAATGTGTGTTGCGTGCGTGTGTGTGGGGGGGGAGTAAGTGGCTTCAGAGTGATGCATGTTTGCAGGAAGGGGTTCAGGGATGGCATGAGCGAGTGGGAGGGCGGGTGTGGTGGCTGCTGGGGTTGTGCACCGTGTGGTTGAAGCCACCGACAGCCTGCAGCAGCAATGTACTTGGGAATGCCTCCTCAGCAGATGCGCACATTCGTAATCAGCACCCCTTTATCACGACCCCCTCCATACTTCAATCCCGACCTCGCAGGTTGTCGGCAAGCTGAACGAGCTCATCATCACACAGGCCAAGCCCAAGTTCTTTGGCACCCAGATGACGACGGGCCCGGTGCTGGCGGGGCTTGTGGACGCCTACGTCCACGGCCTTAACAACAATGGGGAGGTCGTCATCAAGGAGGCGTGGCAGGTGGGGGAGGATGCGGGGTGCTAGCAGGCACACAACTGGAAGTCTCTTACAGGCGCATATACCGGTACTGTACTCGCATTGTTAACAGGACCTTTTGCTTGCACTGTGTTCACCATGTCCACAACATTCCTCGCTTCCTTTTCCAGGGTATGGCAGAGGCAGAGTGCCGCCGCGGGTGCGAGGCCGCCAAGGCAGCCTACGCTGCTGCTTGGGCGGCAGATCCCGAGGTTCCGGCAGAGGAGGTGGACCTGGAGGCGAGGCACCAGCAGTGCCTGGCTGCTGGCCACGCCGCCTTTGAGGCGGCGGCGGTGGGAGATGAGGGGGTGCGGCGGGTACACAAGGCGCGCTGGATGGATGCGGTGTCGGAGCACTGGGAGCACACGCTGGCGGAGGCGGCAGCGGTGGTGGCGGAGCGGCTGCAGCAGGGGGCCAAGGACATTGCCGAGGTGAGCTACTTCGTAAGGCTCTGAAGGTGCAGGTGGTTGTGGTGGGCAGCATGCGATGCTGACATGGGAAGGAGTGGGACAGTGTTGGTGCTAGGGCCTTCCAGCTTACTCCCGGTCATGCTCTTTGCTTGCCCTGGCCCCTCCTTGCCGCAACACAGGCTGTCCAAGACGGCGCCGACCTGCCGACCCTGGAGCAGCGCCTCATCACATTCGTGGCGCGCTACAGGAAGGTGGCTGCAGGGCCCACCAAGTGGCCCGGGCTTTGCTCCTTCTTCATGGAGACTTGGCGGCCGGCGGTTAAGCAGGTGGGTCTGACTGGAGCCCAACTTTGTGGGAGGGAGGGTATGACAGGTGAAGGGACACATGCCCGTTTTGTTTCCTAACACGCTACGTGCGGCTGAGGTGTTGTTGTCACATTGCACACCCCAATGGTGAGTTGTACTGCTGGTCGTCCTGCGTGTCCACTTCACCAATTGACACCAGCGTTTCTATCTTACTTCGTTTTTTCGAAAAATTTCTGAAAATGGCACATTTCTTAAGGCGGATAATGACCGAAATCGTCAACGATCTTTGAGCTTTTCTAGGGTTGGTGATCGTGGATCCCCACGATGTCAAACGTGCTTAAGATCGTGGGATCGACGCTTACATTTTTGCCTCGTGGTCCCAAACCCGGAGCCGTAGGCACGCACCGAGCCTGCCCAATTCACTTTTTCCCCAGGCTCCAATGGCACAGTTACCTGGTTTTGTGGGCTCGACCTCAGTCTTTTGTTGTCGGGTTATGGCTAGAACGACATAGAGCGGCATAACAGGAAAACAGGAGCCTAAATGTTAGGAGGAGTAGCTTGTGCATGGCAGGGTTTGGGCACATACACCGTACAAGTATCGGGAACATTGCATAACACCCAACTACGGGAAAACAAGCAAGGCAACTCGATACTAACTTGCTGGACCCCTGACCTCCCATGCAAGCTGATTATGCAAGCTGGTTGGCTACATGGAACTTCCACGCCACACATGGCCAATGCACGTACACTGCTGCCTACACCTTTGCTTATTGTTCCTTCCAAACCAAAGCTGTGAAGTGATGAAGAGGTAGGGGGACACGTGTCAACACGCGTACATGGCAGTCCTGCATGCTGGAGGACCCCTGGGAGCAGAATGGTCCCAGGGGTCTTCTAAGGCGCAGACAGTGCAGTGGTGCAAAGGGCTGCATTGATATGGCTTCCCTTGCTTCGTTGTCGAGCACCGCAGAGGCCAAGACCAACCTGGTTCTTGGGGGAATACCTCTACTAGTCTTGGCTGGCATAGTTACCAAGGGCGTCGTACATGCAAGAACTGCGACCATGACTTACACGACGGCAATGCCTATTAGCTTTTGTGTTCAACCTTATGTAATAAGCTTGTTCATTACAACATTATTTTGCAACTGCGAGCACAGACTCGCCTTACTTGTGGTTTGGCGGGAACATTTATGTTAAGCGATTTGCTTGCGACTTGGAATTCCGAAGCAAACAAGCAATGTTTAAGAAGCTCCGTATAAAGGCTGGGCTGAAATGTGGATGTATGCGTCTTTCAGGTGGGCAAGCGCTGAATGCTGTGAGCGTTACAACGACGCCCAGAACGCGTGTCTTAATCGACGCCGCGCCAAGTGTAAAAGCATGCAATGCTTACAACAATCGGCTGTCGCCCCTGCTGCCAGGCTGCCTTGTAAGGAAAAGCGGTGGCGGACCTTAGCATGATAGCCGTGGTGGTGCGGGTTGCAATTACCGTTGGGGTTAGCTAGCAGCAGCCGGGATCCGTCACGGCCAAGGTAAGTGGGGTGATGAGGGGGAAGGTCTTTCCACTTCTAGTGGCTGGAGGCACACTACCACCGCACAAGTAACCACCGTGGGCGCGTGAGTAGGTCGGGGGGGAGACCCTTCCCCCAAGAGAGCAAAAGGGTTAAGGCTAGCAGAAGCGCTGCGCTACACTTTAGGGTACGGGCACGTCGTGAATTGGGCCCTTCCATTAGGCTGCTGTACTACCGCTGGTCAAGGCACGAAAACCTAGCAGCCCCTTTTCGAAAACGGTTTTCGAAAAAATAGGCCCTTGGGAGGCCCCGGATCGTATACGAAAAATTTAAGGGGTCGAACGTGAGGGCTGTCGAAAAAAATGGGCCTAAAACGTCACTTATCGTGGGGTTCCACGATCGCCCTGGAGGGAAGATAGAAACACTGATTGACACACTCTGTGCTTGCTCCCAGGTGTCGGAGCGGCAGGCTGCTGCTGCCAAGGTGGATCTGGAGACGGTCCAGGTGCTGCTTGCTGCAGAGGAGAATAGCGCAGAGCAGACTCGCCAGGAACGGGACCTGGCCACGTCCTCTGTGGCAGAGCTGGAGAAGAAGCTCACAGATCTGCAGCTGCAGCTGCAGCAGCAGGCTGCGCAGCTGGAGGCGCAGCAGGAGGAGGCGCAGCACCTCCGCGAGCAGCACAACAAGCAGCTGGGCGAGGTGCGCGCTGAGTCAGTTGCGCTGGAGCAGCGCTTGAAGGAGGAGACCAAGGTAGGTTTCAGTATAACTGGTGTGCTGACTTACACGGCTGACCAGCCACCCATACCGGCATTATAGCACAATGCACGGCTGCCCATGCTGCGTCTTTCTTCTTTCCACCCCAATGCAAACCATCTGCTAAACGCCCATGCTGCCATCTTGCTCCCCAGGCCGCCTTGGAGAATCAGCGCACGGAGCTGGGCGCCCACATGACCGCCCAGCAGGCAGACGCGGATCGCCGCTTGGCTGCCGCGGAGCTCAGGTGCAAGGAGCTGGAGGAGAAGCTGGACCAGGTGGGCGAGGAAGGGAGGATAAGGTTATGTACTGTTTACTTTGATTCAATTGCACACATGCAAGTGTGATGAGTTCAGGCATGGTGTTAAGCTTGGTGAAGCTTGTTAAGCATTTAAACAACAAGCATGGTTGGATTAGGACAGCTGTTAGTGACTTCCTGACCTGTGCCCCAGGAGTCGGACCGCTGTTCACAACTGCAGCTGGATCGGGACCGTGTCACCCGGGAGCTGGAAGCGCTGCGACTGGAGATGCAGCAGCTGCTGGCCGACCTGGAAAAGGTGTGACTTGGTTGGCCGGGGTTGGGGTGTGACCCATGGGTCGTGACATTCACACTGGTGGGCGCATTGGGCCCCTTACCTGACATGGCTGTAGTAAGCAACTCTATAGCGTGAGGCTTGTCCTCAGGAGCACCGTGTTTGATGCATGGTGCTGATGTTCACCATGGAGTGTACATTATAAGTGCGTAAAGCCATCCTGCAATGAATTCGTTTTGCATTTCTGTCCTCGCAGGCGCACAGTCAAGGGTTGGATCGCGTGCAGGCAGCGGTGCAAGAGATCGACCATCTGACGGTGGGTGTTGCGGACTATGATGGAGGAGGGTGGCAGCTGTATGACTCTTGTGACAGTGCGGCAATCTTGAGATCTGCACCGTGGCTACCCACCCCGCACCTTCCCTCCTTCCAACCTACCTCCCATCTGCGAACACCCCTCCCTTCCTTGCGTGTTTCCCCACTGCCTTCACAGGCCAAGATCAAGGAGATGAAAGTGGCGGTGGCGGGGCCGGGGGTGGTGGCGGGGGAGGAGGCAGGGGTGGTGGTGGCTGGGGATTGGGTTGGGGGCGGGGCCGGGGCCGAGTGCGGGGCAGGAGGCGGGGCTGGGGGCGGGGGCGGTGATGGCAGGGGTGGGGCCGGGGGCTGGGGCTGGGATGGGGCCAGGGGTGGGGCAGGAGGCGGGGCTGGCGGAGGCGGTGCCAAAGCGCTACCTCGGCGGGCACCTCTGCATCTCCGCGGAGGACTTCTCCCGGCTCTTCGGGGCTCATCAGGGTCAGCAGCAGGTGGTCGGGACGTTTAAGGTGCAGGTGAGATTGGCCCTGCTGTTGGGATGCCAAACAACAGCAAATGGTAGCAAGCAAGCAGCCTCCTTCGTAAGGGTACTACGTGCCGGGAATGGGATCAGGGGTAATGCTGTCTGCTGCGTGCTGCCATGTAACAGCTACATACCCCTGCCCATATACCGTTTTTGTGACCTGCGCAATTTCCTTCTTCATTTCTTCCTGGTTCAAGCAGGTGAAGCTGGATGGCGTCATGAAGCCGACGCTATACAACGCGGGAGTCCACAGGAATGGGAATGCCGGATATCTGGTGGAAGCAGAGGGGCTGAAGGACCTGAAGGAGGTGAACAAGCTGAAGAAAGTGGCGCGCGACAAGTATGTGATGCGCTGGGAGAAGCAGGAGGACCAGGACAAGCGGCTGACCCTCGTCCTGAAAAGCAACTATCCCTGAAGGGTACGCCATAGCATGTGCATGCTGCTGGTGGTGCCAATGGTTGGGTCCGGTCAAGGTGTGGGATGCACATACATTGTCGCATTGTCGTACCTTGGTCGGTGGATACGAGTGCATATGCATATGTCTCTTGCCTAGTTTTACTTGGAGGTGTTGGTTTCTCGTGGTGCAACAACGCAGGACTGTCTGCACTTCTGGCCACTAGTGCAGTTTGAACATTGGGGCTTCGACTGGGGGCGGGTTTCACCAAGGGTTTTTCATAAGGCGCTTCCTTACAGGATGGTTGGCTGGGATCTCAGTGCTGGCCATAGATCGACCCTCCTGCTATAACATGAACTGGCAGTGATGAGCAATAAGTAGGGGTATGACGGGAACAACGTGGTGCCGTGCGTTTTAAAGCACCGGTACGGCACACCCAACGTGCCATGTATGGGGTCGTGGGGGTGTGCTACCGCATGCGCTCTTCAAATTGTTTAATCCGGATTCATTGATGATGTTTAGCGCGGGGAGCCGAGGCAGGGAAAGACAACGGGTATGGTCGGACGGAGTTCGGGCACGTGTAGTGTTTTGGCATCAGGGAGGTGACCCATGGTTCAGCGTGAAACCTCCGAAGGTGGACTTTCACGTTAGCTAGGCTTGCTTTGTCATGACCTATGTCAATGAGGTGCACTTTGCGCTTTGGTGGACTCGAGCGCTTGTCTCAGACAGTGCAGCAGCAGAAGGGGCGAAGCTGCCATTGACAGCTGGGCAAGAAGGGGCTGTGTAACCGAGGGTTTCAGTGGGTCTCAGATGGCTTCAGAGGGCCAATATGTTCACTTCACAGTGCATGCACAGCCTACATGCATGCGTCTTGAATTGAGGTGAAGTCCCCATGCACTGTGAGGATGATACTGATATGCACCGTCTCCATGCACCAGGGCAAACGACTGATGCCAAACGACTGATGCCAACAGGTCTTAAGAAATGGTCCCTTGCCTGATCCTCTTTACACAACACAACATTTGGCAGCAGTGTGGACTGTCGTCATAGCCCAGAAACAACCACAGATCTTACTCTTGGCATACTATGCATCAGCGTGCATAGCATCATGCTCAGGACATGAACCAACCTGATACTCCTGTGCTACATGCTAGTACATGAAGTGCTGCATACGTGCATGGTGTGTCATAAACATTAACAAAGCAGTGTAGCTTACATGTGTGTGTACAGCTTGCCAATTTCGAAGTACTACAAGCAACCGTAAAACCCTGCATACCGGTATACATTGAAAACAGCTGCGTATGTGCATTCTCTGGGAACGTCAAAGGCAGCCTTTAAGGCCCCAAACCCACCCTAGTAACCAAAACGTCATCCAAAAGGTCATTCATCAACTCCTATCAACAAAGCATGCAACACTCGCGTGGAGAATTCGGACAAGCGATCTGTAAACCCCTTCCAACTCCCTTCAAAACACCTGCATGCTGTACAGATCCCGCACGGACAACGCCCTCCGGAAGCCCTCCTGCCCGCCTGTCACCTCCTCACTCGTGTAAAAACACACACGCCTGGCCCACCCTGCTGCTCCTCCTTCTCCCTCCACTGTTGCCCCTCCGCTCCCCTCGTCTCTGTCACTGCCCGACCTACTGCCGCCCACCGACCCAGTACCCGGCACCAGCAGCAGCTGCATGTTCTCACTGAAGTCACCTCGCAGCGAGCTGCCCAGGGTAACCAACAAAGCGGGCGCGGCACGAGCTCGCAGCCGGAAGCACCAGGCGTACCTGCGGGTCGGCGAAGAGGGTGCGGAGGAGGAGGAGGGCGAGGAAGTGGAGGAGGTAGCACCCGGGGTAGTGCCGCTGCTAGTGGTGCCGTTGTTGCTGTTTGCGGTGGTTGCGCCAGTGGTTGCGGTGGTGTCGTCGGTTGTGGAGTTGGTTAGGGAGATGTCGTACACCTCGATGTTGGGAGGCTGCAGCTGCAGCTCCTGCGGGTTAGCACACCGTGCAGGTGTTAGCTAGTGATCAGGAGCTTGTGGTGTGCGCCAACAAGAACAGGTGGTTGGAAAAACGGTCGTTAATAGGGTTGACGCCGTTACAACGTGTTCGAGGGTAAAGCAGCTGGATTAATGCACTAAGCGTATATGCCTCGAAAAGGCTCGACAGGACTGACAGGACTGCTCCTTTCAAGAGGATATGTAGCGCGTTTTGAAAGGGACGAAATTAATTTCAGCAAGCAAGCAAGCAAGGAAACGTGCCGAAGGCCCCTTCCTACCTCTCCTTCTACCAACCCCCTAGCTCCCCGACCTCACCCGCCACCTCACCCACCTTGGGCGGTGCCAGCAGCACCAATGCGTCCGTCGTCGACCAGTCCCACCCCTCCCCTCCGCCAACACCAGCGCCAGCACCACCAACGGCAGGGCCGTCTCTGCCCTGCTGCTGTCCGCCACCCCGCTGCTGCTCGACTGACACTCCCACCTGCTGCTGCTGCTGCTGCTGAGGCTGTTGCTCTTGCTGTTGGGGCTGCTGCTGGGGTTGCAGCTGTTGGGACGGCTGGGGCGGCTGGGGCTGAGACTGAGGCTGCTGAGACTGAGGCTGCTGAGACTGGGACTGAGTAGCCCCCTGCCTGCTGCCGCCGCCGCTGCCACCCATCCCTGTCCTCATCAGCACTTGCTGCGTGGCTGTCAGCTGCTGCCCCAGCTGCTGCTGCTGTCCCTCCACCTGCAACTGCTGTCGAGGCACCGCCTGCCGCCGGGACACTCGTACAGTCGGTTGTGGCGCTGCAACGTCACTAGCGCTGCTGCTGCTGCCTGTGACATTGCTGCTGCTGGTCCTGCTGCTATTACTGCTAGTGTTGGCGCTGCCGCTTTCCATGCTAGCCGTGTTGGCTGCGTTTACGGCAATGTCCGCATTGCCGGCGACATTGCTCAACGACCGCTGCTGCTGCTGCTGTTGCAGTCGCCACTTAGCCATTCGCAGGAGCTCCGCCTCATCCACCGCGGGATCACCTCGGCCCCAGCGCCAGGAGCTCCGATGACCCATGGGTCGCGTACCTCCCAAACTGCTGCTGCTGGCACCGGGCCCACCCATTGCTGTCGACGACCCGCCGCTAACAGAGGCATTCGCAACGGTGTTTGCGGCGGCCGCACTACTGGTAGTATTGGCATCCGCAGCACCATCTGGAAGGATTGTCAGTTGTACGGCAACGACGCATGCGGTTTCAGAGCAACCTGGGAGCGCCGCCAGAACCTCTTTTGGCGGTTCGTTCAATATAAGGGTGCTGCGTTGTGGCGGCGCCGTCATGTTGATTACGGCATACTGCTTCACTTGTTGCTGCTGTTGCGGTTGTGACGCAGTTGTGTTGGTTGACGGCGCCGGCGGTGTTGGCGAAGGAGCGGTTAGTGGCCGTAACGCCACAACGGAAACCGTTACTCGCACTGCAACCGACTCGGCTCCATCGTTGACCACACGAACCGTCACGTTGCTGCCCCTCGGCACTCCGCCCACTGGCGCCGCCACAACTGTTACCGGCGAAAACACGCGTCGTACGGCCGAGTGTAACGGTTTCCAACGGCCGCCGTAATCCAGGGACGACCAGCTGTAAGCGGGCCAGATGTCATTGAGTTGCCAATACAAAACGCCCATGGTTGTGACCCGTGGGTCAGAGCGCAGCGCTCGCCATGTGCCCAGTGCCGTGGTGTAGCACAGCGCCTGTTGCGTCTGCGGGTTGTACGGAAAGGACGGTACGGAGCTCTGAATTAGTAACTCGACAGGTCACGAAGCAGGATAGCTGTACCTGTAACCTCATTCCATCGTGCATTCCATGCATCCCCCTTCATCTCCTCACCTGCAACTGATAGATCCACTTCTCGTACAGCGCACCACCACCGCCTTCCTGCCCCTGCCCCTGCTCTCCGGAAGAAGAAGAAGGCGCCAATGCTGACGTTGATGCAGCTGCTGCTCCTCCATTGGCGCTGCTGGCGTTGCTACTGCTACTACCCGCAGTAGCGGTGGTGTTGCTCGCACCACCGCTGACACCACCGCTGCCGCTGCCCCCCCAGCCGTTGGGTGGTTGTGTGAAGTGGCGGCGTAGGGCGGCTTGCAGCTCCGCGGTACCGTTGGGGTGGCGCTGTCTGGGGGGAGGGAGTGCGGGGAGGAGGGTGAGAGGATAGGGTTCACACTTTAGGGTTTGGGGGATTAGGACAACTGAGCCGCAAGGAGGCACTGACGAAGGCACGTTGGGGAATGCAGGCCACCCAGGGCACTGGGGCACGAGCAGCAGCAGCCAAG